TTGCGCCGCTCCTTTCGAAAGAACTAGTAAAGTCAGTGATCTGGCAGGATCAAAATTTCCCACGAGGCTAAGGAGATGAGAGTTAACCATTGTAGTCCCCAGAACTGAGTGCGCGGGGCGCCAATCTCGGTTGCCCAGACTCATCCAAGGTGACGTCGACACGATGGTCTGTCCCTTCAAAAGAATAATGGAACAATGGTACAATGAGAATTGTTTCAGGAGAGACTCTTGGTGGTGCTCAACCACCTCGCGATCGAAGCAAGTACATAGCAGGTGATCAGCCCCTTTGTACCACCAACCCGCTGGCTCAGGTAACACAACGGCATGTATTTTACCCTAGAAAATCGCGCACCTAAGATTTCAAGAACACCCCCATTGACCTGTACCTTCTTTGCCATTTCTTGATGATGCTGTGTTGATTTGGCCCATGAGATGGATTGTCCGCGCCTCGTGCATTATTTCAGACAGCTATTTAATTTACTATGGATTCACAGACGAATCCAACCTTCGCGATTGGGGACCATGGGGCTTTCATGGAGTTTGCTCTTATTCAGGCACAAAAATCACCGCCAGCTGCCAACAAATTCTGCGTCGGAGCCGTACTTGTCGATGCTGGTACGGGAAAGGTCCTATCGACAGGATACTCGCTTGAATATCCGCGAGATTACAAGGGAGATCCAGGCACCACACACGCAGAGCAGTGTTGTTTTATCAAGATCGCCGACGAGCACAACCTCTCTGAGGAACGCATCCATGAGGTCCTTCCGGCCGACACGGCGCTGTACACGACCATGGAGCCATGCAACGAGAGACTTAGCGGCAACATGACCTGCGTGACCAGGATCTTGAGACTTAAGAGCGCCATCAAGACTGTCTACGTGGGAATCAAGGAGCCAGGGACGTTTATCGCGCACAATGACGGGCAGGAAAGGCTGGAGGCAAACGGTGTCAAGGTCGTGTTCCCCGTTGAACATTGGCGCGACAGAATCACCAAGGTCTCAATGAATGGGCACTGAAGACTGAGAAAAAGAACGAGATTGCGGTAACACCCGTCCGGCCCGTCCGGCCCGTCCGGCCCGGCTCTAGTTACATGTATTTTGACCCCCCATTGCCCTGGCCCGCAGCTAAATCCCCACGGTTTTGCAATTAGATATGTACACTTTTAGCCTACGCCGTATTAATCAATTCCCCTAACCATATCTCTGGACCGAATCTCTCATAACATCAAGAACCCTGTTAAGCTCATTAGCCGCCATACTAGACAGCAGGCTGAGAATAGCCTCACTGTGTCCGAAGTGTCTCGTTATCGACAAAAAGCGCTGATACATGTGTGTCAAACCTCCTAGCTTGATATCAGCTATGTAAGTCAGGAGGAAGGAAAAGAGTTTCTGATTATCTCACAGCCTATAGAGGTCTAGGCGGCCTTCAAAATCCTCTTCCGGCGGCGAAATCTGGGCGAATGTGTTGTAGGCAGCAATGTACTCATCCCCAAACCTATTGCAAGCCGGTCGCCACTGGCCAAACTCATCTTCAAATTCAAGTTGTTTAGCAAGGATAACCGCAAGTGCTTCATAGGAGAACATACATTCGTTGTGCGCGAAGAAGCAGCACGCATCAAAGACAAGAGGCTGGTCGCTGTCGACATTAATCCCTGCATTTGCGTACCAAAGGTCTCCATGGACTAGTGAAGGTTTCACTGCTCGACCGTCACTCTCGAGCGGCCTCAGGAGCCTCGGGATGACCTTTTCGAACAGAGCACGGGAGAGGACATCGAGCTCCTCACTAGGGCCTTTCCTTTCAATCTCCAGGTCAAGCGCCTGTCTCATGGTCTTGGCGAAGAATGCCTCCCAGCTATCTTCCCATGCCACGAACTGAGGTAGGTTTCCTGCGTAGGTAGTGATGTGGAATCCGAACTTCCCTGTAGGCGATACGCTTTTCTGGTGCAGTGTTGACAGAAGAGCGGCAAATTTGTGAGGGTCAGGCATATCGTCAGTCATTTCTCGAAACTCGCAGAGGAAGAAGTGGGTGTCTGCTATCGTCCTGTAGGTGCCGCAAGCGATGGGCCTTGGGACAAATTCTGGCAGAACGTTGTGCATCGCGCTCATTGAGTGGAATTCACCCCTGGTCATATTCATGCCTAGTTCTTTCGAAATGACCTTGATGAAGAAGGACTGCGGCGTACCATCACGGAGCCGCACGTCGATGCGACCTGTCTGCGCCCAGAAGCTTATGCCATGGTTCTCGGTGGATGTGACTTTGCATCCTTCTGGCAGTTCTTGGGAGGCAGTCAATATGACGACGACCTTGTGAGTTCGCCCAGGGCCTGTAGCTTACCCGTCAACACGGCTGGGTCTATTTTGGTATTGCCCGCCCCGAATTCAAGGCCATCTGCGCCGTTATAGTTCATTTCCTTGGTTAAAGAATGTGCTGAATCAGTTTAGCGTCCCGCTGGTTGGAGATCATCAGGATCTCGGAGACGCGGCGTTTATTATAGGCGGCGCTTCTGGATGCCCCCACCATCATGATCGAGTACTACATGTATGTATGTAATTAATTGCAGCCGAGCTCCCCTCTTGGCGGCTCGAATCCTGTCGAATCCACCCACCGCAGGACACAACCTTGAAAGCGAATGTCACAGAACGACATATAGACGCCGATTCTCGCGGCTAACGACACACAATACCCACTGCCATGAATCCTTTTCAATTCTAAGTTTCTATTTTGTCAGACAGTGGTGAGAAACATCCGCAGCATCCTAGGCGGTGTTTATCAATTGATGAGGATAATCCAAGGAGAAAGAGCTTCTTGAGAGATGCACCGAGGCTGTGGCCCGTTGTGCGGCATATTTATGTATTTATGCCAATTTCGTCCCTAAATAACTGGGGGAGGGGGGCGGAGGGGCCATTGCGGCCGAATTCTTACCACCGGGCAGCGTCGCGTCGGGGATGACTCGCTCACGGATCCGGGCGAAGGGTCCCTCACCTTTGGTGCAATAAACAGCGCTGCATGAGTAGGAGCGAAGGTCGGCAATAGAAGGGAGGCTTGTCGAGTAATACATCTCATTATTGGACTGGACGTAATCGACTGTTGGTGATAGGATGCGGGGAGACGCATCGAGGAATGAATTATGCCAACCTCGATCGCTGGTTAATCTGTATCGTAAAGATGCTGCGGAATGATTGCAAGCCTCCTGATTCCCCCCTCTTTCGGACTCTCCCATCCTCTTCGCAATAGGGTGTTTATTGAGATGGACTTGCTCTTACCTCCCAATTGTAGCGGCAATGGAGAGTGGCACGCATCTCAAGTGCAGTTAGTCGGTGGTGCAACCACAGCTCAAAAGGTTGCGCAAGAAGTGTCAGTGAGAATCTTCGGGTCACAGCGGGAAGATGAGAACTGGAAATGGGAACGAAGTCGCAAGGAGCTCATCACACGATAGCAGAGGCGCTATACTTGATATCCAGTAGTAATTAGGACGCCCATCCCCCCGTTAATCGCCCTACCAACATGAATACTGCACTTTGCAGTTTTCGTTCCAATGGCCTGTCCCAACAGCTCCAAGGTGGACTTCTCATCGGGCCGGCACCCGAAAGTGCGACATGGACTCTTTCGGAACTCCCAGGAGAGCGACTTCAGGATGGCCAAGGAAAGCACATTTACCCAAGACCACACACCACACACGATCCATCTACGGAGAGCTTCGTTTGAGCCGCCTGGGTAAGATATAACGTCTCTCGCACACCCGTTCTATGTGACTACATGGCGCACTGGAAGAATCCAACAGAGTGAGCCTGGGTCAAGGTTAGCGTAAAACATTTTGCGAGAGGGATTGCACTTACACCGGATATAGTACATTCATTCATTCATTCATTTATTTATTACGCCCGGTGGAAATTTTAAAAGGGCAACTATGAACCTATAAACCTGTACCTTCTGAAGCTTAGCTTGATTTGCAATCTGAGTCGCTGTCTCATCTGATAATGCGACGGAGATGGCTGTGAAGATGGGACTGTTAGAATAAGAAATGACTGATAATATAGTAGTTCGGTACTTTCAATGCACATTTGCAGCTATAAATATATCGCAAATTCAGACGTGTTCAAAGCGAGAAGCTCCAGAGACCTTGGGTGACCAAAGACTGTAAGTCCCTAGCTTAGCCAACCTACAGAACACATAAACGCAGTGTATCACTCGTTATGTATAAAGCATCTCCCATTAGATCAGCGGGCGGTCCCCAAGTCCTGACCGGTGCCTTCAAATAGAGGAGGCAGTTGAAAATGCCTTGAAAATACCTCCTCAAAACTATGTTCTACCAAGGAGGTAGATGGCCACTCTCAGTAACTATCGCAGGTTGCAGAGGAGAGAGAGAAGGCTCCGCTTGGAGGGATTATGCAGTTGTTCACCCCTACACTCCACTTAGCTCCGGCTCTCGGCTATGTGGAGAAGGCGAAAACGGGAACTCACAATAGCCCAATCTAGTAATCTCACTCGTATTCCCCGGTACGAGGCTAATTTTGTCTGCACTGCCTGCGGCTCTCGCAACCCTTGGAGAATGAATCGCAGCAGATGAGCGATGAAGGGTGGCGATTGTATCTTCATCTCCGCTGTATTGACAAAGCAGTGCTACCATTGCTAGTACTACTTAGAAACATAATAACTTATTTTGTATCATGCGCTTAGACATCCAAGTTTAAAGTCATCTTTCTAGCCCTTGTCTCGCTTGTTTCAAGTCCTTTTTGCTTCTACAATGAGGCGTTATAGAAGGAGCGAGGCACAATTAAAAATTTCACAGCACCAAGAGTGATATGTGACATGGAATATATTAAAACTCAAAACAAAATTCTAAAAGAAAGACATGAACAGAAAGAAGATCTAACTACAGCGAGCTATTATTGTATATGAATAATTTTCCATAATTCGACCTTCGCTTAGCAGCGATACAAAGCGTTGTAGATTCTATAACCGAGCATCGTATTGACAGCTTGTGCAACGTTTTTGTCTCCTTAGTGGGACTTGGGGGCACGGGTGCAGTCGAGTTGGCCTGCTGGCAACCAGGTGTTGCCGCCATCTTGGCTGGCATAGAACTTGTCGGTAAATTGATCAGGGCTGGTGGGCCGAAGGAAATCATCCATAGTTCGAGCTTCGATACCCGGTCTGCCGGGATTGGTCAGGGGCCAGGTGATGAATCGGAAGTGACCCCCCTCCTCCCAACCAACCGATGTGCCGGGTCCACTGTTGCCTCCACTGTCACTGTAAGTGTAGTTGAAGATTTCCTTCTCAGCGTCGTAAGTGATGACGGAGTGGGCCGTGAGCAACGGACTCGGTTGATCGGAGTCCAGGGTCACATTAACTTTGGTCATCTTGATGGAATACGTGAGGTTCGCGCCGGTGCTGCTACCACCTCCACCGCTCCCGTTTGCTTCGCCTTGCTGATAGCAGTTCCAGTCACCCACAAAAGGGAGCAACCAGTTAAGACCTTTTGGGCCTAATGGAGAGGGAGTTGCCCGTGCTGAGCCAGGCAAACTGAGAAGAGCCATGCACAGGAGGCCAACTGACGAGACTGTGTTTGATTTGGTAGACATGATTGGGTTACGTCTCAAAGATATGCTGATATATTGAGATTGTTGTAAAATGTTGTATTGAAGTCAGATTTGTAGAGATTGAGGCACTGGTAGTTAAAAGGAATAGAAGATGATATATATATCGAGGATGTCGTGTATGGATGACTGGGGCTCAATTGTGGCTTAGTTTCTTAGGGGTCGTAGACGCTAGGAAATCGGTGAAGTCGGCGTTGTGACGTGTCCGCTGACTACGACACCACGCATAAAGAAAGGGCATAATTGTATCATCTCCTGGTGAGACCATTGAAAATAACAAACGGAATTGACGCGCGGCCTGCATTTTGACAAGTATGTAGACTCGATGAACACGTAAGTACGGATTGTCGGTGCGATATATTGGCGAAGGGGGCGGTATGACGCTTTGAATAGTAAAAAAAGTTGATGCACAATCGATCCGTATTAGTCGTCGTCGAACTACTCACATAGCAGCTGATGTATACCTAGAAAAATCTTAAAGCTTCGGGATAATACGAGTCAGCCGAATATGCTACCAACATTTCTTGTGAGAAAGTGTAAACTAGATGCTATATATTCATGCTTGTCAATCCATGGTTTCGTCTCCGGTTCCTCTTAAAACAATAATACGCACGTTTTCTCGCTCTTTCCTTGGTTTTCAAATAGTAGATATATCCTTCATGTCATAGCAGTCTTTGAAGCCTATTTCATCTCCTCTCCACCCAAGTAATAGAATCGCGCAAGGTGAAGGACATCGGCCGACTTTATCGAGACAGATTCTTAGAGACTGCTCATTTAGGGAGCAGAGCAGGGAAAACATGATGAGCCACTAAATGGGGTTCGATGCTTATTGAGGCTAACCGGACATGCTATCTGAGACCTGTTAGTGCATGTAAACAGTATGCGGCCGGGTTAAATGCTAACTACCTTATAAACTTAGCTTCACCAAAGCTATAGTTACTCAGACAAGATGCCAACCGGTCGCGGCTGCTTCCAGTCGTATAACAGACACAGCCCTAGCTCCATGATTAAGAAAAAAGATGGCCAAGATGGCGCCCGCTCCTATCTGTTCGTGCCTTCTTCTACAGTCGAGCATGCGTCTGACGCTACCGCTGGTGGGTGAAGGTTGCTCTCCGCAGTCTCAAGGGAGCTTGAAGGAGCGGTGCTGTTAGATCTGCCGTCGAAAATGCGATCTGTCCTGATTTTTGCTGTGAAATCTCTCCCAACATCCTCGATATGCTGCGCACCATCGTGCATGAGGGTATCGTTGGTCGGCGTAGCGCCGGAAACGAGCTGAGAGTGGTCCCTTTCAAGGATATCTTCCGGGCGGTGACAGGTACATATGTCTATCCGGGTTAACATAATCAGCTCGTTGAGGATGATAAACTCGAACTTGAGCTTTATGCTATAGACAACGGGTTTGTACGTTGTTTGAATGTCAAAATTGTTGGTAAACTCCGTTACGATGAGGCTGATATCTAACAAAACAACGATGACGAATAGAATAATCAAATGGTGTATCATCCTTTTTCCCTCGCGTCCTTTCATATCCATAAGGGGTTTGAGCCCATGCGTGGCCTCCCACACATACAAGCCTGAGATGATGGACTCTTGGATGGAGAAGCCGATCAGCTGGATCCTCTCATAGATATTAAAGGCGTTGATGAACTGTGTCGAGTGTGTGATATTACTGGCGAGAAAGAGAATCGATACCGGAATGTGCAACACGAAGACATTGGCGACAATCATAACTAGTACCCATCTGATCTTCCGCCGGTTGCGCACGGCGAGATATAGGCGCGAGTACATTACGAGGGATTGGCCAGTAACCATAGCCCACCAGCCGATGAGCGTGAAGACGCACATGAGAACGTTTGGCGCGAGGGCGAAGTAACGCAAAAATACGGCGACAGAATGGACGGCTATACCGAGCGAAGCAACCACCAGGCTCCAGAAGTATAAGCTCTTCCTGCGCTTGAATTTGATGAGGGTCCAGATGAAAATCTCCACGCTGTAGAATATGGCGACGGCGAAGAAACCCGAAATCACCATGGCCACTGCCATCGACACCTTAATTGGCCCCGTCTCCCCAGACATGCTCGCGAGTGTCGGGGGCCGATGTCTTCCAAAGGGCCAGCGGCAGTGAAATCACTGCTAAGGAGCTCCGGCCGATGCCATTCTCCGGGTGAGAGACCGATGGCGGAAATTTGGCAATCGGAGAATGCCCTCTCCACTCCTTTTCACCAAATTCCCCGTTACTTGTCGAATATATACCATTAGCCAAGCTGAATCGCTTTGATATTAGCGACATTGGCGCGTCTAGGAGTGTGGAACCTATAACTCCGTGAGGCAAGGTCATTGGCGGGACAGAGCCTGAGAATCAAGTAAGGTAGTCTTCCGGCTTTGGCTCCTCGACATCTCATTGGTTGTTTAGGACTGGCCATTCACAGCTCGCTATGGGACCAAATCAGCTTCAATCATGTTGACATTTGTGAGGCGATCAGAGTGCCACAAAACTCAATTTAGAGCTAGGCATAAGGTAGTGCAGTCGCCACAACTTCGCCCCCATCTACCAAATTGACACACAGGATATTTAATTTATATCTTCGCTGGAGTTGCATATCTATCGCCAATACTCGCTGCGGATGGCAGTCCGTATTTGCAGTTTGGAAGCATAACCTGGCAAGCATACAGTCGTTATTATCGATAGGGGATGAGGGAGTTCAAGCTTTTCGCCAAGAAAGCCCCGGCAGCGACATACTCAATTCGTATGGCGCAGATCCAGCCAATGGTATAGTCATTCGGATTGGAAATGATTGAGGTTGTAATTCTGCAGATTAGGCACACGAGGCATTTTCCTCGTTCCCATAGTAAGGTTGCGAATGCCAATGATTGTACGACCGTCCGTCTAAGAACACTCGGCCGCATGCAAGTGCGCTTATCCTAATGCGCTGGATGTGCCTGTTGGCTAGTAAAACGTATTAATTGGTTGCATTTCACTTCTGGCTTTAGATTTGCTTATACTATTAAAGAATAAGTTTTGCAATATGGTGCTTATGCTGATAAAATGAATACCATTTAACATCCGGCTACCAGAACCTAGACTCTATTTCTGGATAATGCAGGCCCAAGTTTAATAATGTATCGTTTTGCTACGCTCTGTCGCAAAATGGTCCGTGCGGGAAGACTCTCATTATAATGAAAACATGACAATTATTTTGGCGCTGAGGCGATTATACTAATAATTAAGGCCATAGCCAATCGGAATATCGTTTCCTCGTTCAATAAGTTGTTTGTTAAGCTTTTCTATATCTTGAATAGATAATAATAAAGTCCAGAGACTTCCGAATAATGAGCAAGGGATTAATCTGTGGGGTACCTTTGTTCCACTTTTAACCGCGTTTGCAAGCGAAAAGGTATTTTATTTTGTAGCTGCTGCCAGAATGGGAAATTTTTACCTATGTTTGTTCATAGCTCTGTGCTATCCCTAAACCATCACGGATTCTCATTACAGCATAGGAACGATACAGTGGGTAAATTCTTCGGTCTCTCTACCACAAGTTAATACTATATATCGGTGTTGCGACAGTATACATTAGCAAGAGAGAGCCGAGCCTAAATTCTTCATGGTGGGAAATAATTACAATATGGTTATATATAAACGGACATACTATAAAGTATTTTATATCTATCTATACACACACATATATATATAAACGTCAGCAACTTTTACTTCTAGCAACGAATGGCATAACCATCTATACTAGCTTCGTGTTCCTTCCTTGCCCGGAGCATGAGTGACGGTCTATCCCCTATGGCTGATTGTCCAAATCAAGGGCCATAATCTACAAGTAAAAGGGCGTACTTAAGCACTTGATCTGGGCTCTCATTTTCCCACAGTAGAGGAAGGATTGAGTGAGGAGCAGGTAGTGGTGCATTGTGAAACCCAAACTCCGCGGTAGATTCTTCAAGGCTCACTGGCCGATAGTTGCACTATCCACCAGAGAATTTTATAGAAATACTTCAATAGCTCCATAGATAAAGTTCCTTTAGGCTTGAACTGTTCCCGGTTCGTTCCCTACCTCCCTCATACAACGAGCCTGTCGCACGTAACTATTCTCGAATCTGCTGAGGAGTAATCACTGATCTCTCCTCAGTCGCCATAATTGGAAAGGTCGGGGGGAGAGGTTGGGCTTCTTTCTATGAGATCCATGTATAGGGGATCCAGTGTCCACAAAGATGGCTCCAGAGGATCGATTTCTAGATTGCAGGATTTCCGCCAAACCCACGCGGGAAAGGAAAACTGGTTATACTTCAGAGAATTGAGGCCTTCTGATCCCTTGCCAACGGCTTCTGCCATCCCGATATATTTAGAAACTTCATATTAAATAACAATACATTCATCTAGCCGAAATTCAACTTAAAGATTTCCTCCTAGATCGTACGGTGTCTCTATCTCAACTTTGAGGAGCAAAACGTCGCCCTCTTTCAGCATGTAAGCGGCTGTTTCGATGGCTTTGACACTGGCTTCGATTCGTCGGTAATTTCAGAGTAATAGAATGTTGCGTTAGGTGCAATACCGAGAATCTCCAAGTAGCTATTGAGTTCACTGATAATACCATTTACTGCAGTGCAGTAACGAAAGGAGCGACACCGCATGTATTCAGTGTGCGCCAATGACAGCTTGTCCATATGGTAGTTCTTTATGCATGGGCCACTACTTTTCATTTGTGGATGACGGATAGCTGGAAACCGCAGAGTTTGTCTCTTTGTTTGTCCAAATTGCAGGTTGAATTCGCCAGCATTGAACGTATAGCGTGACCATGGGGGACGCGTCGCGATTTATCAGCAACCTAGAGTTACAGCAAAGACGGAAGACTGTTTTTCTCTTATAGCAGTCTCTGTGAGAGACCTTGCTACAAGACTCATATGTAACGTCAGAGGCTTCTATTTTAAGCGAGACTGCCGTGATACCATTCAATCATGCTGCAACCGTTTGGTAAGCTGATATATTTGGTGCTCTGCGCTTGGCTCCTTGACATTCTTCGCAATCATCGCCAAGTCAACTACCATGTGAACCACCGAGTCTGGACAAGCCGGGGAAATGAACGCCTCACGTAGCAGGCGATTGCTACCCTCTGTCACCATTTCGTCACTGACTTGGGGGTGGAAATAGATTCTTAGGAGGAGGTCTGGCTGGGTATGTCCGCCAGACATTACAAGGAGTGCTTGCTCATCAGAGAGCCCGTAGAGATTGCCTTTCACCAAAATTTTAAACTAACTGACGAAAACACGCCGGTGCTGCGACATGAAAACGAATAAAAAGCCCGTACTCCAAACGACCCATGTCCCTAACTTTTATACCCTTTCTTGTTCTAACCTTTGTAGAATGTTTATAACTCCTTCGGGAGCCCATGGAGCGGAAGAAATGTAGCAGAGAGACAAACAATGTGTCACGCATCACCCTCCTCCTCTGCTGTGCAATTATTACTCAGATTTGTACAGTTATGGTTTGTATTTAATATATTTCCCCTTAGTAACGAACTATAAAGCTTTATGTCCCGTAAATCTCAACTCTTTTTGCATATAACTACAGAGTTTATATTCCCAAGCTAATAAAACGACACCAATGACATATGTTTCAACTCCTTACTTTAATCCTCTTCTAGTAAATATACGTTTGGATTTTATTTTTTATTTTTTTTTTAAAAAAAAAACCCCTCATTTTTTGCAAATCAATTTAATATATAAAAAGTAGTCCGAATATTATAAAAGCCATTTTTGACGCCAGATGGCCATCAGTTGGAATGCATTATCCAATCACATAAGCCACATTGTATGAGAGTTCTAAACGTTGTCTTACTGTGACTCTTGCTCAGTAAGTTACTGCTCTGTCAAGTAGGAGAAAAATAAGTCTTCTCATAATAGGAGCCGTAATTGACAACCTTTTGGACAATTTTAATTCCTCGATGCCGTTATCGTTAAGGAAGAAGCACTAGAGCCAGCCAATGCTGTTAAAACAATAGTTGTTATATAGAATTATTAAGCATTGATTTACTTTATTATTAATAAATAAGAGAGTGTATATACATTTATTTATATATATCTTGTTATTAGCGCTGCTTTTTTTAATACCTGCCATGACCTGTATGTAGGTAAAAAAAAAGATATTCGCCACCACCCCGTAGCTGAGGCGCCTTAGCGTCAATAGAGCCGTTAAGATAAAAATCAGGTCTGCCAGCTGAAAATAGCTGAGATGTACCTGTATAGCAGCTGAATTGCAGCTGCGGTGAAGAAGTATAACATCAGTAGTAGGAGGCGCTGTTAGCGGTGTTAAATCAGAACCAATGACAGTGTGTAAGGTTACTGTGAGTGCCGTTGAAGCCATAGAGAATGGCGTTGGTTATGATAACCAGTAATCTGGGGCTTTCGCTGCTGTTCGGCATAGTGAGAGTTGAACTTTGATTCAGAACAGCTGTTTGTGAATATGTAGGACGTGGAAATCGACCTAGAGTAGGTGCTCAAAGAGGGGATAAATAGTGGTACGAATATAATGGACATCGATCGCACATGGCTGCTGAAGATGGACATCAGCATCTATTTAAATTACCAATTTACATTCCCAGAGCGCAAAAAGATGAATAGATAATTCATATTCTCAAACATTAATCACACAATTCCATGGCTATAACACAATTCAACCACACCATTTCACCGACGAGGATCACGCCGTGCAACTCTCTTGTGATGCTTACTATAACTTTTATTGCTTCGTGATTTCAAGCCTTTCACTTTCTTCCCCAGAGGTCACATGCTCCAAACCTGGCTCGCAAACTTTATCAACAGCCATGAAGCTGAACGAAGTGCTGTAACCAATGAAAAGTTCAAATAAGCCAGGGATTAACTACACTTCAAACCTTAACTTACTTCCCCAGATGTCGTTTACTCTTAACCTGGCGCGCAAACTCTACCAACAGCCACGAAGCTGAATTTTCATCCTTGGTTTCTTTAGTGAAATATTTATGTGTGATGACGTTTGGAGCCAGCCAGCCTTTTTGACATTCTTGACGGAAGTTTATATTAAGTTGGAAAAGACTACCTCGCCGATCATCTCTTAAATTAGGTTCACCGACGTTGTATTCTCCCTTCATTTATAAATACCTTGATCGAAGCATATTATTGATGACACGCCTCAAATGGACGGTAAATATATCATATGAGAAAATTTCTTGTATTTTTGCCCGCAGGGATCGGTCAAAGCTACCTATCACTATGTTGACTTGGATCGAGATGAGATATTCAATTAAATAACCCACTGACAACGAATATTTATCCAAACTAACTGAGGTTCCGCTCGATTAAGCCTGGAAGAGTGTACCGTCCATAATTTCTACTCAGCTAGGTATCCAACTCATCTTACTCTAGCTGGACACCATAAGATGCAGCCAAAACTTATCGTGCTTTGCGATGATGTAGGATGCGGGAGGGAGACAAAGACCCAAACAAATATATATCTATTAGCCCAGCACATCGGCATCGATATGAAAAGAGAGAATCGTTGTCTAGATCAATGGGAGCGTCGAGCGCGTTACTTCGACGGGCCGAGTCTAGGTCTGGGCCTCATCAGCAGTGGATCCAAGGGAGATGACATTGCCAGCCGCTGTATCGAAGTGTACAGGTATATCGTCGGTTACTATACTCCCGAACATGAAATCTGGATGTTTGGGTTGGGGCTAGGTGCATACGTTGTCCGACATGTTGCTAATATGATTGGCAGATGCGGCATTGTCAGGACAACTGGAGAAGACGACATTTGGACATCGCTAACGTTGATTGACCATGCCTCTTTTATGTACAAATATTACTACGGTGTACCTAGTCCGTCTTTGACTGAGTTGGAAACCTTTAAAAGAGAAAGGAGCTGGGGAGTCGACAAGCCCATCAAATTTATGGGTCTCTTCGATACTATACGCCCAGACGGATTCCTCCGAGTTCTGTTACTGGATCAGACTCAATGGCCTGAGCTGGGTGATGGAAACACCACGAACGCGGTACAGAACATTTATCATGCTGTATCCATACACGAGCGATCATCTTTCTTCCGCCTCTGCCAGATTCAAGAGGACTCTACCTATCAGACTGATTATGATACGGACGTCTACGAGATGTGGTTCCCTGGAACCCATCATGACTTGGGAAGGCAGAAGTTTCCCTTGGGACTCGATATCGATGCAAAAAAATGGCCGTTCTGGCTACTAAGCTCGGCGATTGATCCAAACTTGGTTCTCACTGACCTTGTTTTGAAATGGATGCTCGAAAACATCCAGAGAGAAGATTCCTCAGAAGCCCTCATCCCCGATATTGGCACCCGAATCGAAGCACTGAAGAGGGAACTCACCAGATACAATCAATCCCCGGATTCTGAGAGTATATATAGCTGGGTTGTGAAGCAAACGCCTTTGGGAGCTCTCCTTTCCCACTATGTCTGGCTTACAGGCGAACTGAGACAAGGGCAGACGCTTTTGGGAGCTTTCCTCCTCTTCTGTTATGTTTGGCTATTGAGCGAGCTGCGGTGGCGACGGCACTATTCTTTGGGTGTTCCCTTTTTCCCTTATTTCTGGCTCACAGGCTGGCTACCCCGAGACCGGAAGATACTCAATTTGAAGGCGAGGACGTACGACTATAAAAGGCCCCTCGACCAGTCAGGCGCGACGATTGACTGCCTGGCTAGGATAAACAAGCAGAGATACCCATCGGACACCTATCTGGAATTCCAAAAAGCCCGATTGTCTGCGGGCGAAATTGACCAAACGACTTACGAATGTCTCGTCGGCAACGAGCATATCGGCCAGAGGGCAAAAGTCACCAGCTGGTGGGATTTGGACAATGGCCAGCACGTCGTACTCGACTTGGGCTGGCGGGGCCCAGACTTTAGCAATTATCACCAGAGGGACTGGAAGGAAGTCCTTACAATAACCGATGCAAGCCATGGCGGGGGCCATTACATGGCCAGAACTATCCCGAACTTCCTAGCCGAATTCTACGGAGAGATGGGACTATCGCTCCTAGAGTGGGTGACAGAGCTGTGCACGGCCAGAACTCGGGTCGCCTCGAAAATGGCAAGTCAAGCGACGCCTCAAACTTCACCAAACCGCAACTCTTCACCCACTTTTGATCGAGTACATCTTCATCTTGTTGACCGTTCGATCATGGCCTGTTTTGGAGACGAATTACTACGATGGGATATACCCGAAGGTTTTGAGAGAAAGCAAGCTGTGTCTGCGCTACTTTGGGTCGTGGCCGCTTTCCAGCCTCCAGAAGTGGAAAGCCGCGGGTTGTTCAAAGTTGGCTGCCGAATCAGCGACGGAGGGGTCTTGTCACCATATTGCGAACCATTCAAGCCGGAGAGAGCAGAGTCTTCATGTTGGACTCAACTATTTGACTATGCTTGCGTCGTTGAAACGCCGCGAGACGTTAGCTTCGACACCAAGACGCGTCCAGAGGGACTGGAGGTGGATTTCAAGGAGCTTATGGCCATCACAAATGCCTCTCAAGCCTGGCTCACTGACTACGGAGCAATCCTGCTTGGGCACGACACAGCGCTGATTCAACTGAGGCCGGTGGAAGATCGGCGATGGCACGCTGTGCGCACACCTGGAAAATTGATTACACCTTTTGATATAATGCAAATCATCCAGTCTTCCGTGCCATCCGGCCCTGCTGGACTAGGGGCGGAGTCGGAAGATGTAGGGCGTTCAATACTCTCTGTTGTATCGTCCAGCGCAGGTATACTAAGCCAGCCGCAGCTACGAGAGAGCAATGGGGCCATAAAAAAATCGATGGACAGAGGGAAACACGCTCAGGTATTAAAGTCGGAGCCGTTCACTTACCCTGAGGGAAGAGTGTTCGTAGGCTGGTGTAGTGAGCCTAGGGTCACCATCGGCACCGAAAGACCGAGCAACCCCTTCTTGGAAAGCTTCGACCACGATTCAGGTGTCCCTGAAGTTACCAATGACATTGTGGCCCTGTCGAGTGTATCGAGTGTCACAACTGTCAGCTTAGGAGTCAGCTTGGGATTTATGTCCAAGCTTGCTACTGTCAATATCGCCCATGCTTCTGGGAGTCAGGAATCCGTACAGCCAGCGACATACAGGCACGAAAACCAGCTTCCGTTTGATACGTTACGAACAGCAAAATTGACGCCTTGCATTCTCTGGGATGATTCGGTCAAGCGAGCTTGGCTTCTTCCTGGTGTCTCGGCACTTTGTTTCATATCACTCTGCATTTTCGCGCGACTAGAGTTGAATTTTGACAGTGACGTGACATTTGCAATACCATCAAATGATGCTGGTCAATCAGCCTCAAACTGTCTTAAAGCCAACGCGAGCTTGACCATGGTCAAAGACGATGGGACTAATGGGCCAACCTTTGGATGGTTGGTGAAGCAGGTGTGGGATGGGATGATGGCAGCCAACGACGTCTGCTACGCCAACACAAATAGGAGGAAGCATGTCAGAGAAGGAGTCGTGTTCGGCTATGACATTTACGACCTCTTTGGCAGTGGTCATGTGGTTCTACGCTGTCTAGACGAAAACAGAGCCGGTGCCAGTCTCCATTCTTGGGCGCCGCTCGCACGGCTGGAGAGAGTGCAGGTGATATTCTGCAAGAAAGTTGGATCGGTCATTGAGTGTGCTGCCCAAACGTGTGCGGGAACGCCGTGTGGGCAATACTGCCTGAATTTTGACGGCACAAGCGGTGTCCTGAGCTGCCTGCTTCCGGACTTGGAAAGATTCTGCGGCCAAGACTGGGACAAATATGCACAAAGCAGAAGATTGCTCATCAAGAATGGCTTCGAATGGATTCCAAGGCTGCCAAGAAGGGGCGGCCTCTTTGCGCACCTTGGGACGCGTTTAAACGCAAACGGAGTGTGCGAATGTTGCGCCGAGCTGGACCGACTACAGAGACTTGATCAGGTTGGAAATGCGTCGCTCTGGCAGCGGATCAAAAAAGCCTTCAGAGAGCGCCCATATAATTTCGCGGACAATTGGTCCAGCCTACAATACGCAGTGAGGTTCGGCTTGTGCCATCTATATTCATAGCAGCGTTCATTTCAGAGAGTGTTACTCCCGACAATAGTGTAACTGACAAGGTAGATATGTAACGTTTATGCAACTTAAGATTACTACAAATGTGTATTGAAAGGAGCAAGCTAATCCAAATTGCGCATGTAAGACATTCTCAAATGAGGTTTGTTGTTTGCACAGCTCAAGCGCTTATATGTTCAACAAGCAGAAAGTGGCTATACAGAGACCTATGTAATTTAACTTTCGTAGCACGACATGCAACAGGGACGTCGGAATAAGGATAGATCTATATAAGTAACCTGGTTGCTCTAAATGAACTGCGCACTATCCATTCGATGTTCAATTGCTGAACAAGGTCTTTATGCGTCCTACTATCTGAATATGGGAGGAGGCTTGTGCACTGCCTAATTTCCGAAGATACTATCTAGACTAACCACTCCTGAATGACAATAACGGTGTCGCTTCAATATTACATATTCACATATCTATTAAAACAATTAATGTAAAAATGGAACAACTATTTAAATCTATGAATCAGAAACAATATTGTAGTTGTTTAATTTCAGGTAAGCTTATGATTTGTGAGACCTGGTGAGATATTTTTTGAATTATGGGATAAAATCTATCATCTGTAAGGGTCAAATGAATAAAATATCGAGAAGCTGCTCTACTATAGTTAGATTTAAATTGCTGACGGAGATTATTGCGTTAGAGAAAAGTAATTTGTGGCGAAGCCAAGATCCAAACCAACATCTGTTGGTAGTTGCTAAATCGACCTTCCAGTTATAATCTACAAGTGACTTACTTACCTTGACGTACCCTACTCCGTGCCTAAAGTGTATTTAACTGCCCAACCCACGCTTTGAATTGAACCTAATTCAATTACTTCAAAGCATTCTCTCAGCCTTCATCATACCAACTTACAGTCACTAGCAATAACGGCAACACATCCTCTCCATAGCTTCCATTATGCAAGACGCTTCAAAGACCTCTGAAGATGCATTTGACGTGGAGAATATACTGCGCAGCGCCAGTGGCTTTCCGAAAGCGATCGGCAGTCGATAGAGGAGGCCATTCAAACAGGAGACTGGCCAGGGCTAGAGGGCTCGGCGTTCAGCAGAATAGCTGTAATTGATCATCATTCTTCTCGCGCCAGGAAGCCAGCTGAGGGGTCAAAGCTTGATTTGCAGGATCTTTGGTATCTCTATTACCAAGTTGGAAAAAATGTTCGCCACTCAAGCCCTGAGCAAGATAAATGGATCAGACACATTCTCCAGGTTCGCGGACATGGACCCTTAACACGGCAAGCACAGAGCAGCAATAGTGGCGGAGACAGTGATGAAAGCAGCAGCCTTGAGATTGCGACAACGTCAGGAGGCATTATTTGGGAAGACCTGCCCTTCTTCACTACGGATATGACAGACATCTGGGTAAAGGATTGTGCGACCATGAGTGCTACTCAGCGCATCAACTTTTCTCACTTTCTCGCCAAGCTCGCGTCCGTCGGAGTAGACGATAATCTTTGCACAATTGCACCGCTGGTTTTCCATGACGTCTTCGAAACCATTCGCCCTCTGGGCAGCTACAATGATGAGAATGACAAAGAAGATACGCTCAGAACGTTAGAAGACCTTACGACTGCCGCGCTACTTCCGGCCGCGCAAGCTTGGCTATTTAGCGCTGGTCAGGCTGTGGAACATTCCTGGCGCAATCAGACAAGGTGAAACTACTTTCACGAGATCGGAGCTGGGCCGGAAATCATCTGCGACCTTTAGTCCTTGGCGATGGATGTATTGGCTGAAAAGACTAGAGGAGATTAAAATAGAAGCAAGACAAGCTGGCGAAGAGTCTCTTGCTGCGAGCATCTTGCTTACCATGGAACAAATGCTAACTCTGGTCGAGCAGACAGACTCACGAGTTCAGAGTGAATTAGAAGCTACTGGTAATTTGATCAAGAATCAGCATCGCTTTCACATAAATAAACAGGGGGGAATTGGCGATGACGAAATTACATGGGAAGACGGTGTTGGTACTATGAGCTTGGAATAGGACTGTATAACTACGGAGGCTGCATGTACTTGGGAGTAGATATTTATAGATTATGGTATGCCAAAGGAGATAACCTATGTTTAAGACACTAATAATAATACTGAATATAGAGGTACAAGTAATGCGCCTATTGACGGGGCGTACTGTTTGGTGTTTATTTATGATGTTCCTATGCTCGGTAGTGTTTGACCCCGTGCACCTTGCCTAATTCGATGACTGACATCAATATGTCAATCGTTATGTAATCCATGCTCCCCGTTCCGTTCCACCACCAAAAATCGATGCATCTAGACTTCCATAGTCGCTGCGAATTAGCGCATTCTTCCCCTGCCATTCCACTCACACTCGCTAATCTGACTCGCATGGAAGACTGGCTGAAAGAATCTGGGGCGGCAGGCCTGGATAGCCTGGAGCTTGTCGATTTCCCTGTCACCGGGCGCGGTGCTAGAGCGCTGCGGCGTTTCAAGCAAGGGGAAAGGGTCCTCACCATTCCAGGCGATAACCTCTGGACGGTCGAACATGCATACGCCGATTGCCTTCTTGGGCCGGTCCTTCGCTCTACACAGCCATCTTTATCAGTTGAAGACACCTTGGCCATCTATCTTCTCTTTGTGCGATCGCGCGAATCTGGGTACGATGGTCTGCGAAGCCATGTGGCGGCATTGCCCGCGAGGTACTCGTCAAGCATCTTCTTTGCGGAGGATGAGTTAGAAGTTTGCGCCGGAACCTCACTCTATACCATCACAAAGCAGCTGAAGCAAAGGATCGAGGATGATTACAGGGTATTAGTTATGCGAGTGCTTGCACTTCATCCAGATCTTTTCCCGCTTGACAAATTCACTATCGAAGACGTAGGTATTATATGAGTGCGGTTATTGCAGCGAATCAACAACTAAAGCGTCTTTTACTCTTCTTAGTACAAGTGGGCGCTCTGCACCGTCTGGAGTCGTGCGATGGATTTCGTACTGCCAACTGGGAAATCGCTTCGAGTATTGGCGCCCTTTGCTGATATGCTAAACCACTCGTCTGAGGTCAAGCAGTGTCATGCCTACGATCCCTTATCTGGGAGCGTCTCTGTCCTTGCGGCGAAGGATTACGAAGTCGGAGACCAGGTGTGTTCGCCTTGTTCTCTAGCATTAACTCATCCGCTTACATGGAGACTGTTCTAGATTTTTATATTCTACGGGTCTATTCCAAATAATCGCCTTTTACGTCTCTACGGCTTTGTCATACCCGATAACCCTGACGACTGTTACGATCTCGTTCTTTCGACGCACCCTCTGGCGCCTTTTTATGAAAAAAAGCAGAAGCTCTGGGAATCAGCCGGACTTGACTCAACCTCTACCATCTCCCTCACTCTCTCCGATCCCCTGCCAAAAATTGTCCTTCGATACCTCCGTATTCAGCGATTGGATGAATCAGATCTTGCTGCTATTGCGAATCAGAAACTTGATACAAATGAGATAATCAGCAATTCAAGGGAAGTGGAAGTCTTGCAGTTTTTAGTAGAATCCATCAACTGTCTTCTCGACAGCTTCGGGACTCAATTGGAAAAGCTGCAAGAGCAACTCGCGGATGGCGTTTATCCCCCAGGAGGGAACGCATGGGCGGCGGCGCAAGTTAGCATGGGTGAACAGCGAGTGTTGAGACTGGCGAGAAAGGCAGCCGAGGATTTGCTAGCGGCAGTGGAGAGCGGGAGTGGGGATGAGAGCAGTTTAGCATCGCCTCCTGCTAAATGCGCAAACTGCGGAAAGCATTCTGTGCCGTTGATGCTGTGCGGGAGGTGTAAAGGGGTTATGTATTGCGGGAGGGCGTGCCAAGTTGCTCATTTCAAAAAGCACAAGGCAGCATGTCGAGCTATAGCTGCCAAGAGTAGCTCGGAGATGAGATGAATAGAAGAGCTTGAAAGTGTGATGCTAACCCTATGTCTCTGAAATATGTTTGTAAATGCAACTGCTAATGAAATGTCAAGATGAATAGTAAACAATAACACTATGCTCTAACTATTCTCTAGAAGAAATTTACTGACGCTATTATTGTTGACCGTGCCAGATACTAACTCCCAGGATATTACTTTTCTATACTTCCATAAGCCAAAGCTGCTTGAATATGCAAATGACTTGTCGCTGTCAGCGGCCTTAATAAGCACCTTTTAACTTTCATAAGGAGCTTTAACGTGTGATTCAATAATATAATGGTTTATCACTTTATTATTTCGAGGAGATGATAATGGTAGCCCCGAAGCCACAAATGCCACCTTGAGGGACGAGACGACTAGGTTAAACTAATGCGATGCACGTGTGTGCTCTCGAGATTGACAGCACTTGGATTTTACTGCATAGATTTAATAGTAGAGAGATAAAGTGGACTTGGCACGGATGGTCGGTCAATGTTCCTGCAGAGGGCTGCATGAATTAGGGTCACTATTATACTCTAACTCTGCGCCGGTCTAGCTCTATGAACATGATGTGTCTAAAGCTGACTCTATATGCACATGAAGCTCCCCACTCTGTTGCCGTAGCTGAGAGTTCCGGTGCCGGGGTTTTTCAATGGTGTCGAAGAAGCAGGATAGCTGCAGTGCGCGTCGCTGGAAGAGTTAGGGCCTTGCTGATACGATACTGGGGGTATGAAGAACGACTTACACGTAGAACATGCAAGAGCCCACACTGGGGCCAGCAGATCCGACCGTCTTCATGCTAGAGTGCGTGTTGGAAACATAATCCGGCATTTTAAATTGGGGTTTGACTTACTGGGCCTCATCCAGGGTTTGGCAGCCGTAACTAGACCAGTTGTAGTTGTCGCAGGTTCCACCCCAGTTCTGAGCAGTGCATAGGTAGATCTACGAGCAGGTTAGACTGAGAAGAGGGCGTAATGTTTCGGTCAAAGCAAAGAGAACTCACCGTGCCGCTGCCAGAAGAACTTATAGCGGGATTCGTGCACACAAAGCTGCCAACGTTGCTGCTGATGCTGGAGCTGCCGGGGTTTGTGACGCCCTGTAAAGAGGAAATGGGGGTTTCGCAGATGGAATCGCTGGGTTTGTTTAGCAGCTGTATATATACAAGAGAGAAAAGACTCACGAGTAGAGAGTGCAAGATCCCTCGTCAGGACCAAATGCCCTGACATTATAGTTGCTATTCAATTAGCATTGATAGAAATATTTCTTTGATGTTGGCTTACACAGAGGTGCCAGCCAGGTTCTTGCAGGCAAAGTTTGGCCACGCGACGTTCTGGCAAGCTCCTTTGAATCCGGATCCTGAGCAAATGTACGACTAAACACAGGTCAGCATTGGTGAAGTTATAAAACAGGGTAAATATATCAGAAGACGGGGGATTGCCTTACTGAGCCAGCATTGGCAGGCGCTGAAGCCCCAGGGGTAATACCCGTGCCCGGCGAGGAGCCAGACTTTGGCTTTTGGCCAAAGCCAATTTGTGCATTGTCAAAGTCGAAGACAACGAAGAGTTCCTCCATGAGGTTCTGAGAGAAAAAGTAAGGGGCGCTGTTGCTGACGCCCAGCTTAGAGAGGCAGTTAGTGCCATCTAAGGGATACGCCGCCAGGCCGTTTCCCGGTAGGGTAAACTTGGTGATGGGCCCGATTCCAATCGTCAGGTCCGGCAGGCTCTCGGAGCATGGGTACTGGTATTGGTTCCAGGCGCTGTTCCACGTCGAGCCGGGGACCTGGGAGAAGTAGTAGTCGGCCAGGAGCCGGGGTACGCCGGATCCGCCGGTGCCCGTGTCGAGGATGACGGGCCAGCTGTAGATCAGGAAGGTGTTGTTGACGATGAAGCCCGAGAATTCGGTGATCCACTCGCCGCCGCTGGATGGCGAGACGTCGAGGGGCGCGTAGGCCAAGGCGCCTGTGAACTTGGACGGGTCGACGTATCCAAATTCGAACTCACCCGTGTTAGTCGAATCATCGAAAGCGACGGTGAAGACGCCGGCTGGTCAAAAAAGAATCAGCTAGTTTCCAACATTGGCATATTCAGGCATCTCACAGTCAAGAGCTGATCGGATGGACCAGAGAAAGCCCGAAGGCCCCCTTGGGTTCGCAGCCTGTGGCGTTCCAAAGCTCAGGCCCACGTTGCCCGTTTGGTCTCCCCCTTTTGCCGATGCGTTATTGACGACTTGGATGGGCACTCCCGATACTAAGAGGCCACCTAGGGTGACGACATCAGTGTAGACGATGCCGGTGTCGCAGTATCCGCTGCCGTAGCACTCCGAGTATGTGTATCCTGGGAGCTGACGCGATGTAGACGAGGATCCGGGGCTATAGATGGGGCCGGTACCGCGCAGTGCAGCTGCCAAGAGGTCTGACTCGATGGTGAAGTCGCCGGAGCCTGTATCAGGGAGGATCTCGAGGTTCTGGGGGGGCGTGCCAACCTGCATTGGCATGGACCAGCTGTTGAACATTGTTACTATCACGTCCCTCCCTCGTCGATGCATTCATATATACAGAGAGTTGAATGGCACGTCACCAGTATTGGCTCGGCTGGCTACCTTGCTCTTCGCTGTGGTAGTTGCACGCTTGATAAAGGGAAGCTTGAATCTTCCCTCACTCCTGGGGGCAGTAGCACCATCCTGACCTGGCCGAGCAGAGGCCATTGCCACAAGGCCGGCGAGACATACAAGACTCGAGTAGAGCATCGTCAAGACTTCTTCTGTTAGTTAACCTAAGATGAATGACCTATGAGTAAGGCTGGATGCCTTTGGTAAATGATCGTTGGGGCGCGATGCACATATAGGAGACGATACTCCTTCCTGTCTTTACTACAGCACAATCATTGTACTATCTTTTAGGCAGGGATCCTTCGTTGGTTCCTCACGACACTATCCCGATTTTTACACTAGCTGCCCAGCTGTCACGGCCAATGGTTGGTGGAAAGTGAGATTATGCAGGGTATGATGGTTTGATGGTTTGGGATAGGCTTATGGTTTTTTAGACGGCGAGTTACACGAGATTCGCGGCATTCGACCTTGGCTGACTGCTGAACAATAGATGACGGTTTCCGCGAGTCTACTAGTGAAGGTTTAGTGTAAAATCCGTCAAATCAAATCCCTGCGTATGCTTTATAAACCTTTATAAAGATGGGGCATGTGCAGGGATGTAGCTGATAAAGCCCTTAGTACTTATACGACATTTTGTTGACACGCCAGGACCTCTGAACCGACTTAGACGCTTACAAGTATAAACACATGGGCGGAAACCTAACTTTCTAGACTGCTATCAAGCCTATGGAGCGAGAACAAGTTATGGAATGCACGGCCCTATTCTCTCAAAGAACAGAGCCGCCGATGCAGCAAAAGGTCATTTTGCGTTGTAAACTTGTGTTATTTTCATGTCTAGTAAAGAGAAACTCATTGTGTTTATATCTCAAAGCACTAGGCTAGGCCTAGCTTAACAGTCAATTCTAGCTTCCTCCCTCTAATAAAATGTGCGGCTTACATGAAACTTTCCTCATGATAGGGCTTTTGGGGCATGGTCAGAAGGGCAATGTAAAGGGAACTTTGCGGGGCTAGGAAGTCAAGGCGCCCGTCAAAGAAATCATTCAAGAAGCAAGAAGCTAGGTGGGTGGTCAATATAATGATAACTATTCAGACTAAAGCTTAGAGAAGAAGAAATAGGTCCACTTAGAAAGCCCCGAGAAGTGCCGAGCCACTACGCCAAGTCTATCCTCAAACAGGCCCTGGAATATGCGATGGTTTTGCTTCAATGAAGCTAGCTTCTATGGAAGCCTTTATGCTTACGGTCTAAATATGGACATCTTACAGATTCAAGTTGGTTTCTTGCTATCCGAATTTGCATAATAGAGTATCATGCCATAACTGTGAGGGATGGCCTAGATTTATATACTCTTTGACAGAGGTAGGATACTCATCCTTTTTGAATAAATCAGGCGTCCCAAGGCACTAAATACATACATGTGCTGTACTTACAAGCGGGGATTGCCAAATAGGTTCTCAAGCCGCCTTGCGAGCTTATTGGATCTCCTTAGAGCGCAAGGCTGAATTAACAGAGCTAAAATGGCCAAATGGCCACCAAGATCTCTCCAAGCCAATACCAAATGCCGTAAATCAGGCGACTTTGCCCATATTTAGGCAACAGGCTCGTCCCGCCCTCCCGCTCCTTCGAGGCTTCCACGCGATCGCCAAGCCACGCCGCTTCTCTTGGGAGCGAATATTCAAATTGGGCCAATATATATAGCCTTGCGCCTTGATCTCTACTACTGCTATTTGCAACAAGTCTTTCACTGGCAAAAGAAAATCCAGCAGTCTCAAACTGCATTTAACTTCGTTTGCCCAATCTTTGAGCCTTATACTGAGATCCAGAGTCGCGGCATAAAATGGATGCTGCCAAGACCCCGCACTCCGCCAATCCATGGACGGCTGATATTTCTGACGAGAATACAAAGATTACAACATCATCGCTATTGCTTGTACTTGAGGGCGTTGCAGTGGCCACCAAGGCGCCTGGTAAATATGTTGAGCCACTGGTTGAATGGCTGCAGCAGCGTCAACATACATCCGATGCAGCCAACAATCCTGATGCAGCTCTTCCCTTTCGCGAGTGGCTTGCAGCAATAATCTCTAACCCCCGAAACTGCAATGATGGAACCAGGCAGCTTGTCCAAGTTACTCTAGCCGTTGCACTACTGCGAGAGAAGGCTCGGGGCGGTCAAAATTTGGACGGGGCGAGTATCGATTCGATATGGAGCCCAATCTACGAAGCTATCATCAGTGCACGAGACACAGAGCTTCAGTTCACTGTTTCTCGCAGCGCGCAGGGATTCTTGGCTGTACCGCTGTGCAGCCTCGTCAAAGACGGACGCATTCAGGAGCTGTGGCGGCTACACACTTGGCTCCCTGACGGGCAACGGGGTGTCTCTGAGGAGGTGTGTATTCATGCTCACCAGCCATACGGACAGAGCTGGATATTGCTGGGCTCTGGCACAGACTGTACCTTCGAAGTTGACACCCCTGCCGATTCCTCATTGACTACTCATGCGGTTTATGAGTGTTGTTACTGCGCGGCAGACGGCAAACAGAACGGCACGGGATATCAGACCCACCAGATGAGTTCGACAATTAGGAGCACAGGAAGGCTCGTGAGAGTGACACCGGCGAGTCGTATATCGCACTCGCGCGACATGACTTACAGTGTACCCGGTGGCGCCTACCATCGCTCCATCGTACCGGGCGGCAGGCTTCACGCTACGCTTTTTGTCTTTGATGCACATCGGGGATATGACGATGCAGCCGCCGTGCTTGGTCCGAAGGATGGCGGCGAGTGGGTTCAGCCCCGTGATCCGGATGGTATCACGGCCGAAGTCCTCGCTCAGATTGTGGACGCAACCCGAAAGTGGGAGCAAGCACATGGAGCCGCTTCTGAAGGAGATGATGAACACGACACTGTGATGGGATATTATAGATATTTTCGGGGCATGGCACTCCTCAAAGATGAAGGTCAAGAAAGTGCTTTGCAGTATTTAAATCCCCCAGAGAGTTGTACACCAGCCCAAGCATTTACTCATGAACCCTCTATGCAACATCAAACATACATCACGGAGCTTATGAAAGCAGGGGTAGTTAGTTCATGATATATCAGCTCAATATAACAAACCGTATTCTTGTGCTTATATCCATCCGTCGGATAATAAAGATTCTATCTATGGGGACGGTTAGTGACGGGGTTAATGGATAAGTTAGGGTCAACGGTTAGCATTAGTTATACTATTGTTTAAGTAAGTTAGAGCAGACAGCGAAGACGGTAGGCTATTATAACGGCAAATAGATATTGAAAGGAGTCTGCCGGTTCATACAATGTCTCTCCCAAGCAATTTGCTCTGCCTCACCAAAAAATCGATTTTCGGTCTGTCCAGCTTCTCCTCTGTGAGTTTCAAATTGCCTACGTCCAGGACGTGACTCGTATCGCCTGCCTTGAAAGAACCATCACAGTCCTCCCACCATTGGTGTAGTCCGTATGATTCCACAATTGCACGCATTAGCATAACCTCGACTGCACACCATGCTCGCTCATAATAAGTCTCATCAACAAGACTAATCATGGCATTACACTGCATGACGGCAAGCGGTAATGCGTCAACACCGCGCTCTTTCTCCTGTCCATCTACTTGATCAACACAAAAGTAGTCCTAATCAATCAATCAACAGGTCAGCTTCGACATCATTCCAAATCCGGGAGGTGACTCACCAGCCATAAACCCAAACAACCTGGGTCAAGATGAGGATTAACCTTCTTGAATTTCTCAACCGCATTTATAATACGGCGCCATTGGGTTCCCGAATCATCGTCTGGTCCATTCCCCCCGCCAATCCAGCGGTACGAAATAAAAATAACAAAATTATCCTCTTTCGGCTCTAGTGTTTCTCCCATTCCGTCGGAGAACTGTTTTGCCAGCCCAGAGGTAGAAATAGGAAGTTTTCCGTAATTCACGAAATCAGTGTACCTCATGTAGTGAAATCGACTAAACATGCGCCTTTCCTTGGTATCTTGCGAGATAAATCTCGCGTAGATCTTCCTTAACTCACTAAATGCCCCGCTAGGCTTCTTTCTCAGCACAGGTCTCATATGCTCCTGAAAGATGGTCCGGTATTGTCGGCGTAATTCTGCTTGCCTTTTACGAATCAAAATCTCCTCATCGACATCTTCACTGGTCAACTGCAGAGCACTACGCAGCGCTTTCTCAACAATTGGTATTGCTTCTCTTGCATGAGGACTGTCACTGAGTACGGCATGGTCCAGGGCACTGAAACCTTGCTCATCATATGTATCAAAGTTTACACCAGCGTCAGCCATGAGTTGGAGATGCTCGTTATGCTCTTTGCTGGGTTCCTTGCAGAGGGCCATTGCAGCGCTGCACGTTCCAGACGGGGCATTCCATTGTTCGAGTGCTTTGTCGACTTGACCATTATGCCACAGGGCATTGCCGTAGTAGAACTTCGAAAAGGCCGTTACTGTTGGGTCCTGGCGGGATTGCTTTCGTTGAGACTCCTCGGCAACATGTACGGCAGCTTCTGTCTTGCCAGACGCAATGTAGCAAAGGGTCAGGCGGTCCATGGCTATAATTTCCCAGGTTTGAGCCATGGCAAGATACTTAGACCGGGGATCTTCGTTGAGTATGCGTCGTTGAAGATCTTGGGCTCGCGTGATGCGTTCTTGTAGCTGACTAAATGCCGCATCGAGCAAGGAAGAATCAGGTGGGCTAGCAAGCTGCCACAAATTATATGTCGACATTCCTTCATTACCAATCGCGCGGCAAATCTCAGCCTCTGATTCAATGCTGGGGGGTTCCTCGCGAGCTAGGCGACCTTGTTCCCGAAATAGGTCTCGGGCTTCGTGATATCGGTTGTCGTGCCTTGCCATCAGACCAAGTTCGCCTGTGATCAGGTTTAGTCGAATTCCTCGAATCTGTCGTACATTTCCACGAGATTAATTAGTTTCTTACCTAGGACAGAAGCCCTGAAAGATGAAGTTGGATTTTTGTATGCCCCAAGGGACTGTTGAAGCATCTTCTCAGCACGGTCATATTGTCCTAATCGTCGCCAAATACCCGCTACATCGAAAAATAGCTCTTGCTTTCGTCGCTCAGCTTCTGGGAACGCGGGGTCTTCACAAATGAACAAGGCCTCCTGCAGCAATCGAAGTTTCTCCTGCCACAACGCTTGTTTATGGTATTCGTTGGCTCGATTTATTAGTCTTTGGTATTCTTCCACGGAGCTGCGCGCCATAACAAAAACGTTATAGAGTTAATGCAACAGCAAGATATTGATGAGCACCGAAGGCAGAAGTTCAAGATTATGTCTATATCGGTGTACACACGGGCTTGATACAGACCAGAGTTTTGACACTGTCTTGGTACAGTACATGGATGTGACTGCTCGAGATTAGATTGTGGCTCAGCTTGATACAGCCAGCCTTTAGTTCTGTCGCAGGAAATCGCCTAGTGAGCAAGTTAGGCTTACAAAATGCGGGGTTACAACTCTAGCGAGATGCAATTGGTCTCCAACCCTTGGTACATCTAGGTGTCAATTGAAGATTAAAGTTAACGCGCATATATGGCCTGTTGGATGTTTTCCTATCATCTTCTCGCACTCCTCAAAGTACTGTTAAGACGTTCTGGATCCATAAGGTAACCTTGTCGCTGAGTGTGTGTGGAGACGCGTCAGAATCACAGGATTCTGCTTTAGAAATCTAACCATAAATTCTAAGTTCTGCGCGATTTGTGCGTGGTCATCATTAAGGATGGCCGGGGCTTAAAAGGGTTGGATGTTCCTCGTCTTGCGATATCTGCACTTCAATCACACATATCTGCAATATGAACGCGACAATTCCCATAATCCGCTGCTGGCGATCAAGCCCTACTCTCTTTCCAGCCACTCTGCAACCCCGATTCTTGAGCTCTTCACTTGTAGGGCGAGCCTGTTACTTGGATCGAATCAAGGTGTTTCCACCACGTCAGAAGACCAATTACTATTCCACCAAAGCAGGAAATGCGACTCCTGTGACATCTCCATCACGGTCGGTGTGGCGCCTCCCCTTCTGGAAGTGCCGGCACACCTGGAAGCGAGCGGGAGTCAACACGCTGCGTTGTCTGGCGGGCTGTACGCTTGGTGACTTTTCTGCACTATGGATGCTACAAACTTACTACCCAGACCTCGGGATGACCACAATCATGGGTGCCTCCAGTAAGTTCCTACCCGAGACCCCTCTCTAGGGAAAGCTCCACGGGAGGATAGGTAAAGACTGAAACATACATACAGTGGTGTCTGGCATCACGACTTCAATCATTCTTGAGACTATTCTACTCCGGCGCGGAGTCGACCAACTCTCCTGGCCTATGGCGGTCCGCACTGCAATGGGCATGAGTATGATATCAATGGTGGCGATGGAGGCGGCAGAGAATATTGTCGACTACCATCTTACAGGCGGTGTAGTGGCCTTGGGGGATCCAAACTTCTGGATGGCAGCAGCCTTGTCCATTGCTGCTGGATATCTCGTCCCATTGCCATATAACTACTTGCGTTTGAAAAAGTATGGGAAAGCCTGTCACTGAATCCGGTATTTGTATGCGTGGCTGCCAGGCCATGAATGGTAGGAATTGATTACCGTAATAAGACCTGCAGTATTTACAATGCGAAATGCTACAAATGCCAACGTGAACTAAATTAAGTCCACGTGTCTGGAATCAGGCTATATTGCCCCTATCTGGTTTCCATTTCTTGTGTTTCGGGGTTTCTGCGACTAAAGGCATCATGTACTTTAAATTGGCGGCTGTAAGCCCAGTCGAAGGTTAAACCAACCGCCAGTTGACAACCGAGGTACAGCCAGCCTTAGTTCCTTTCTCGAAGTTTCAGCGTGCTGCCTTAAACGGCAAATTAAATAGAGGTCAAGACATTTCGGAAATTTGGCTCTAGTAACCATGTTTACTACCTACCGCTTATCCACAGCAATGTTATCAGGTACTTATTTACTGAGGGCCTGATCGACAGCTCCGACAGCTGCCTGGTGCAGGTGGACTGTGAGACATATGAGTCGAGTTTGAGCCAACGCTTTGCAGGATTTTAAGATAACGCTGGGCCGTTGCGAGGATGGTAGGCGGCTCCCAAAGCTCGAAGTCCGTTCATGATGCTGACTTGTGCATGCACAGGCACAAGCTATCCATTGACCAAAGTCCCTTGTCGCCAGTGTACTTCAATATCCGGATGCCAAAAGGAGTCTCATATGCGTTGACAATCTACTCGTCAATGACGAGTCGTGTGATAGTAGTGTATAAGTTAGGCGTCTGCGTGGGAGGCGTTGCCCAAAGCTGCGGCCGACTGATAGAAGTAGTTCCATTGACTGACTCTCTTTCACCAGAATTAACTTTCTTGTTTGACGTAGGAGAATTGGCAACCTTTGCTCCAAAGTCACCGATTTTTGGGTTGATTTGGAAAATTTCAGTTATAACTTCTACATCTCTATTTGTCTTGCCCTTATTCGGTAGCTCAGGCTGCTACCAGCAGCTCCCGTCAAAGCTCTCACGTTAAACAGTATTAAATGTATTATTAGGCCAGTCCAACAGCTTCTTTAAAGTCTAATATAAATTTTACTTTCCATGCCAGGGTTACATAATAAACTCTACTACTAACAGCAACCCTACAGCACAGAAATTAGTATATTAATGAAACCAAGTAGTGATAGCAGTAACCAGGGCTATGGAAAATATAGGCCAAGCAAATATAAGATTTACTATAATTACTTTCCCTTCCAACTGCTTAATATAAGCAATAGGCAGTAGCCTTTCCACAGCTTAAAATGGAAAGTTCAACAATTGATTCCATTATATAAAGATAAGCTTCTTATAGCTTCAAAGCCAGTTAAAGCATAAGTGTTTATTTTGGACGTGTGTGGCCGGCAGTCCTGGGCGCTGTTGTATACTAACGCCTTAATTTACTAGGAAATAACTACTTAGGCAGGACCGACATTGGCGTCGTAAGCCTCGCAGCCACAGTTGGGGTGCTGTCTAATCAAAATGGGGGTGCCGTGTAATAATCAATCTCTATTTTTATGGTGGAGCTGGAACTTGCAGCCACCTCTGACTGGAACTAGCCCCAGAAGGGGGCTTCTAACTATGCAGCCTGTAATACCTAGAAGAGGGCAAGCGAATTTTGCTGCCTAACTGGCTGCTATAAGACGAACCAAATTGAAGAATTTCTTATTCAAAGAATGCTTCAATTCTGACAAGCGGTTTCGCCACTGCACGGCACAGCAAAACATTCTCAATTCTGTTGAATAATTCACAATATCCGAACATGCCAGAAATAGAAAATGCCACCGATCAGTTGTCTGACTTACTCGACCGCCACTATAGTGAAATCGTCGAAGCTTCTGCTCAAATTAGTGAGGGAACGCCCAGCAGAGACATCTTGTCGCGTCTTCTTCAACCGAAATCGACCATCAGCGTCACTCCTACGCCAATTTGGATAAATCATGGTGTCTTAAATCGTGGCATCGGCTACCGAAAAATTGGCTTTGGTCAATGCGGCCTTATTTTCACTATACCTGGCTCCTCAACTGTGCTTAAAGTTTCTCGTCCATATTTCCACGAGGGCCTTTGGAACGACTTTCTGTGTCATCTACGCATTTACGCTGCATTCGCTAAGCAAACAATCCGACCATCATGCCGTTTGCCACTCGTATACTCTTTTATTCCCAAAACGGATGTTACCTGGTGGGACGCTCAAAAGTCCTTATTCACCGAGAATAGCAGCACATTCCCACTTCCATCCATGGGTCTCGTCTCGCAGCGTATTCCCCAGCTGCTACGGACGCTTCGCCATGCTCTCATCGATTTTTACTGTCCGAAGAATCTAAGAGAAGACGTCCGTTCAAATACTATTAACAGAGATTGTCTTGTACGAATATACTTGGGTCGACGTCGTAACTACAATACGCCGCTACCCCCAAACTTCTCTCTCCGCAACTACAATCTTTGCCTTGATCAAATGCTCGACTTGGATCTTCCTGTGAACGAGTACGCTGCGAGTATCGCTGAGACTCTCGCTATAATTCATTGGGCTGCCCACGTAGACGCCTACGATATCGAATTTGTTCTTGGAGGGGAGATTGGCTCTGCAAATACACAACAAGCTACCGATTTCTTTTCACAGCAACTCCATGTGCTAGAACAGGTTGAACCCGGATCTGCCTATGATCTCTCATTACGACAGCGAACAACTCGAATTTGGGTCCTTGATTTTAACCTCTGTAGCCGTTGGTCGCTAGAAACACTCTTGAAACGTCCAGAAGAGGTAGTCAACCAGCTGGTTCTTGCATTCTTCGAGAATGATCCCTATTATCCTCTTCCAGAGATGGAATCTGAAGTTGATCGAGAGATTTGGTCTACGTTTAGTCGAGAATATCTGCATAAAGCAAATGAAATTCTCATACAGGATAGCCACTACGAGGAGACTCAGCATCTACCAAGATACTTCATCGAGCAATGTGTAGCAAGAGAGCGAAAGAATCTAGCGCTTGGCTTGGGCCATGGACATCGAGATTTTAAGGGTTAGATTGCGCTCTTAAATATTTTCTTAAATGGTAGAGCTGGAAGTAGAAATCTTATGGTTATGTTATAATTGAAGTTTCCGATTAATGAATGTTGCACTCGAAAGTTTTGTTGCTGACTGAGCCACCCCAAAGAATACGCTCTAGGATGTTGTTGTTGGGTAGGACTCCAGAGTCAGATTGTACATGTAGGCGGTAATGAAGACGTAACAGAGCAAGAAGGGCTTTCAGCAGCTTCACAAGGCGGCTATTTTAATTAACTCGTAATAATAGACACATACAAACTTGGCCATGCGCTTTAAAATGTTCTTTTAAAACTGTGAATGCCTAATAGCCCAAAAGCCTTGCGGGATTGAGTTCTTTAACATTCGTCCTCGTTTAATAAGCAATTTGTCAACTGAGTAAAATGGGTCATCTTCACCCGGGATTGTTGTCAATGGCCTCGTATTCACAAATTAGTGGCTCCCCAAATCCCATCGCATAGTATAAAGTCGGTCTTTAACTACTATCTCTTAGGTAGTAGCCTAGTATATGCTGTATTACGCACATATCGGAAGTTGGCCTTGTTGGATGTAGGACGCTCCAGTCATAGTGAGCGAAAGAGCAGGTAAATGATAGCAATTTTGCAGTGACTCATAAAATGTACTATTTCAAGATACTCACAGATGCTCAAGAATCCATTAGTCCAATAGCGCAGCGAGTAGAAGCTCTTTGGAATAAACTGCCCAAATATGAGCCCAAATATGATAAGCGTAATGGACGCCTATTTGGGGTTGCGGGGTCCCCGCGATTTGGTGTAATTACATGTGCCTGGTGCAATGGGGAGGGTCCGCATATTGGTTCATATACTATAACTAACGGCATGCAACTGACACCGAGTGCTAATTATTGCTTTCAAATGTAACCATGATTCTAGCTTTCAGGTGCCGATTGAAACTGCCGTGTCTACAGCTATTTTAGGCTAATACTATTAAAACTCCTAGAATAGTATGTTTGTACTTGAGTATTCCTTTTACGGAACTGGCATTGAGTGCTCTAAACCCCTTAATTCCTCCCCATTCAATTTTGTAAACATACCAACAGCAGTAGCTTCTAGTGTTAGTCAAGTGATCAACTCTTAACTATTGCCGAAATATGTGCCGATAGTATTGCAGATTATCTAGGTGATCCACGGTTGCATCTCTGGCTAAACATTATTCCTCGACAAATGGACAGTAATACCACGCCTAAGCGGACGACTAAGTAAAGCGAAAAGCTTTAGAAAATAGCCCTTCAAAGTTAAACAAATATACATGTTAGCTCCGTTAGAAACGAATCCGACCCTCCCAGGTATTGAAATATTGTTAGTATTAATAATTCCAATTTCAAGTCTGTCCATGTCAATGCCGCTTTTTGGCACCCCGCAACAGCACGAGGCCGGAGCGGGACCAAGGTTGCAATGCATAGAACCCCCGGATCCCCTCAACTAACTTCTATAATCAATCAATGGTGAATTTTGCCCCTCACAGGACAAGTTGCCGTAACTATCTGCCGTGTGGAGATATTGGCTGTCGAGGGAAATGGAAATAGCATTGATATAACTGGTACACCTTTCTCGTGGTGATTATGCTGATGCTGCTAGACCTTCGGTGCAAAGATAAATACTAGTTTTAGGGGGCAATGGCGACTCTATCAAAATTCCTGTTTCGCTCGTTGTTGGCTTCTGTCACAGCGCAGGATTACAGGCCTCTTACCGACCCTTGCAGTTCTGAATACCTCAACTATGACCTGAGCATAAAGGATGGAAAAGTCCTGCAGATCAACGCCACATGGGTTACGGAAGCTGTCGTGCCTGGCGTTACGGGCTCTATTGACTACTGTAATGTCATCGTCACCTACACGCACCCCAAATACAATGACACGATTCACACTCAAGTGTTGCTGCCCTCCGCGAGCCACTGGAATGGTAGATTCCAGGGAGTTGGTGGCGGTGGATGGGCGGCGAATAGCGGTGTTGGCTCGCTCATGACGCCGCTGGGCCAAAACTACTCTGCTGGGATGACAGATGCAGGCCACAACCCCAAACTTCCCGACTCCAGCTCCTGGTGGCTGGATTCTAATGGTCGAATCAACATTGGCCTTTTTACCGACTTCGCCTCCGTTGCGTTAGGCGACCTCGCCGACATTGGCAAACAGCTCTCCAGTAGATATTACGGCTATGGACCTTTCTACTCCTACTGGAGTGGCTGTTCTACTGGCGGCCGTCAGGGCTGGATGATGGCCCAGCGGTATCCGGAAGCTTACGATGGCATATATGCTGGGGCGCCCGCAGCACAATGGGACCGGTTTGTAGTTGCCGGATACTGGGGTGTTCTCCAGATGAATATTCGCCAGCATTACCCAAATCAGTGCATATTTAACGCCTTCACCGCCGCTGTGGTAGAAGCCTGTGACGGTCTTGATGGTGTTACCGACGGTGTCATCAGCAACTTTGCTGCGTGCAAGTTCGACCCCAAGACCATGGTCGGCACTCGGGTGAACTGTAGCGGCACAGAGCTGACAATAATCGAGGCAGACGCTGAGATAGTTGCGGCGACATGGCAAGGGCCTCGAACACAGAATGGAGACTTCGTCTGGTGGGGTATCCAGCCAGGGACGCCTTTCTCAGGCTTAAGCAACACCGTTTGCACAAACGTTACAGACTGCAAACCTGTTCCATTCTCTATCCCGCCGGATTGGATCAGCCGGTGGTGTATCGGTGACGCGAGCGCCAATCTGACCGCACTCACTGTAGACGAGTTCGTTCACGTCTTTGACGAGTGCAAGGCGAAGTATGAGCAGATCATAGGCACCAATGATATCGATCTGACGCCTTTTGCTCGTGCAGGCGGTAAGATGATCTCGTGGCATGGTATGGCCGACGAGCTGATATTCCCTCTTGGCAATGGAGACTATTACCAGCGCGTCCTCGACCGCGACCCCAATGCAAAGGATTACTTTCGATTCTTCTACGCCCCGGGTGTCGAACATTGTGGCGGTGGCGCCGGCTACGCTCCGTCGAGTCCCTTCCAGGCGGTTGTCGACTGGACCGAAAAAGGTATTATTCCAGAGACTCTTGCAGCCTCTGGTCCTTCGGGGAATCGAGATTTATGCCTGTATCCCCTTGTCGCTGTCTATAAGGGTGGAGATACAAGAGACGCGAGTTCATATGAATGCCAGAAAGATTTCAATGTCAAATAAATAATAATAATGATTAGGTATTGCATTTACTATAAATATCTGACTCTTTCGTTCTTTAGAGACCTCATACGAAATTAATTGAGCCTTCATCACTACCAGCGAGTTATTTCTTTCACGGCTTCTGTGGATTGACAAGAATATATCCCTGGGCTGATCGAAAGGCAACATCCTCGTCTTTTGGCATAAGATAAACAATGTAGTGAGACAGCATATCGGTCAATCACTCGACTTCCAGATCTAAGAATGGACTGGGACTAATAGATGTAGTGATCAGTCTTATACTGCCGTAATTTCGGGAGATCCACGTTATGCTAGTAACAAGCTGAAACTCTTGCTATTGTGAAGATATGGATGGCTTTATGTCAATTTTATAATGCTTTCCACATTTTCTTTAATATACTCTTCCAGTAACCTCCACCTCATCCTTACGGCGCTGACTGGCCTGGCTCAACTACCTATTTTGTTTTTTTAAACCTCTGCCACACTTTTAGGCAAAGCAGCCAACCAACTCCCGCTATGTGGCTATCGGCATACAATGTTCGTAGCGCATTGCCTCTGTTGATTCTGCCACGGGATGGACTTCTATTTAGACTCTATAATAGACTAAGAAACTCTTCCGCGATGTCAAAATCGTCAAAGATTTCTGAACCGAGAGATTGGGAATATTCGAATCACCTTTGAAGACCCGGCGAAGGCTCCACATCGTATCTGCGGCGGTATTCTTTGCAGGCATCTGTGTAAAATCTCGGTGGTCGTAGAAGTAAATTGTGAAATCCAGCATTTGCTCGCCGAATGATGGTTCCAATGAGCGTTCTGGAATTGTGGCTAGGCTATCTTACATTCCGAATCAACAATAAGACAGAGGGCTTCTCCTAAAAGTGCTGTATGAATTGGCTGCGAGTAGCGAAGATAGAAAATATCTTGATGATCACTGCTGCTACCCCGCAGGTTTGCCCAGCCTGAGTATATTAGCATGTTTGTAAAAGTATTTAAATACAAAGAAGGGTAAACGATCCAATGTCGTGATAAAACTCCAGGCCAAAGCTCTGGCTGCACTGGCTAGCGACATTGTGTTCAGATTGAATGGCACAAAACCGACCAGCAATACTTATAGTACAAGTAGCAGTAGTAATAAAGCGTAATAACTTGCAGGGTTTGAGATGCAATATCAATCGTCATATCAATAAATAACTTGGCCCAAGACGTCTTCTAGTAGAGGCTTTGGACACAGCATTCCGTAAGCAATAAGCCAAGCAAAGAGCTTAATAACCGCCTGTGCTAAGCTTAGTAAAGTATAAGAATAATAATTAAGCGTATATACAGAGAGAAAGACGTTAACAATGGTGCTTCATTTTGTTATTGCATATCTTACCCCTAAATCTGAACTTCTGACTTCTGGCGCCCACTTCCCCTAGACGAAAAGCAAGATTTGTGTCAAAGCAGGCTGTCAACTACCAAGAAGAAGCGTCAAATTAAGGTATGCCTGGTAAAAGTCCTTTAAAATATTCAGAGCTTTTTTGGCCAAGAATCGTTGCAGCAGCAATGGCACGAGGATAATCCAGCAGGAGATGATGCCATATTCAACTTGAGCCTGAAATGGCAAACTTCGACCAGTGGCTTCTTCACCATGCCATTTAACGTACTTAATGGGGAAAAGTAACAAGAGCCAGCTAATTATCTCAGATATAAGCCGAGAAGACCGAGAAGACCGAGATACTACCCAGCGTTGTATATCGGATCGTGCGATATCAATTAATGGAGCCGATGCCCTATGCATGAGTTCCTCGTCACAGAACAAGGAAATCACCTGAGTGGTAACTAAGGCTTGATTATTCTATCTTGGGCAGGGATTTAGGAAGTTAATATAGTAAAAATCATGATTTGCTTTCCTAGAGATGTTATATATGGTGAGTGGCAAAAATGGCAAGGATACCTCTTAGTGCGAAGTTGTTTGCTGTGAATTTGATACACCATTTGACACGGTTGGTGAAAAGGGGCTTTCGAAATATCAGTGATTCATTACTTGTTCCAACAAGAAGGCCGTTAGCCATATTAGTTCCGGACATCCTTCTTTTATAAGCTAGTATTGAGATAATGACTTCTGCTTGTTTGCTGTTGGCTGTGGTTTTATTCGCATAACACTCAAATTTCATTTAAATTCGCCGAGTAACGCCTTGTATGAATGAGTTGGAATACAACTTGGTCCGTGGCCATTAGCAGCCGGCTGTTTGCCAAGGGCCAACAATAAGCTCTGCCGGAGGATCATGAGAGCTAAGCCGATGTGATTAACATACTGTGAGAGACACCAAAAAAGAAAAGAAATATACATGATTCTGCAGCTTTAAAGCCCAAGTATAAAAAGAACTGTCGTCCCCCACGAGCGAACCCAGAATCACCAACAAACCCGATCTTTACTCTCAACCAACAGTACTACAAGACTCATAATCGCCATATTCACCTATTTCACATCTAATTTAGGCCAAGATGAGATTCTTTGCTTCCATCTTCGCTGTGGCTGCCATTTTCGCCTCTGTTCATGCCTGCCAGTGCCACTCCTCTACGGGTGTTAATGTTCGCGTCACTGAGGACTGCTGTCGTAACTCTGGAGGCACCCCTGATGGCAACCAATGCCCAGCTCACCAAATTAGAAAGAAGCTCAGTACTTTCTCTTTATGCTGCAAATCCTACGGCTACCATTCAGACTGTAGTTGCCCCAGAGGATGTTAGAGCTCTGAATTCAATCCTGGCACGAGACTCATGGTAGAGCGCCTCCCGCTTATGCATATATCGATGCTCTACTCGCCGAGTATTCTGGCTAATTGTCACTCAACAGAGAAAAAGAATATGAAAGAGAAATCGTAATCTCCCGACTTAGCACTTTGGCCTTTATATATATGGCTTCCTTTATTTTTAAGATGATTGTTGCTCCTAGGGATGCTTTGCCTAGAATCGATGAGAGAGAATAGTATCTGGAACAAAGTGTCAAATGCCGACTCATTTTTATGTCTCTCCAACTATCCGCAATCTATCTATAAGCCTTCGACGCACCTGCGGCTCATGCTACTATACGTGTAAAAGAGAGTAGCTACGGCATCGGTTGGACAGTCTCAATAGAATAGTTTACAACATTTCCATTTTGAAAGGATGCCGTAGGATATGTCATCTATCTACCAAAAAACTAAAATAATAAAGTGCACTGATCTAATAACACGGTGATTTAAAAGCGTAGCGGTATCATGATATTCAAATAGAACGAAATGGGTAGATACGTGACAAAGATCAAATAACTAAGCAAGCCTAAACGTGAGTCCTTGGATGAAGATTTGTTTCTCATCCATAAGTTCCATTGTGCATCTGACCACTTCATATATTCCTGTCTCGTACACTCGAAGTGAATCTTCCTCGTGCTGGTTCTTCACCAGATATGCCCACCCGTCGACTTTCGACTGTTGCTCCGCATCCACCAACGCCCAGTATTTCTCATTCAATGTACAGAGCCGTCCTCGCTGAACACTAGCACGTTTATATGTGATGGAATTTTGCTCCTCGCTAGAGCCTATGATACGAGAGAGAATGCCGGCATCGGCAAGGGTGCCATAGAAGAAATACCAGACTGGATATTCATCTTGCGCTGGTCTGGCGGAGGAGAAGAAATTAGAAGAAATGTTATTCTCTGACTTGTTTTTGTCTAATCGGAACTGCGGGAGGGTAGTGTCAACTCCGAGTGTCGGATACAGGGTTGTTGAAGATGGGTCTTTCGACGCGACAGATGCACGAATCAACGTCGGTTCGTAGAAAGGACGCGCCTTAAAGAGGGCGTCAAGGAATTCTGCTTTCTGGCTGTCAGATAACAGACAGAATTGAGTCGTTTTGCCATCGTCGTCTAGACCAGTAAGAATTCTAGGCTTCTTGGGGAGGCAGCGAATCAATTCTGCTGAGTCTGTTGATAGGGGAGAGTCGTGTTCCAGCTTGACAAGGTATTTGGCTTCCCCATTCTTGGCCACTAGAAGGGTTTTTGACGCACGCGACCGCTTTTCGACCATTTGTGCCCTCCACAGACTATATTCATAGGATTCTTTGTTGTACCCTTCAGCCATCTTCGCCTCTTCGACTAGAAGCCATGCTGCTTGCGATATGGTCAGACGAGTGAAATCGGCTCTCCAATCCCGGATTACTTTGACCGCTTCGTCCAACGAGAAACCGAATAAAGCCTGCCACGTCGACAGATCGGAATCAGAGACGTGCGAGTCGTTGTCAGCAACATTAAAGGCCGCAACATTCGCAGCGAGCTCCTCACAGAGAGCAAGGAAATCCATTGTCGGTAGACCAAGTCGGGCACAGTGCTTTGGTTTGGTGATTTTGAAATAAGCTCTAAATCAATAAACAATACAGGGATGGTCTCGTTATTTATACCTGGAAATATTTTGACTCTTCAAAGTGCGATTTGACTCGGCGTTAGCGAATGGCAAAGCTCCACCTGAACGAAAGTTACCAAGGCCATAGCTTATATTAAGGCTTTTCAGCCACGCGATTCTCTACGATGCGCCGCTTCATGTGAATTTCATCTACCTGGCTATCAGGCCAGACTCTACTAGTGAGTCTTTACCCTTGCTTTCTCTGGGAAGCCACTTGCTTCCCTTTCTCTCATCACCTCACAACCCTCAAACTACTGCTTACAGAAGTCTTGTCCACAAGCACAAGAGCGGGGAGGAGGAGAAAAGGTAAACCATTCTTTCTTACATGAGGTGAACAAAAAGCCTATGCAGTTACCCTCTTTCTACCCAAAGTGGCGAGCTCATCCTATCCCGTCCAGCCCCATGCTTTATGCCCATTTCCGAAATCCTGATTTCTACCAAAAATGGCATACTCTTCCAGAGACTTGATGCCGAACCCTTGAAATCTGCAGTCGAATCATGCCTACAATTACCAACAGCCTCCTTTCCATGATTTTCCCGAGAAAGAGAAGATTAAGAGAGAAATGTAATTAAGCAAAATAGCTCTTCCACAAAACTCCTTCCAAGTCCTCCAGTTGGTCTTGAGTAAAATACTGTCAAAGATAGTTAGCATCTTTCTCTTTGTCTTTCTGTGTCGACGCGCAGAAATATATGGGCCAGCCAGTGCGTTCACTTACCTTTTGATCAACAGTCCAGCTATCCTGCCTCGTCTTTTTGAATTCGCTGAGTATCCCCTTGGCAGCTTTGCCGACGACGCCTGGGTCGCCCGCAGCTCGTCGAGCCACAGTTGCCAATACCTCTGGCATCCACTTCGGCGGTGGTGTGGCGTACGGGAAAGCCTCGATTAAAGCACCCAGACCCAGGACTGCAGCGTGTCTCCTGTTGATCTGCTTATGTATGTCGACGGGCGTTTCAGTTCCAGAGAGTTTAGGGCCACGTTTGGGCATCGGGTTTTGATCTAGTTCGATCTCGAAGCGACGCTTAAGGCGCACAATCAGGGGATCTCGGATGCGGCCCGGAGAACAGCGGATCATTCCAGCAAGCGTCGTCGCTGCGCATGCTCGAACCTCGAGCTGAGAATCACCAAGCATGTCCGACACGTTGTTGAATAAGATATCGCGCTCTCGCCCCTCTGTCAGGAAAATGCGACGGAAGTAAATGACTTGCATATTGACCAGAGCTCGCAATCGCTGATGCCAACTGCTGGCCGTTCTGCCAATTTTAACAAGCCCATCGATGAATTCAGCATCCTCTCCGTCACGGAAGGGAATATTGGGGAGGTGTCGATATACGTGGTATGCGAGTTTCATAAGTTCAGGGTCTTCCTTGACATCCATCATGTGTAGCAGCTGGTCCATAAACGGTGTCGCAAAGAATGGCACCAATTGAGTGCATTCATGTGATGACAGCGTACAATCCAGCCACACTAGTACAGACTTGGATCCGCATGTGTATGCAGATTGCTCCTGTTGTCCCGGAACTCGCTCAAGGCGCCATTTCTCGAGCCGATCAAATACGTCCTTCATCGTAGTCTTCAGTTCATCAGAGAGTTCATACGGTCTTAGCCCAATCGATGAGGCCTGCTTGTTAGCTTCTAACAGAGCATTAACATTCTCGAATGCTTCGTAGTATCTCGTTTTGTAGATTACAGACAAAACCCGACCGATAGCTTCGCGCACAGCTTTGTAGGGGTGGTCTATGTGAGCCAAAAAGTCTTCCAAAATGGGCTTCTCGTAACGGAAATGCCATCCAGCATCAGCTATGACAAATTCAAGCAACTGGACCTTGGAAGACTCCTTGAAAGCAGCGTTTGAAGACATGTCAAGTCGGAATGACTTGAGTTCGTCCACAATTTCATGAGATCGACGTGGGTCTTTGGAGTCGAGGATAAGATGGAGGCAAGTTAACCAATATTGTAGGTTTTCCGGCGTCAGAGCTTCCTCAATGACTTTTAGCATCACTGGCGCAGCGAACGCCCAAACCTTGTTGCGTATTTCCGGCGGATCATCGCTGGATCCACCTAGCAGCGCACCGATGATCTCCGCAGTCGCACGATGCTGGTGTTTATCGTTGCCGTCGCCATAGATTTCCATGGTGAGCTCCTTGATGTCATCCAAAGTGGCAGCCGTTCGACCATAGTGCATCAGGTCAAATACGTGCATTAGCAGGTAGACATTGTTCATACGAAATCTGTCATTAGTAGCATCCCGAGGCTCTTGCTTGAGGTATTCGAAACATTGGGAAAACCATTCCCTGGTCAAGATCCTGCCGACCTGGTCGCGCACTGCTCGTTCAGTGTCATCGTAGCTGTCAAAATGCTTCGGGCGTGCGCGATATGCAGTAAAGGTCTTGCCCCATACCAGCCATCCAGGATGGTCGAAGTCTACCATGTACTCGGCTTCCTCAGGAGGCGCTTGGAAAGCATCCAGAAACTTCTTTGTGAACTCAGCATCGCCCTTGTCCACGGGAACCTGGATCTTGTTTCTGTTCTCCACTTCCTTTTCCGATAGATAATTGCGATAGTCATGATCATAGACGGCTCGCATATCAATAGTCGTAAACAGCGAAGTAAAAGCAGTGAGATAGTAGTTCCTCAGTCCCGGATGTGGGTCGTTGGTTCCAGTCGCGACCAGGTCAACGAATTCTTCTGGAGCGATTGTGTCGAATCGAAGGCACAGGTTGGTTGCAAAAACGGCGCATCGTGTCGCAATTTTCCAATGTGCCCCCTTTGCCAGCTTCGTCAGCTCTAGTCCGAGGTCCGCCTTGGAAGATTCGACCCTTTCGCGCCTATTTAGTATGAATTGGTGGCGACTGCGGATGGCAGAAGATACGTCGTCGTCAGGTTTGATTGTGTTTACTAGTGCGTCGTCAACCAGAATGGCCCTTTCAAATGATTTGCCGAATTCAATCAATGAATAGATGGCAGAGGATCCGAGATTCTGTATAGAGGGTTTGTCAATGCCTGCTGTCTCTATGTAGAGGCGCATCGCTACGGGGGCAAATCTCCAGTCTCTAGTCAATGTTCTCAAAAGCGACGTAAAAAACAGAGAATACATGGCACCCTTAATCCTGTCATGGTCGTTCTCTTCAATAGCCTTCTTGAAACCGTCCAGGAGGACGGGGATAACCAGGGGTTTACCACCGATAAGCACCTTGAGTGACGAGTCCTGCGAGCTCTGGGCAACGCGGCGCACATCTGCGTATGAAGAGAGACAGGATTCTGCCAGGTCCAGTAACAAGCGCTTGTCTAATTCGCTCTTCTGCCGAGCCGATGCATTGTGTTTCATGCGCAGCATTTGGTATGCCTCTGCACGCTTGATGAGCAAAGGTCGAGGATAAACTTTTCTCAAGCCTTTAATCTTGAAGGCAGCGATATCACACTTATATAGCCGCAAGTGTCGTTCCAGCGGATGAGCTGATCGCTCGATGCCGACGTCTGTAATCCACGTCCGGTACGCAGTGTATAATGTAGTGAAGCACTCGACATCATCCGGCTCATTTTGAGTGAAGAACGTGTGTGCCCTTGTTAGCAGCTGACCAAGCTGCTCTCGCAAATCATGGATGCGCTCATACACAGGGTCACTCGGGCTAAGAAGATATCCAGCTTTGTATCTATACTGAGGACGCAACTCTTCATCTTCAGATACCTCCGCAAGGGGCTCGTCGTCCACCATGACATCCTCTGATTCTTCTTCTACATCGACATCCATATCAACATCGGCGTTGCCAGTGTCTTTCTTGGCTGTCTCTCCCGATGCTCGCTTGGGGTCGAACATGGTGGCCATGCCGCTGGTAACCAGTCGAATTTGCTGCATCAGCCGAGAAACCTCATCGGACCACTCCTTGTTCTTGCCTTTTCGGCTCACTGGCGGATCATCACTTAGCAAAAGTTCCAGCTGCTCAGCGGCTGACTTAGTCTGTGAGGCGAAAAGCTCAACGGCAAATTCAATCTCCGGCGGAGACGGTTGGTGCCACTTGATGGTAAGGTCAGCAGGAGCAGTAGTTTTGCCCCAATCGGTGACATCAAGGCCTCTCTTGATAACGTCAGGCTCATACAAGGCATGGTCGATAGGATAAGTGTGCGTAAGGTTGAGCAACAGATGATGGATATAGTTGGAAACGAGAATGGTTGGCAGACCGCGGCATTTTTCTTGCATGTACTGTGCGATTCCAAGCAGCTCATCTTTATAATTGAGGACCTCGCGGCCAACATGCACCACAGCCATGGCAAGCATAGTGACATGCCATACTAGAGCTCGATCTCTAGGTAAATAGTCTGTCCCGCTGGTACGATCAGAAGCTGCGTGGTTGAAGTCGATTTCGTTTCGAATATTGACCACAAGCATGGGAATGAACACCTTAAGTGTCTTCTCCGGGTTGACTTTACAGAGCGCATTCAGAATCCAAGCCATGGCATCCCGCGCTTGGTGGACGACGTGTGAGGAGACAAAGGTGGCAATCTTGTCCAGGGTAATGTCGAAAAGATCCGGAGACATGGATGCAAATAGAGGAGAGAGAGCAGCCGGTAGGGCATTCACAACGCTATCCTCCGGCGTTCCTCCACGGACCTGGTTGGCATCGGGGAGGTTCTCTAGCAAAGTGAAAACTTTACCCAAGAGTGTGATGATGAATTCTCCAAATCCGGCAGTCGAAGATCGTAGGATGTTTGCTTCATCTTCATCACTAAGCTCAGAATTGTAGTCAATCTTTACATTTTGGCCTTCAAGCTCCATGCGGTCCATCTCGCCCTGTACCCACTCCATGGCCAAATTCGTGTCGTGAATATGGCTCTCGCCACTCGTGAGTGGAACGATGGGAATGCTGTATGCCACGGCCTGGATGAAGTGCAGAGTGTACTGCGTTTTATTGAGATCGTTGGCGTCAATTCCTGGAAGGGCCAAGGCCAATAGGGCAGTAATGTGACAACGGTAGCCCTTTAGCTTTGACATGATGTTGGCAATCATTTGCAAGCCGTTCAAACTAGACGTAGTCCGATGAACCTCAACCAAACCTTGAAGACTTGGGTAGAAGCGCTGAAGCGCTCCCGGGAGGACCAGGTCAGGCTCAAGATAGGCCAACCCTTGCAGCGTGTTGTAATAGCACTGCGCAACTCGGGTACTTTTCGAGAACAAGCCCATGAAAGTAACTTCTTTGAGCGAATTCACGAATCGCTTTTTCAAAGCATCGTTGATCTTTCGCTCATACGGGATGTCCAGCTCTGAGCTCTGTTCGCGGTTCCACCGGGACACAAATCCATCGGTCAAATAGAGCACAAGTTGGCCGAGCATACCTGACCAGTTGCCTTGATTGGAGGGGTGGAAGAAGGTATCGATAGAATCCATAAGACCTTCCAAACTCGACATGATGGACTCTTCATGGTCGCAGCAGGCAGGAGACAATGAGCTTACGATCAATCGAGCTATCATATAGGCGATTGGGTATTTCTTCTTATCCTTTTCGAAGTACAGACCCGTTCCAGCCATATAGTCGAGGGGTGTGTAAGGAGAGTTGGCTTGTCCAACGGGAATCTGGGTCAATCTAAGAATTGCTGTGAAGATGAGGTCAGATTGGGCTTTTGTGAAAATGCCATGCTCTCCAAAGGGGACATAGGAGCAGTGGCTGTGATCCCTCGCTATCCGAGAAAACAAGTCGATAAAGGCCACATCAACGACTTTCGATCGATTGACCAGGGACCACAAGTGGAAGAGAGTTGGGAAGAAGTTGGCCGGGTGCGATCCTACTTCAGACTCTGGGGCAGGATGGCTGGGCAAAAGGCTGTTGAGAGCTCCCACCACCACAAAAGCGTTCTGCAGGTCGTTTGTGCTGAAGTAGGGCAGGAATTCTTGCAGCATCGTCAGCCTGTCTTTGGGGTCGAAGTATGTGTGTGCGTGAACGGTCAGCTTCAAGAGCTGCTTTGCAGATCGTCTTCGGTTCGCTTGATGTGCTGCCACCTCAGAGGGGAGGGCCCATGCCTTGACCTCTCCCCAAAGTGGTCTCCAGTCGAGGGTCAGGTCTTCGCCAGGTTTCAGATAGTGGTTCTTTCTAGAGTTGAATGCCAGTCAGTCAGTCAGTTCGTCCATAAGCATGCTGCTGGCCACATCTCAGTTCCAACGTACCTCGTGAGAGTGAGGACCATGCGCAGAAAGCGATCTGCAGCACTGGCATCAATGCCAGGAGCCAGAGCCAGCGAGTAATACAGCTTGGCCAGCTTGGCCCTAAGGTCCCTCGTCATCTCGAATTTGAGATTCAGCCATCCCTGGAGCTCTCTGGTCCAGTGCAGCGCACCGGGCGAAAAGTCCTCGGCCTGGATGGCGATGTAGAGCTGCTTGAGGATGCCCTGGAGAGCAGCATCTCGCTGGGCCTCCTCCTCGACCTCAAACGGCAGCAGCTGGAAGTATGCAAAGGTTCGGGGGCGGTATCGCTTCTTGTCGTCGTCGTCGGATTTGGAAAAGGGCAGGCCGGGCGTTGTGGCACGCGAAATGGGCTCGTAGGCGGCGAAGCTGGTCATGAGGTGTGACGCCGCGCTGGCAGACAGGCCGGCCGCTGGGCCTTCATGGCTGGGGCCGATATTCTCGTCCATGGCCTGCTGGTGCTCTGTCTTTGCGTCTTTGTTGTGCTCCCCTGCTCACGAGGCCAGGCTGAGAAATCCAAACGCGGGCGAGAGGGGTTTCGGCTGGCACGCAAAACCGACCGAAGCTCTTGGGCAACGGCTCAGGTTCAGGAACAACAACGGGCGCTGCGGCTACCCATGGGGAAATCCGCAGCAGGGCGGACGGGCGAAGAGCAGGTAGCGGAACAGTAAAATGCTGGCAAGAAAAGACGAAGCAATATGTGGTATCCGGTACTGATGCAATTCGATGATGCTGATGCTAGTGGGAAAGCTGGGGCGGAAATAAAGGGCCAGGTCGGTTTCCAATGGGAGGTATTACGACACGCAGTCGAGGGCCTAATGCAACCACCAGGCTACTGGTGCTAACATGCAGAAATTACGGGGTGGTGCCACCAGCTCGAATTGAGATCAACGACATCCGCCAGCAGAGCAAACAGCGCTGGCTGCACCTAGAAAAGGCCGTGACAGGCGGCTCCCAGGTAGCAGTGGCTAACGCGGCCGCTAAAGTGAAGCTTCGGTCAGGTCAACAAACAGAGTGCTGCACTGAGTGGCAGCACTGAGTGCCTGCCATTCGCCGACGGACCAGCATGAGCTGCATTCCCCGAAGCTGCAGCATTAGTCAGTCTGTCCGAATATTACTACGATTGGCGATGAGGCCGCAATTGATCACCAGTACCTCGCCCGGCGTACGTCTGGCCATACTCCAGCCTGTACCTCCGCACCTCCGCAGTCACCTCCGTCACGGCACTTGGACACGTCAGTAGCCGGCAGCCTGCCTCCCGCCGGCGAGCCCCACCTCGACGCCTCAAACCGTTTATAGCTCCTTCAATGCCTACTCCATACAGTAAGCCAGTGCGTGTATTCCATACGAGCAGATTCGGGAATTACTTGCAGTTGAGAAAAGAGAAATCTGACAAAGTTGACACGCTTGGCAATTCTCAACTAAGATTTATTTTTGATAAAACCAAAACTACATGTAGTAGAAAATAACAGACCTCAAAACTGCCGGCATTCACACGTCGACATACTACAGCTGCAGCCAAGTCCCAGGGCTACGGCTAAATGCCAACAATTTGAAATCCTCCATTAGCAGATTTAAAAATACATCAGCCACGCCATTAGTCTTGATGAAACTCTCAGGATCAGTCCTAGTACAGCATCAGCTAGCCAAAAAAAAAAAATCTCGTCTCTCAGGGTCTGGAAATACGCGCGGGCACAGCATGCCTGATCATGGTCGTGCCCCGGACTGGGTTGAACCGTCGAGTCGGATTATCGGGTTTAATCCAGCCAGAGCGGCAGTAGTCGTTACAGGTATGCTGCCTGAAGAATGAGCTGATGCCATCTGAACCAAGATCAGTCACGCCGTAGTCTCGACTCCGGGATAGGATGGCTGGATCGGAGAGAACGGCCCCGTGTCGATAAATTCCGCCTTGGAGGTCGCACAGGACGTATTTCCCTCCTGATATGTGGTAGCTGAAATGGCTCAGGGCTTGCATCACCTTCCCCCAGGGTATAGAACTATCGTTCCATCCAGTATTGCTATTGAACTTTTGGTAGTTTTGGATAAAAGGCTCGCACAAATATCGTTGGCCAGCCCGCTCGGCAGGGCTATCGTCTGTAAAATGCCATACTTCGGGAACATTAACTTTAATAACCTTGTTAATCAGGTTCAGCTTATTAAACTTGTCAACAATCTCCAAAGCCTTATTGACAGCTTTGATATCGAGAGTGAAATAGGTATCTGAGAACACAACGTCAGATTTAAACCACTTAATAACACAATCTTCGCCTTGACGAGGACCTGAGATATAGATTCCTTTAGCTACCAAGCGGAAAGCACCTTGAGCAAAAGGCTTTTCTAGAGCAGATTCTGAGACAAGAACTGAATTGGATTTGTTGTATCTGCCGCTGCTGGAGTACCGACTTGATGAGTTATCGGGTGCGTGTCCATGGAGGCAACTTGTGCATTGCGACAGGCCGGGGCCCTTGTGCCACTCGTTAGGCCTATATGATGACCGTGCTTTGTTGCGGTTGCAAGTCGAGCAGACACGGTCCATCTGAAGTGACTACCTTGAGAGCAGAAGTTATGAACAAAGAGGACTTCTCTGTGAGATGTGAGAGAATCTGCAATTTTAGGGCAAATTGGACCTGAAACTGCGTGAGCTACGGCTGGCTAATTTTTGTCGGCTTTTATAGAAAGATCCCTCAAGCTAGATATTCATGGATGCTACCTATATGTTAAGTAGATATAGATCTGTGCATTGATTCATACTGCTCGAAATGTATGCTTGAACAAGCTATTTGACATAAGTGATACCAAATATCTGCTTTTTTCCTTCTTTAGCGTCGACACATGTATCGTCACTACATACCATACCTACCCTAGATCATAGCAACATCAATGCTCACTTAATTAAGTCGCCCATTCTGAATCACTGCTCAAGCCAAATTTGCCCAGAACCGATTGCTGCAGCTAGAAAATGCCAAGCAACACTAGATTCACTGCCCCCAGTAAAGCAACATCGGGGCTCAGGCAAACCCGTGTGATGGTAGCTCGTGATGCATTGTTCGCATATACCAAACATGGTCAAAATAAATGCAGACATCTATGTAGTCAGACAGGTGTTTCTGGATAAATTTGTTTATCCATTATTGCTTATTTACTTGGTCTTTCAATCGTTAAATATGTACAAAGGAACATAAAAATGGTAACTCCGATACCCAAAAGCCTAATTGGATAGATGCAAGTCCATAACCGTGATATAAATGGCAAAGCGCCGCCAAAATGTCCATCAAAATATACCTATGCACATGCATACATGCTACGAGACCCGTTGACTCCTCGAGTGGTGAAATATCTTATGTGTGAACCGCCGTATTCGAACGCGGCAAGTTGGTGTTTCCTCCTCCGAAACCTCGAGGTCTCCAAGTTTCTCCACAGCTTCTCTCTGTGCAAAGCTGGATGCTGCTGACGCTGCTACCGCCTCGCGTCTTCTCCTCATGAATTCGCTCCCTGAAGACACCGCCCGCTGAATCCTACCAGCGGCAGGCTTCTGAGCGGCAGTGGAGGCATCCCGGGACGACACGCCCGCGGTGGCTGACGAAACCTGAGAATCTATCCCCCTTGGAATGTCGATAGAGGGAGATAGACAACGTCCTGAGCTTACGCGCTGAGACACAACTCGCGGAACCTTTGGTGTTGCTGATGCAGGCCAGCCTCTTTGCCGGAGACTGACCCAAGTTGCTGTGGCTAGCATCAGAGTCTTGTTATACTCTGTCACCTCTAGTGTCGTCCGCTCATCTGTGATGCTGGTTGCATCTTCTTCTGAGATGCCGCTCATGTCAGATCCAAAGCCTCGTGTCGGAGGGTAAATGCCGCTTGATGTCGACATGGTATTGTATGTGTCAAAAACCTCCAAGGATGTAGAGTTGAGAATACCCTGGATAGGATGTCTACGAGTCGAGGGGTCTATGATACTAAAAGTCCATCTACTGTCTGGCGCCGTAGGAGTGGTTGGCGACGAGGGAGTTGTGCTTGCAGTATTGGCAGATCCCCAACTTGCTCGGGGTGACATCAAGGATCTCTTGACCCACCGAGCTTTAACGGTTTCTCCTTGCTCGTTGATATGATTGAATTCGTAAGACCCATTGGCCATGCGGCTAGAAACCCAAGTCGATCCGTCCTGGAACACTATTTCAACATGGTCGTCATCCGAAGTCGTGCTCACAACGGCAAGAACATCCTGGTGGTCCAGATCTTTGCTGTTGTTATCTGGATTATCGTGATGGTGGTGATGAAGGTGGGGATGATGATGATGGCTGTGTGGAATGCCATAGTCTTCGCTCCGGACTAAGAGGAGGTCGTTCTGTCCGAGGTGAGGCTTCGCATAGAACATGCGTGGGAACGACTTGGCTAATGCGGGGATAATCAGAGTTCCCGCAATAAGACTCGACGGAACAACGTCAAACGCTGGGATCGCACGTTTCTCTCCCAGCTCCTGAAGCTGCAACAACACACGAGGCCGAATGTGAAAGAATGCCCGCTGCTTGGTACGCAATTGAGGTGCCGGGAACGCTAAAGCATATTTTGCTGATCTTCGTGGTCCACGCTTCCTTTTCTTGAGACGGATGGAAGCATCTGTCTGGTCGCTCACCTCGGAACCAACGAGCGACTCTTCATCCTCGCTGGGAGCATTGGAGTGAACAACAATATCGGAATGAGGCTCGCGAAATCTGACAGTGTGCCCAATATCAGATGTGGTCCGGCGTCGAGTCGCAAGTGAAGAACGAGGGTTGTGAGCAGGCTCGACAGAAACCGGACGAGCGGGGAGACTATCTGCGGCATCGGGAGCAGGCGCTGTGTGATGAGATACCGGTTCGACGTCAGACATTGGTCGCAAAGCAGATAAAAAGGGAAAGCGTCTGGCTGCAGGTTGATCTGTCTGCGGGGTGGAAAATTCGTGGCCATGAAGGCTCGCTCCTGAGTGGACGATCATGCTGGGTATATGTGTAGTGGTGTACAAGTGAGGCGAGGCAGATCGATCTTATAACGCTGCCCTGGAACCAGAAACGAGTGGACGAACCAGGGCAGTTCTAGTGTCCTATAACTTCATACGAATCGAGGAAAGAGAAAAGTTTGTGTGGAGTTGTAGCGGTTATTGCTCGTATATAACAAAATGGAGAAAGGAAAATGGTCTCTATATGGTTGGCTCGTATTCGTGTATTCGTCGTCGGATAGGATGAGATTGAGTTGAGATGTAAGATTGAACGCCACTCAATAAGAGCAAAGAGATAAAACAGAAGAAAAAAAAATCGGGAGATAAGAGAGATTTGATCGCTGTTGTATATCCGCTGGTTATGGAATTGGTAGCGAAGTGGCGTTGAGCGGTGAAGTTATCAACATCGGTTGCCCATAGAGATCTGAATGGCGATGAGAGAGTCAAGCGGCCGGCGCATATAGTGTGAAGCTTGCGAGGTGGTCGACCGTCGATGGCTGAGGCTGTAGAGCAGTGAAATTTCGCCTTGTACTCCAGGCACGGGCGTTATTGGCAGGGAGAGAAAAAGAGGAATATAAAAGAAAACAAAGGAAAAGAAGAAGAGAATGGCTCGCTGTGTCTGCTGTGGTGGTTTGTCTAAGAGAGCAGGATTCGACAGCAGCAGCGAAGCTTGCAGGTTATGTTACCGGTACATCAGTCTGCACACAACCAGGCCTTATTTAGTGGGGCGGCAGGGGTTGTCGGTGTACCCGGTACAGGATTCGTTTGGTAGCGAGAAGGAGAAGGAGAAGCAGAAAAGCCCGCGTCCGAAACAGCGCGGAGTTTGAAGACTGCGCGGCGGTCCGGACTTTTGGACTGTTTCGGGGCCGTTTTTTGCACTGTTATTGTTTTCTTCCTGTCTTTCCTGCCGTTTTGTTTCTTTTTCGTCTTGTGTTACACCAGGGAGCAGCAACCCCCCAAAAAGCCACCAGAATGAGGACGTGTGCGAGGGCAAGGCCAAGAGAAGGGGATCTCGAGGGATTATGAACAAGTGAGACCTGAAACCCAGGACGGCTGTGTTCAGCTATAGATATGGAGATGGACGGGGCGGGCTTGGCTCTCTCGCCGTAGTGTCAGCGTGTATTCGTAAACGTGCCCGAGGACCAACTCGTTCTGGTAAGCTGTCTGTAAGCTGCGGCGCCGCAGTGGCAATCAGGTTGGCACCTCGACACAGCGTGTTGCGCCCATAGGGCCACAGGCACTGTATTAGCAGTGGGCTAGTGCCCACGTTAGTATTTTCTCTTTCTGGGCGTGCCTATGGAGCACGGACTGTTGCCACTTGGTCGGCAGACTTGGCTGCTCCATGGAGTTGCCGGATGAGCCGCTTGCACCTTGGCGTATCGCCCAAGTACGGCTCATGTACCCTGGGGCTGATGCGTCACCGAAGGAGTTGCAGATGTGGCCGATTCTGGTTAGTTAGTGCGAATGTTGCCGGCAGGGAGAACTGCAGTCCTTCATGTAGGGAAGTGAGACGGTGTTGAAGAAGGCCACTTTGGCCGATGCTGAAAAAGTATTCCAGGCTTAGAAAGAGTTCCGGTTGACACCTCCCTTTGCCGGCAGGTACATCTCGGCTACATGGCGAGTACCTCAGACCGGCTCCCGCTGCCAAGTCAAGTGATGGCATTGTGCTGCTCTAGGTAGGCTGCTTATCCGCTATATTCATACTGATGATTGGAAATTATGCTCATCGGTCCTGGCTAAGGAAAGGGGAAACCAAGCCAAGCGGGAAAGGAGCTGCAGAAAGTTGGCCGCAGTGCTCAGACGATGGCATCTGCTTACAGTAGTACAGCTCGCAGGCCGAATAGTTGCAGATGCAGGTAACTGGTACTGCAGACCGTCCGCCGCATGGAGCCAGAGACGCCCATCTGCCCAGTGATTAGCCCCAGAGCCCATCCAAGGTGCATGTATAGAGTACTGCATGTATATACGGCCAATGCACCGTCGTCCTACACAGAAGCTGCCAGTCACGCCACGGCTTCGGGCTCGCATTCGTCCGTTGGCCTCGTCCGGCTGATTTCTCCCTTTCCTCGATTTTCCTCATGTCTCCTTCTCCCTCTCCCTCTTCTCTTCCCTATTTTTCCCATCCACCGAGGAAGAAAAAAAATATCAAGAAGAGTGCCGCCAGACTGCCGGCGTATTCGGACTCGCCAGGCGCCACGGCAGGCCCAATAGCGGCCGCCGAGCAAAATAGCGCGTCCGCACAGCGACGAATGGAGAATTCAACAGAGATCAGCCCCTTGTCTCGTTTCCTTTTCCTTCTGACAGGGGGGCAGCCCGCGTTTCCGAGGACCGACATCCCTGTCAGACAGCCTCGTTATCCAATGGCCCGTCACCCACTACGTCGTCCACCTGCCGAAGGATGGGAGAAATGGGGGGAGCACATGCGCAGTGGCAGATCCAAGCCCACGTTACGGAGCACCATGCATAGTAATGGCGCGGGTATTTTAACGATTCTAACGTCCATGCCGTGCTTGGGAGAACAGGAAGAGGAGAAGGAGGAGCCTCTGCATGCATGATGCATAGAAGCACGCGCTGGCGCTGGTCCGACAATGCAGTGAAGCGAAGCGAAAGCGAAGGTGACCTCTCAAGCGGTGGGAATACATTGCACATGCTGTATCACTTACAAGTTATCGTGTCAGACCAGCGGTCTTTTCTTTCCACCGCATGCCTCTCTCCGTGGAGTTTGCTTCCCGTCTCTCCTCTCTATTTTGCACCTATCTTCCGCTCACTCTTCTCTCGTTTCCGAGGTCATGGTAATATTAAGCTCCCGCCCCAGCATCCGCCAGTCCCACCTCCAGGTACTCCGCTTAGTCAAATGAAATACTGCTACTGCTGCTTCTAGCCCATATAGTTCGGTGTACTACAGGCACTATGAGTAGCCGACGATGGAGTCAAGAGTCCAAAGCCGGCCTTTGTCGGGCCACGCCTCACCGACTGTTTGCGGCTGAGTAACATCCGTTATAAGTGGCTGGCCCAACCTTGTCCGCCTTGCATGATACAGAGGTAGGTATATGCTGTCCAGCAACAGCAACAGCCGATAATCAAGGGAATATGCGACGATGGATGTCTGCAGAAGTAGCTACTACCTGGCACCAGCACATCACACTGCATGCATGCATGCATGCATGCATGTATGAGCTCCGTACAGGGCCCGCGTCTAGAGGGAGTATATCGCCAGAGCCATGTGATGCCAAACGAAAACCAGCTTCACAAATCCAGCCCGAATGAAGAGAAAATATTCTACCTATCACAAACCTTAAACGACTAGCACTACCGGTGAAGGGCTCCGCTCCGTGAGAAATTTCTCTCGTGCCGCCCGAGGCCTTAAACTGGGTCAGAAAGGCTGGGATTAACGGGTACAATCGAGAATGAATCCCTCGGCCGGGACCGACTCCGTGGGTCCGATCTTCTGGGTCATCTTTTCTTTCTCTGGCAAAGTCGCCTCACTCCACCACGCATGAAAAGAGCCCCATGAGGCTTAGCCTCGGCCTTGGTAGTCTTCCGATCTTCCAGACTGCTAGCTGAGTGGGAACAATGAAGAAGGGAAAAAAAAAAAAATTCAACAGTTGCATCGCGATCATTACCAAGCAGCAAGACTATTTTTTTTTTTTCTTTCTTCTGGAATCATTTTCTCCACAAGACTACAAAGCATGGGGGCAGCAGAGCGCTTACCAAGCTATACCAAGCTAGAAGAACTATCAGCAAGGACTCGACTCCCATTCTTCTCAAAGGAATAGGATCCTAGTGTGAACGAGAGCGATGGCCCGTACGACGAAGCCAATGATATCACAGCGCCCTCTCGAATCAGCCCTAGAGAAGCCTGACAGGTGACTATCAGTGCTCTCGCGCTCACTGAAGTTGTAGGATCTATGCCGGGAGCCGTTCTCAGCGTGCCACGGCTCTTAGCTCCAACGCCACGCTTCTCTAACCTGCGCCGTGGCTGACAGACTCGCGCGCTCGATGGGAAGCCTATTGATAGCACTGATTGACCTAGCAAGCCCGAATGAGAGCCCGCGCCTCGTTGATCCGATGGGGCGGACATGTAAACTACGCGCGGGCACTGTGCTCTCCAGGGCAAAGAAAGCACCATGACGAGGCCTGATTGTATAAGATGACGACTGCCAAAGGTTTAACCTTTTTCGAGCTTACTGGCATGTTTTTTTAGATCAATGTTTACTTGATCAAGCGGCACACGTAATATGGTTAATTGGTCGGCATGCTTTTGCTTTTCTGTTGCCGCTATGCACGCTTCCATGTCTCCCAACGTCACGGTCCCGGCTCTCTGGGCACTAGCAGTAGCATCCAATAACAGGGTCGTAAGGATGTGAAGAGCAGATATATTGCTAGCCAGCATCCGTACATGCAAGATGCCGAGGATTTAATACCGGTCCTGGAAATCTCGCGATGAGCTGAAGAGGGGCGTTTATTGCTGCCCCATAGGGCTATTGAATCCCGTATGGAGTATATGCGGATTAGTTAGCAACAAGGTGCCGGGGGCTTATATGATGAGAAACAATTAACTATCTTGTATCAAGCGGGTATTGCTTCGCTTGCTAGGCGAAGTGTATCAGTAAAAAGACATGTCAGCTACTCTCCGCGTGACTTGGCTAAGAGCCATCTCTTCCGCTGAAGGATTTGGTGAGTTTCATTAGGTGTCTTGATAGTCACCAATTGAAGCTCGAGATACAGAGTCAGCTTGCATATCATGATGCCTTACGAGCTGTAGCTAAATCCATCAAAACAAGCTGTGTGACTCAAAAGGGCTCTATTATCTCAGCATTGTTTTTTATTGGTCTCCTAGATGCTTTATAGGCTGCGGCTGATACTGTAGATTTCACAACATCGCCACATATCGGGCAAAGTCGCACTAGCAAGAAGTGCTACAATCCTCACGATGCTTGTCGTATCTGTAAAGCTTCGGGAAAGGGGCAGTATCCAATTATCGTTGCGCGATGGCGCCTGATGAAGTTTAAAAAAACAAACAAACAAAACTAGTTTCGCATTCCTGCAGAGTTTACGAATAAGCCAACTGGCGGTCGATCTTGGTGGTGTTCTGTATGAAGCAGACAACAGAAGTCTCGGATAGATTTTGTCTTGCTTTGCTATGGCGAATGCGAATACGAATGAGCCTGAGACATGCTTAGTGGTGCACGAGGAATGGAGGGGGGCACACCCTTTTCTGAGAAACCTTAATACGGAGAGGAATCGATGAACTGATAACCCCGTGATGGCTGCTTAATCTATTCTGCTGCTATAGTGGTATTTTGAAAGAAGCAGGTTACTTACGGGTGGTACGATGGACTCCATATTGCGAAAGCTGGAGTTGAAGCAGCAGCTCTCCACTGCCTAATTCGGAAAATCTACGGACCCCTCTTCCATTCCCTTATCGATAAGATTTTACAACTCGATAACGCATGATGAACTTGAAGCTATTCCAACCACAGCCTCAGCAATTAAAGTTCCGTCATCGGCTCACTCCTCAAGAGTATTCGCACCGATGCAATCAATGGCCGTAGAAAAACTATAGACGTTCTCTGACCCTCCAAATGTCGCGCTCGACATTCATCGCGGCCCGCAACTCGCGGCATCGCACCGCAGCGCTGGCCTTGTATCGTGCGCTCCTACGAACTGCGAGCAAGGTTCCCGTATCAGCGGAAGATGTGGTGCAAAAGGCATCAAAAGACGTCAAGAAGAACCCGGTCGTTCGGATCGTGAGGAAGCGTTTTGCAAAGAACACGCCGTATACGAGTTTTAGGCTTATATATGCGGCTATGGCGGCGGGTTATAAGGTACTTGATTTCACGAACATATGTAATTTTATGCTAACACAATATATAGTTCCTCAATATTCTTACAAAGGCGCAAACTCCCAATTCTCCAGAGCATAACCAAGTTATGAATCATCTTCAATCCGTGCGTCAAACCGCCAACGCATCCCGCGCCGTCCCTCAGCCTCCGCGAAAGCCCGATCCCCTACTCCCGCCTGAGCCCCTTCTCATCAACGTCGCAAAAGCCGACGAACCCCCGAAATACACATCCAACATTCTCCCTCGGTCAAGGGACTCGCTCAAAGGGCCCCGAAAAGTCCCCTCCGTTAGCGCCACCGCAGACGGCCAGCCGTTTGTACGACTCAAGAAACCCCAGCCCTATGCCATGTCCAAGATGATAGGCCGAAAGACCAACATTTTCAACGACCGGATCATGAATATACTGGATGTAGACGAGTGGACTGCCTCCCAGGCGGCTCTGGAAGATGAGTGGGACCGCATGATGGACAAGTTGTTGGCAAAAGAGAACCCTGAGAAGACGGAAGGGCAAGCATCCTCAAGGCGGCCATACGGAGACGACTACTTCCCCATGGGGGAAACATTTGGGTGGAGTGTGCAGCTATCACGGCTATGGTGGGAATGGAAAGTCGAGAAGACATGGGAGGATTGGACTGCCAGGGGAGAAGCTCTCCACGAGCTTGTCGAACAAGAGAGATCCTTGGCTGAGAAGGAACAACGAGGAAGAAACGAAAACGACCTGTTGAAGAGGAACAACCGCCGAACTGCAGCACGATCACGGCGAGACGCCCATGAATTCGACGACCCACCACCCAATGTCGTCGTGAGCGATGCTACAGGACTTCCACTCTTGGAAGCTCTCCGGAGCAATCTGCCCGAAAGCACAGAGTCAGCACCAGACGATGCACCGCACGATCCATTCTTGTCACCGGCCTGGGCTAGGCTCGTTAAAGCCGAAAGGGGGAGAATGCTGACGTGGGCAAGAAGGCATGTTGTCAGGCCAGAGAGGTGATTGACGGCGGCGGCGGCTGTTTTACAGGATGGGGGGGATCAATTTCTTGTACAACTGATGAGATATGATTTTATAATATCTATATACTATATACCACTTGAGGGCTATTCATGGGCGTTTTGGATGGGCGAAAATAGAGCAATACTGTAGATTTCTCCCCCTTATTTCTGTACATATAAGTTATATATTCATAAATGGGTATTTTGGGTGCTATATAACGAGCGCTGTTGCCTCATGCAAACGGAATTGAACTGCCGCTATGCAAATCCTTTCTTTCAAACATGAATAGGAAAAAAAAAAATCAACGCTTTTCGGTGCCTAGTATATATCTATATATATACGCTCAGAAATTGTTTGATCGCTTTGCAAAAAGATGGATTTCCAAAAATTTATAAACGAAATTCAATGATATCCCTTTTATTTCCCTTTCCTCCTCTTTCTGTATCATCACTGCATTCTTCGGTTGAGCTGCTTCAGTTCCTTTTTCGCCACCTCGGCCCAGCTCTTCATCGGCTGCAGCGAGGGGATCTTTCTCTGCGGCTTCGTAGTCGCATTCGGATCGCCCCCGCCGCCGTCGTCGTCGTCATCATCGTCATATTCAGCAAAAGATCTTTGCGTCATGGGTGATGAGATGACCGAGGGAGATAGCGATAAGCCTGGGCTCGGAGGCGGTGGAGGCGTAGAGGGCCTTGTTCGATCTCGATCCCTTCTGGTGGGGAGGGCGCCCCAGTCGAGATCTGGTCCATCGCCGGCTGTCGATACCCTACTCACGATTGGGCTGTTGTGAGCCGGTGTTGGCACAGTCTCTATGCTCTTCCTAGAGAAGATGGACGAGGCCATGCTGCTATCCGTCATGCTTTGTTCCTGGTGGAGGTTGGGGGTGCCGGATCTGCTGCTGGGAGTTACGGGAAGAGGCAGTTTGGATCCCGAACCGCGAGATCGTAGCGTGTATCCTGATAAACTCGTGGTGCTTGATGTTCGGTTTGCTAAGCCAGGAGATACCTGCTGAGCAGCCTTGACCGTCGAACTGTTGCTAAACCGCGATAGTGACTCTGATGACCGGGATGGGGGTGTGGGTATTTGGAAGTTGACCGATGAGTTTCGGGGTGACGATGGCTGATGCAAAGGCCTGATTGGTGGTCGCTGTGGGATAGCCGATGGCGACGAGCGAGCTTTGGTCTGGCCACGGCCTACACCGTTCGGAGTTGGCGAACGAGAAGTGCGCTGCTGCCTTACCCCAAGGCCGCTCTGGCGATGCTGATGCTGATGCTGTTGGTGATGCTCACGGTCGTGGTGTTTTCTGCGCCCTCCCTGAGCTTGCTCCAGCATGCGACACTTTTCCTCGGCACTTTTTAGCAAAGCCTGAAGCTTGGTAACATCATGCTCGTGCGCTTTCCGTGCATTCTCTAGCCGCTTCTCATAGGTCTCGTCTCTGCCGTGCAATTCTGCAATCTTCTTTTTCAAGTCGTCATTCTCCGCCTTGAGACTCAGCAGAGCGACAAACTTCTTATCCCACCTGCCTTCAACCCATGGTAACGGACGTTTACAACAGTCGCCGTGGTATATCTGCTGAATGCCTCCTATCATGGATAGCTTTTCGTCGACCTTATCGGCCGGTAGTCGGGCACGGGGCGAGGGTGCTATCATTTTTGCAATGAGGCTCACAAGCGGCCGAGGTTTTACTGTTTCCTGGCCTTCATATGTGAACATGAACTGAGGCGTCACCAAGGCGTGAGAAGTGAGTGTATCGAGGAGGCGCTTGAGCTTCGCTTCTCGGATTGCGAGCTTCTCGCCGCGGGAGAGGTCGACGTCGTAGTTGAGGGCATCGTCAAACTCGGAGAGCCTCACATTGTATAACACCGTTGCAATGTTGAGATAGACCAATCCCAGGGAGTATATGTCGGAGAGCTGCATGCTGGCGCCATCCTCACTGTAGAGCTCCGGCGCTCGCCACTTTTCTGTACCGGGGTTACCATCAATGGTGGTCTGATCCTGTCCACTGACGTCCTTGGATATGCCAAAGTCAGCCAGATACACGCGATTGGCCTTTAGCAGGATATTAGATGGCTTGATGTCCAGATGCCGAACGCTGTTGAGGTGGCAATACGCCATTGCGCGAGCCACGCAGCCAACAACGCCGCGGAGGAACTCAAACGGGCACTTTGCTGGCGAGTCCATGATTTGGTCTTCAGTGGAAGGCTCAATTGCGCTCAAATCGTTGAGCCCCAGCGCGTCGAGCCTTGCCATGATGTCCTCCCGATCGCCCTTCCCCGTCCGTATCGCATCCAGATTGTCAAGCAAAGTGTCGAGATCGCAGACGGCGGCGGGCCAGATGAGAAGACACAGCTCGTGGGGCCGCGGCATGTACGCCGCGACAAGCTTCACCACATGGCGATGGTCCAGCTTGCTCATGGTCAGCCCTTCCTGGCGCAGGTCCTCGATCGTCAGGCCGCGCCGCCGCACGATGCGCTTGCGGGCGAGGCAGACGGAGCCATGGACGACCTTGTCGACATGGCCAAAGGCGCCGCCGCCCAGGTAGTCGAGGGGTGTTAGTCGAGAGTCGAACCGCTTCGCATCGGCGCCGTTGAATGTCGGCTTGTGTCTGCGTGTTGCAATGCCTTGTTAGCTTTAATTGTGTAATCCCCTGCTGTCCCCTGCTGTCAGGCAGCTGGGTTTCCTTCTCGTGACTCACACGCTTGGCCACTGCTCGTCAGTGTCCCATGCGGCGATGGCCTCTCGCTCCAGCAGCTCTTGTTCGTCCCATGATTGAGCTTGGCCGTGGGAGACCAAACGTCTGTGGCTGACGGTGATCCAGCCGATGCCCCGATCGCCCATGCTGGGACGGGCGCATATGATGTCCTGGCAGTAACGGCGAGGTAATGAGGCGCTCTCACGTCTTGCTCACCGTCTTGTTGTTGGCTTGTCGTTTAGAAGCTGAGAAAATGGGTTTAATAGTGGTTAGTTTGATGCGACGGCTGAGCCACGGCTGCGCCACCATCACCGGCAGCCAGATTATGGGGATCTTGTGTGGGGAGACTTGCAGGGATTAGAGCCGCACAAGAGGAGCTGTGTTCCCTGATTGATTAGTAACACAGCGGATTCCCAAGGGCCAACCCGGGATTCTGGTTTACATTGGTAGACATGTAGGTTAGGTTGACTTATTCTACCTGTTGCGTTGATGCTACCCTTGATATCCACATCGCAGGTAATATCAACGTACCCATAGTGCACAATAATTGATTTAACAAGTGGGCTGGAGAGAGAAAAGCTTTGCATGCAACCTGGTGGAAGATAAGAATAGCTCGATATATGTGCGCCAAACATGTTGCGCAATCAGGTATTGCAATAAAAAGCTGTACATACTCGTAGAGTAATGGAAGATTGTATTCATCTTCTCGTATACGTCTAGTAAATTGAAACCGCGTCCAGATTTAGCATTTGGCAACAGCAAAACTAGCAGTATAAGTATAAGATTATTCAGAGACTCTTAAACTCTTTTTAGTGATTAAAAATGCGATCTAAATACGTCTGGTATCAATCCGCGAGCCCCTCGACGACCCCTTCACCATTTACACAGGGTGGTCGCATTGCAACAGATTGATGCATGATGCCTTCACCAACAAACAGATATCCTTTCCAACTCCCCGAAAAAAATAAAATTATAACGCCCAGCAATGTGTGATTATGTTTGAAAACTCCTTTCCCTAACCTTCAAATAGTCACCAGCCCAGGACATTGAACCAGCTCTTGCGAGGGTCCTCCACAGCGCCTTGATATACTTTTTGGCGGACGGCTTCGCTCTGCGGATTCTTGTACTGGGCGAAAAAGCGGTCTTGGGTTGCAGAATGAGTCTTGAGTTGCCAGCGGATGTTCATCGCAACGGCAGAGACTGAGGCCAAGTGGTGTTAGTGGGCTGCATGGCAGTGTCGGGGCTCAAGTCTAGCTGATGACTTACCAATGCCGACGGTCATGACGACTGGCAAAACCCTGGCAACGACTGGGTTGGTGGGGGGCATCTTAACTGGTTGGGTGACCATTTTGGCGCTTGTGTTGGGTATGTTGATTGTATAGTGTATAATAGCTTGGAGATTTAAGCCGAGATGTGGAATTGAAACACTCAAGACTGGGCAACCTGTTGCTTTTGTGTGATGCTGTCGATGTGCACTGAACCGCATCTGAGATTCCGTCTGAAGCATTTATAAACCACATCTTGCCTGCTTTTCCCGAGCGTGGTGTCTTATTTCCGTCAAGTTGTCTGTTGATAGTTCGAGGGTGGTGCGGTGATAGGCCATGGTGGGGTGATTTTGCCGGCGCAGTCTGCTCACTCTCACCACCCACGGCGGCCACCTCCTAAGCTGTCAAATTTGGTCTGGCAGAGCCCAAGGCCCCCTGCTATGACTGCTATGCCCGTAAAGGACAAGGAGCTGACCCTGTTAGGCCGTTTTCGCTCGCCGCTCGCCGCTCCATTGGTCCGTCCCGTGACGAAGCCTTGGAACGCGTGCAGGGATTGGGGCAGATCGGAATCTTGTGCGCTGAGTCTGCCCAGCCTGTCGAACGATTCCAGCCCGGAATATAGCGAACTGGTCCGTAAGCATGGCCAGGCAATAGTGTTTGTTGGTATGTCATCATTTCGTCGACCTACAACTGTTTTCCAACCTTTGTTGGGTGTTGACGCTGGCTATCTGCGCAAGCGGGGACAGAAAAAGAGAGACCGCAAAACGAATACGTGCGTACAAAGTTACAATATGAGCACGTTTTCTAACTAAATGAGTCTTGAAGCCGTGTGTGTATAACCTTGGCTTGTGTGCTCAAAATTCTCTCATTCTCTGTTCTTCTGTCCCCCCACTTGCTAAGGCTTTTAATAAGCGTAAGAAGAAATTTTATATCCAGTTGGCTCAAGTAGCTCATTGGACTCATCTCGGGAGACTAGTGAGCCGCATTGCTGGATCGATGGATGAGACGATGAGTCGCTGCCGGTTGGTCAGTTGGTTCATCATTAATCCTAGTTTCCCACCCTTGCCACCCTGCAGGCCCATTGTTGCGACCATACGAGACGGGTTGTAACAAGTAGCAATCGGGACCAATCCAGGGGCATCGTTGGCACCTCTTAGTGTAGCTTCCCATGTGCGGCTGTGTCAGTCAACACGTGAATGCTGTGATACAGCTGTTTCGTGCGATGGGCGTTGTAGTTCGAATGCGTATACACGCAAGCTGTAGTTTATCCTTTCCAAGATCCAGACAGCAAGTCTTTAGGATTATCTTGATGCTCCAGGCATGTTCCAGCAAACTCAACATACGAGCTGCATTTAAGGGGTCTGGAGTAAAAATTGGCAGACTATAGTTGACTCCCAGGCCAACATCCCTCAGCTGAAGTGTCTGGGCTATAACATACGCTAATAAGAAGTTGAATTTTTGGCATATTTTAGAAAATATCTTACAGCTGAAATATTTGCAATAGCTGCAAGTGCTAGAGTGATAAATTTGGAGGCCATGATAAATAAAGTAGGTAGTTATTGTAAAAGATAACATGGTGAGGATAAGTAAAGCTATATCTTGAATTGGTTTTAGCCAAGAAGATTGAAGAAAGAATAAGCCAACAGCAAAAAACCTTAAGGTTCATATAGTTATATACTAGCTACGTGAACTCATACCTACCAGATTATAGATAGGTAAGGACTTACTATATATACTACCATTTAAGTAATAGCTATACGTTGTTGCTTGTTAACTTCTCACTTACTAATAATGAAGATTAAAGAAAGTTCGCAGCCTTTAAAGTTCCCACTCGATGTCTACTGGTGAAGGCCATTTTGCCGGGTGAAGCTTATGGCACGAGCTGTAGGTATCCGACAGCGCTGAATTTGCTGTTGCTCACACGGCGTTTTAGAAAAGTAGAGCCCTAAGCTTATCCAAACTGCTACTAAAATGCGGGCCGAGAAGCCCAGGGTGTTAGGGGGCTCCATATGTTGAGAATTGCGGGGCGATGGTGGGAAACAATTCCTTGACTCAGTCAAACTTAAAGGGATGATGGAGAGACAGTAATGGACGCAAATGTGCAAAGAGGTACATGTAGATAAGAGAACACATCATACCTAGCTACTATATGTAGCCATATATCAATAATATTAACCACGGCCTGGTCCATGTTAACATCACAATTGGCAGAATACTCACTTCAAACTATAAATCATGAGAGTTTTGCTTCGTCGAGGCAAGGTAAGGGCGAAATATTAAATGTGAGTACACGCACTTATGATTCGGGCGCGATGAGGTATAAAGGACAAAATACTACATACAGGCTCATGATTTTGATACGTAAACGTAATACCCTTGATTTAAAAATATCCGCATTAAGTGAGCGGCGTATCTGACTGGAAGAGATGTGTGGAGAAACTTGTAGAAGAAGCGCCGAACAAGATGATTGGATGAGATATTGAAGCTATCAAGCTGTTAGGCACCAGCTCACGTGTGAAATGCTTCATTCAATCAAATTTCATGAAACCTCGGGGCACAAACTTTGAACAAATCGGAATCCAGATAACCCACAGCATTCTCCATTAGCTTGCACTGGCTGCCTAATAAACACTTAACCGTCTAAGACAAAGCCACGGCATTTATAATGTTCTAGTTATCACATATACATCTGTGAGAAGGCAAAAAACGGAAAAGAAATGGTCCTTGCCAATTATCGATTGCTTAGGAAACCTCACATTGCGGACCATGAACAGAGTCTCTTCGCATATGGCGGGAGCTGAAGATGGCCGCATGCCTTCATGGCCGGCAGTGGACGCTGAAAGTGAACAGCTAGATATCCGATTTTTACCAGCGGCGGCAAACAACCCTGGATATTCGCTGCAGACAACTATTCACCAGAATCCGACATTGATGCAGTCTAACTTGTTGGCACCACCAACATTGCCTTTGCAAGCGAACGAGACATCACCCCTAATCCTAACAGCTCTCATGGCCAATCACCACCCTTTGGATACTGTAAAGGCGGTTTTGAAGGTCAACGGCCGTTTGACCGAAATGGCTGCAAAGTGGAGTGAAGAAGAGTGGGCCAATCATCGTCGAATTGTCCAGTTCAAAAGATCCCGACAGGATGGAGTCTTGAGTGTGGAATTCAAATCCATTGCGGTACATGAGAGACTAGCTAATAGCATCTGCATCTCATGCATCCGGTGGGCTGATAAATCTGATTGCTATTTTACGTCGGTCGATATTATGCATCTACTTGAGCAGCTTATTGCAGCACCTAACCGCTTTGCTGTTGAGGAGAAGAACCGCATCCGCAGTTATTTAGAGGGCTTTCACCCTGTAACGATCTCGAAGACAAGGCCAAATGACTCAGAATTTTTCAAAATGGTTATGGCCTTTGGTCATCCTATACCCAGAAACATGAAAAAGAATTTTAAGGTGTTCCCCTGGCCTGTTCTCGAGCCCATGCTCAAAAAGATCATCAGCAAGTATAGCGTCATGCCGCCCGAGTCATCTGATCACAACACGGGTTTGGCATTGCCGTTATTAACTTTGGCATACAATAATGCTTTGAGAGTTTCAAGATACGCTGGAAAACTCCCTCCGCGTAAAGGAGGAGGTAATTCCGAAGGCAACCAAGCTACTTCCTCCAAGTTGCCAAGGATTAGCCATGGTAGGCCTGGAACCTTTCTAAAATGGCTGGAAGATACTTTATTTTATATTGTGAAGGATTTGAATGCGGATGAAGCTGTTCGAGAGAGACTTTTAGGGGTTTTTCCGGACTTGCTTGGGGCTTTTGCGCTCAAAATTGGCTACAATATGCCGGCTCGTGCGGACTGCGACGCCGCGTATTTTATCCAGAAGTATCGTCAGGAAGTTAATAAGTTGCAAGACTAAAAGGTGGTTGAAGCTATTTGGTGAGCTGGATATAATAGTAAATTCTGTTGGGACTTCTTGGCATCTGTGGTACAGATAGGCTAGCTTCCAGTTCTGACAATCTATGAACCAAGGATTCTCTTAACTTTCTGCAGAAAAAATTGGATCCTGAAACAATTGAACCAGAGAATTATGGAAGTGAAACCACTCCTATAAAGACTAACGCAGTGAAGACGGTTGAACCTCATGAATGAAAATGTTTCTCAGTATGACTTTACCATTATAAAATCCAGCTAGACTCTGCCGAAAGCCCTAATTAAAAGCATAGAGGGGGATGGAGTTAAGGGTTGCTATTTTGAATTAAATAACATTGCCTTTAAGGCCTTAAGCTACAATACTATCTCCTATTACTCACAGTAGACAGTATTAATAGTAAAATAAAATATATATATACATCTATTAATAATAATATAAAAGCAAAGTGCTATTATCTTTTAACTTACTAATACTAAAGATTAAAGATAGTTTTTAGCTTTTAAAGTCCTTACTTAAGATCTTTTAATGGCCGCTATTTTGTTGACAAGTCGGGAACATACCTCTGAACTGGCTTACGCACATATAAACACAACCACGGAAACCCAGCTTGTCCTACCGCTATTAAGACCACAGGGCGAGAACACGTCACGAAACCATTTGATCAAGCCAACGCGGCTTCGTTCCCGTTGGAATGAGCCCGTTATCACGGCTAGGGGTCATTTTGATGTAATGAACGTGTGTTGATTTTCTATCTAAAACAAAAGAGCTTCATCCTCTTATACTACAAGCTTCGCTCGGCTTAAAGATTCTCCGCAGCTTCCTTCCTTGTGTGGAAGGTAGGCCGCGAAGCCTCGTCAAACTATTTTACTAAATGAAGCTTATGGCATAAGCTATATGTATCCGACAGCGCTGAATTTGCTATTACTTACACGGCATTTAGGAAAGTCGAGCCCTAAGCTTCCATGTATCCAAATCGCTGCTAAAATGCGGGCCGAGAAGCCCAGGGCGTTAGGGGCCCTACATGAGGGGCACCTCTTTTAGCGTAGTCGTTTAAATGTTATTTAAGCAATGCAACAGTCACCCTCGTCCCTCTATCCTGTTCTTGCCATGACCCGGCCCGTGTCGCATCATGGCCCGGCCAGGGTTTCTTCTTGTGTCCGCACTGGCTGGGCTCCAAAGACGGCCCAGCTGTTGCGTTGATGGAACGATCAGGTAAGGTGGTGACGGGCATTGCAATGGTGCGCCGAGACTCTCTCATTTATACCTTGACTTGCCCTGCGTGTGCTGCTGACTCTTGCTTCCGCTCGTCGCCTTCTTCTACACCTCTAATTCTACCTCCTCCTACCCTCTTCTATATATAACACTGCAATGGCCGTCTACAAAGATATTGCCGAAGCTCTACTGGCTGCCGCGTATAGACGGCGACGAGACAATCACCTTCGTGAGGAATAGCAGAGCTAAAAACTTAGGGCTCAAGCCTACCGCCTCCAAAGACAAAAATAATCAATTTCTTCAATGATCTTTATAAAATTAAAAAAAGTATTTTTAAAAGTACCTTATAGTAAGACTGCTAGCTAGGGGAATAAGTACTTAACTCTTTGTAAACCTCTTCTTATAGCAATTCTTGTGCTTTTAGGTTAACAGCCTTATCTTCTGCTGCTGTGAAGCGACCTTATTGCTAGAATTTAAGCCCTTTGAGTTAGCTTTCGTTTATTACTCTGGAAGCCATCCCAGGCCAAATCCCAAGTAAACTGCAAATGGAAAGAACAGCTCTGCGAGAGTTTAGAGCTAGCTGCACCGTGCTCTACACCGCACGCCGCGAACGCTGCGATGGCCTTGAAGAAACTCTATGGACTCGTGCAACGCAGGAGAGAGTAAATTCAAGGCAAATTGCCTGACCAGCTTCCCAGCGACGTTGTCAACTCCACCGCTGCTGTGGCCGCCGTGTGAGATAAACTACATGTAGCCGGCCAGCTGCATCAGGCCCAAGTTGGATCCCTAGCCGTTCTTAGCACTGAGGAGGGCATTGACAGCCATGCTCTGCCGCGAATTGTCAGTACATATCTACCTCTGCCCAGATCAAGGAACCACTTACACCAAGTCCTCGGTCCCTGTTAGGTCCGTCCATGCCATCTGGCAAAATGGGCTCTATCATTCCGTCTACACGCTTGACCGTCTGCAAGCCGTCAGGGTGCGTAATCAGCTCAGGCTGCAGCGTGCCGTAGGGCAACTAATGCGCTCGCCGGGCGTGTTGCCTGTCTTGACGGCTTGGGTGGGGATCTCCCATTGCGATACGCCAGTAGACAGCTGAATGTAGGAGTATTTCCTGCTGGCGCCATCCCACTGCGCGATCCAGCCTGCGGAGAGCTGCGGCGGCGCAAACGCTGGGCCCTTATTGCTGGGCGAGGTTGTGCCACTCATGATTAGGGAGGGGGTTTGACTTGGAAACGCGCAGCCTTCACGCAGGGCACAGTGTAGATTGGCCTGGTGAGAAATGTAGGCGAGAGAGAGAATGTGGATTGGAGACCTGTTGAAGAGTTATTCGGCCTCCTCTCAGTCTGGAATGGTTGTTCGGGTGACTGCGGTGGTTGTTCGATGACTGGGGCCAAGCAAGCCACTTTGATGGCGATACACTTGCAGTCCGAGGACAGCGGCCCTGCTATCTGTCTGGCCAGCCCGAGTCGAATTGAGTTGAAGTCGCAGCAGCGCTGAGGGGCAGAGTTTCCCAGGGCATCATTTTTATACAATCGACGTGCGAGCGCTTTGAAACCAGTACTATAGGCAGCGTGCGTGCACATATGACGATGCAAACAAACATTGATGCCAGTTTTCTTACTCGACTCTACAAGTTTATTGTAGTCTGAAAAGTTAATTTGTATCTGTATGCTAAATGTAGAGGTTCTATTTCCTTAAAAACGGTGTAAAAAAAAAAAAAAAAAAAAAAAAAAAGAAACCAGTATTATAAATACTTCACAAGGTCTCGAGCCTAGGACGTCTTAAAAAAAAGGTGATATCCTTCTCATATTTACTTTCTTAACTATCGGATGCCACCATAGCCCGAAGGTATAAAAGTTAATACTAGCCTGATATATATACTAATATGCCAGCGCGCACTGCACGTAACATGAACTGTCGGCCAAACTGCCGCAGACTCCAGAGAAGACGGCGCGCGATTGAGGTAGGCAATCAAAGATGTCGCGTGCTAGAGTCTTGCTTACAGCCTTTGTGATACTTCGTCCCAATAGATTTGCGTAGCGAGATTTGGTACGTGCGTTATGTCAAAGGGGACGTCTGATGTATCCTCTGGGCTTTATTCGTTCTACGTGGACTATTTGTGAAACATCACGTCTCGCAACCTTTTTTTTTTTTTTTTTTTTTTTTTCATTGAGTTCTAGGTCCTGTACCTAGTCTTGAAGAAGAAACCTCCGAGTTGTCCAAATTGTGTCAGGGCTTCTGGAGTGCTAGACAAGACAGAAATGAAATCGATGACTGTAAAGCTACTACTAGTAGCTGCGTTTCCATCGAGGCATCACCTTGCTCAGCCGTTTGCTCACCATCTACTCAGGTTAAGGCAGCGACAGCTCAGAATCAGCGCTAAAATCGGATTGGGACTGCCCAAGATGTCGTATATGACTACCTACTCAGGAACAGACACACGGATCCAAGACAGTTGCGGCTCATGACAGCTCATGATTCAAATTACGAAGACAGCGACTTGTGAGTGGTTTCTGAGCCGTCTAAGAATGATTTTTGCATTATACGCTCATGTCAGCTCGATCTCAAGACTTCTGCGTCGTATTATTAATAAACACCCATTTTTTACACCTTTTAGTTCATCTATCGGATTTCATCTTTTAAGCTTAATCCCTCGGACGAGTTCAAGCCATAATCTCTATAATAACCGGAGCTACATAAAGATTATCGGAACCATTGCTATTGTTCCACGGGCGTTACAATTGGTCTAGCAAGAGACGATGGCCAAAGTCGACTGAGAGACGAGCTAGACATGATGGCCAAAATAGTCTTGAAAACTTTGAAGTTTTCTTTACTTTTTGTCTTTTCTCCTTTGATATATACATGTCTATTCAAAGAGAGCGTAGAGTTGAAACAAAGGGGCAATTGGGAAGATTCCAGTCTCAAGTAGGGGAATGAAGTTACGAAGGGTACCTATACAAAATTCGACTACCTGACTAAAGAAGACGTCTACTTTAACGCAGCAAATATAGACGAGTTACTATCCTCTGTGACTGGTAGTAGTATAATTAAATTTTATCCACGGCTCAGAAAAAGTCCTACTTATGGGCTGATGCATCAACGATACAAGGCCTTCGTCCGATTTGACAGCTTCGTCCGACGAGATTCGTCCGATTTAGAAGCTTCATCTAGCATAGAAGCTTGGTCCGATCTCCCACGGGTCAAGAACACCCGAGGAATATAAATAAGACAGCAACATGTGATATGGCAGTAATATGGCTGGCCCTTAAAGACATCTAGTCGGTGTAGCTAAGGTTATAACAGCTTTTACAGACAACCATTATGATCCATCCCCATCGTAGCCCCGTGGAGCAAAGGTGTACAGTGAAAATATGACAGTTGAGCCGTAATCACCCATCCACGCTGTAGTATCTGTGTGCTAAACAGGAGGCGCCAAACTTATGACAACTGTACAAGCGAGGGGAGTGCAGATACGCCACACGCCACGATGGTGCAGTTGCCCGGTTGAAAAGGAGACAGCTGCAAAACTCTTTGCAGAACTGCTCACATCTATCCGATGCGTGCGCACATTTGTTTTAAAGTACTATCAATGTTTGTCTGTATACTTGAACTGGAAATTTTGATGAGTTTTTATCGGCCTCATGCTGTGGAAACATGTCGCATTTGCTTCAATTATATTTTCTCTGTCCATAAAGCCCAACTCTTAGCAGCACGCTTAAAGATGCCCCAATTTTTTGTCGACAGGGATCGGCCCACCGTGCGCGGGCCTCGTTGCTGGTTGGAGAAGTATTAGCCCCCTACTTCAATGGTGTAGCTACGGAGCTTGCATTGAATATAAGCAGAACTCACACCATGAGGCCCAATGGCAAGGCAACTCTCCGCATACTGTACAGCAGTGATACTATCAGGGGTCGGCTTGAATAGGTAGGAGTACAAGTGGGAAGTACCTCTGGCAGCAAGGTATTGGCCGGCCCCCCTGCAAGAAGCATCGTCGGATCAAGCTGACCGAAACGTTTTCGGATCAAAATCGCCGGGCCCTTGTCTCGTGAGATACAACTAAGTGCCCACCTTGTACTAGCATGCTCTCTTCTTGACATTAGAAGCGGAATTCCGCATAACCCCTGCTCATACAGGCAGTTTTAGTAGGGCAGACTTGCTGGCATGCCCGTTTTCTTGAACAATGGCCCACTCAAAAGGGGGCACGGACTCGGTTCGTTAAAGTCTGTTGTTGAAGGGCGCACACTTGTGTCAAAAGGGTCACGATGACTTACATGGCTGAGTCATGAACAGAGTGGCGGCCCGCTGAAGACTTATTCATACCACCACCTTGCTTTTTAGTCTAGATTTCAATCTACAAAGGCATTTAGCCATAATTTGGCGACATTAGAGCGCTGTCACTGCTAATTAACCCCAAAGGTGTGCACGTTCCTCATCAAGATCCCAACAAGACTGGCGCCACACATTAGAAATGCGTTTTATTTGACTCGTACAAAGCTGACTTAGAGCGCCAGAAAACAAAGAAAAAAAAAGAAGAGAGAGAGAGAGAGAGAGAGAGAGAGAGAGAGATCATCGTCGACGTGGCTCGAGCGCTGCCGATTCCACACTTTTTGCGCCCTCTGGTGAGGCTCTCTAGGTTCTTCGGTTATAACAGTAGGTAGTATATCTCACAGTGTATCCGTATCCGTACACCTTTTGCGGTCGTAAGAACTTCCTATCTAGGTATAGGTAGGTTGCGTTTGTGAAAGGATATACTATCGAGGTACCTATATAAAATACACGAACACTCTGAGGAAAAGATGCTGCATCATGATTATGAGCCAGCATGCTGATGCATTGTAATTCGTAGCGGCAAGTTCCACTGTGATATCCGGATGATGCCGCTCCTAGTACGGTCACTTAGTCGAACCAGTGGACTTTTGATAGCATCAATATTGCGGAGATAAATGTACGCAATTACAACTTCTGCAACCTTACGTCCGACATTTATCGGCTCCCACGTTATTGGTCGGGTATTACACATGTAGGTCATATTTTCTAGCGGCAACTTCGGACTAACTATACGTGCCGACAACGAGGTGCACCAACCGCACCTCAGCGTAGATTAGTTTCCAAAGCTGGCTTGAAAGCGTTCGAGCGCCCGCAACGGCTCTTTTGAGGTGCCGGTGCCTCTTTTTCCTCCTTCTTCCGTATGGCGCAGCAATAGTCCTATGGGTCGAGAGTAATTGTACAGGCTGCATAATCGGCTAGGAGCTTTTACCAAGCTGTATGACTCGCCACCGATGCTTTCCATGTGGCATCTTGGCAGATTTGCCTTGACCCCAGGAGATTCACTCCCCGTACATACATGATCGACGTGACTATAAGCACCTGTTTCATGCTAATGAGACGCTTGGGCTACGGGAATAATAGTCTCGAACGTGATTAATGTGATTCAAGGATGCCTTTGTGCTTGTGCCAAGTCTACGCATCATGGTGAATTGCAAGGTTCAGAGTATCTATCCTGACACGGCCGTAGAGGCATATGGTTGTGCGGCTATTCAGCTCAATAAACTGTATAACTCCAGAGATAACTAACAAGGGGGATTGTTTCCTTTCCTCTGTACCAAGCACATACTGCAGATATACTACTGGATGGACTGTAAGCAGTTGTGGTTACACAGGATATAAAAAGCCCGTATTTCAAAACGCCGTGCTTGAAAATTGCGAAATCCTTCCGAAATGAATGCCATGAAACATCAGTTTGTATTTGGTTTGCCACATTTTGAACCATGTGAGATTGGCAAGCGATTCGAAGAACCACCCGTCCTGATCTGACGTTGCCAAGCTTGGCACTGGTCATCATCATTGCCTATCATTGACTAGTGGAGTGAGTGTTATAAAAGGAAACCAGCATATATCTGGTGCAAGTACGGGTTGCACTATCACTATTAAACCGGTGTGGGGTGTATCTACATACATGTAGTCTACTTCTTTGCATGCAGGCGTCTGCGGATGGCCCAGGCCCACGGACATATTGTACGTTTAGTATAAGCTGAAGCGAGTTTCAAGAAACTACAGGTACTCTTTTCTTTTCTGCGGTAGCACGCTGACTAAAAATTCTTCTTCGGGCCAAAGGTAGAGGATTGTGGATATGTTCCTTTTATAGCACACATGCAGATCGATTGGATAAGCAACTGCTAAGACAAGCTCCGTTCAAGAGTTTTGAAACGGCCAAAATACATGATACTATGTGCATGCACCATGTCAACATGTGCACATTACTTGCACAGGCCTCCTTGTGTGAGTTGCAACTGGCATCTGGCCAATCAATTCTCATACTATAAGCTGACTCGTGTGACCCCCATACAGCTGTGCTCGTATCTGTAGATGCTGTTTGCAGGCAAAGGGCCGCTTCCAACCTATCGGCCAAGGCTGGCTGCTGGCAGACGTAAAGCCCTGGAAGTAGTACCCGTTACCAGGCCTAGCATTAGTATACACCACTATGTCACGGTACAGTAACATATCCTCAGCGAAACAGGCAATCTGTATGTAAGGCATAGTGCGTGCACCGCATGAAACCCATGCGGGGGTTGGCTGGACAATGCGAATGCGACGAGGGAGACAAGCAGTGGCGTTTCCTAGCATTGGCAAGACTCGACACCTGAAAGCCGCAAGGAAACCAGATTCGTCGGAGTGGCCGCTTTATCCGCATTCTCTATTATTTTCCTTTTCCGACGTCTTTTATTAGCTGTGAAGATCAGCCCAGGTAGCAGGGATCGGGGCTTCTATCGCCTTTGATGGGGTGCTATTTCGGTGCCTAGTCCGCATACTGACATGAGCCGATGACATGCCATGCGCTCTGAAACAGCTCTTTTTCCGATTCGCCTCGTATACTGTATCGTATCTGCATTCATTTCGAGGTGCTGCATCCAAGACACGGAAAAACATCCCTATGGCAGCTGCTTCGTTCTGGTACTAATAGCCGCCATGTTTCCCTGCGAACGCCAGTCCTGAGAGGTTCGTTCACCCGCTGCTTATCTGCTCGAGTACCTATGCCTAGTAGCGTTTAGCAGGTGTTGGCAGAATACCTAGTGCCTAACCACTCAAAGAGCCGGTTGACGATCTCCAAGCGGCATCTGCAAGGTTGACGGATTTGCTTCTGGAAACAGTCGGCGCTACTGTATGGCATTGATTGAGATCTGGCAAGCGGTGAGTGGGAGATGCGGAAGCGGCGGAAAAATCTCCACCAACCCGGTTGCTTTACAGTAGTAGTGTAGTGCCTGTACTGTATAGACAAGGGGGGGAAGAGCCTCGAATCGGATATTGCTACTGTGCTGCGTCTTGGCAACACGCCTTGTCGTAGCAGACAGATTGTGTAGAATTACAAGTACAGTATGGCCGTGTCCCTGTTTGGGGATGCCCTTCAGCCCCCACGATATGCAGCCCGGCGTGTTGGATTAGCCCAGAGGCCGCTAAACGGGGGGTTCGCAGCCCCATCAGCCAATCAGCGCGCCTGACGGCTGCTGACAAACGCGGCTAGGGCTGGTGCGAAAGGCGCCCGGCACGGAACTCGCACTGGAGACCACGCTGGAGACCACGCTGGAGACCACGCTGGAGACCACTGAAGGTTCCACTAGAGCATCGCTAAACAGCCGCTAGAGCCAGCCCTGGCCAGCCTACCGACTTCCCAACACGGTCAAGCCCGCTGCCACTGCGCTGGTACGGCGGCGTCTGCTGCTAGGAGGGCGCTTACTAATGGCGTGCTGTCAGAGCTAATCGGCTCTAGCACCTCCCCAAGCAGTCTAGCCAACTGACATTAGCTAATTGCGCCGGAGAGCCCGTCCCTGGTTATCATCTGTCGTGCCTCATCCAAGCAATAATACCTCGGGGAGTCTGCTGGCTCGCACACGTGTTTTGGCGGTAAGAAAGAAAGTTTTAGCAGCTGGTGTGGAGAGACTCGAGGCCATTCGCTGCTCGGTAAGCAAGCCCGACCAGGGACTCGGCGTTTGGCTCATGAATCCAGTCTGCAAGTTCTAGAGAGACTCGGCTGGCTCCGCAACTCGACAACGACTCACTCTGCAACTCCAAGCAAAGCCCAACTGCGGACATACGAGTGCTCCAATCAAGAGCCGGTGGGATCTGCCGGTGGGACAGTGGAATCTCCTGCTGGACCAGCACCAGGACCTCAGCGCCTGGCCTGGCTGCCTGAGCCCGGGGCTTCCTTGCATCTCCTATGCTGCTACGAGTCGCAGAAGCGAACGCACAACCTGGCACCCGCGCAAGCTCTTACTTGTAGGGCTGGGCTTGCGCTAACAGTCTGCAGGCGGCGTCAGGGAGAGAGCCACGGCTTCAGGCACTACTGCCGCCACCTGCGAGCTTCTGGTTGCATTGCCTAGAGTCTTGAGTCTCGAGCCTCGTCATCATCCCCTGGCAACGTGCCAGAAGAAGGCCAGACACCCCGGACTCTGATCCATACCAGACGCACGCCTGGGACAGACCAGCACTAGCTCTGCGCCCTGTGCTCATCATTGGCCCAGCACCTGAGCCCCCCCATACCTACCTGCCGCACGCCTATAGGTATAGTTACACTGCCTACAGAGTACCTCGGTAGCGAGTTCTGAACCTGGTCAGCATTGAGTCTTGTCATTTGCGGCGTCCTTGCGGTGTGATGCGGTGCGGCTCGTCAGCGAAGACCGCAGCTCACCGAAGCGGACGAGCGCGGATGAATAAAGCCTAGGATCGATTCTTACAAAATAACATTTTTAGCATCACTACTAGGTACTTATTATTGGCATATTCTTTCCCGGTGCCCCGCGCCGTTTCCAATCCTCCCGACGTCACACTCACACCCTATCAGCTGCTTTGCATCTTCTTTTATCACCTAGCACTTTCTCATCTATTCTTTCCCACTGGGGATTATCATTTCCAAAGTTTATAGCTCTGCTCTTGGCACTGCGACCCGGGCTCGACTAATCAATTGGACACGATGAGTCGACTATCTCGACACGAGGGCAGGTCCCCCTTGCCGTCACTGCAGAGCGAAATCTCGATTCTCAACGCCGAAAAGTATGGTGAGGAGCCCAGACGCACGCGGTCTGCCAATGGAAAACGATCGCTTTCAGAAGATCACGACGACGACGATGATGATGGCGTTCAGAAGAAGAGATCCAGAGGCCGTCCGCGACTGGACACCAAGGACGAGACCGCCGCCGATGTGAGTACCCTGCCTGTCTGCCTGCCTGCCTGCCTTTTTGATATCAGGCTTAAAAAACTTGCCTTTATTTCCATCACTATTCTCATATTGTTCGTTGCCACCACGGCTCGCGGTACTATTCAACAGCTTCTTGCACTCTGTTCCCTTCCATCTGTCTCTATTATATCCCTCTGAAGATCAACTCTACATGCAATAGACCCACTTGATTGTTTTGAAATATATTCTTTACTTGATTGTCCGCATACAAGGAGATTGTGATTCTAATCTCTCTGCCGCATTCTAGCGTCGCCGAACACAAATTCGTCTTGCTCAACGAGCATACAGACACCGCAAAGACACCGCCATCACCACTCTTGAGCAAAAGGTTAAAGATTTAGAAGCCTCAAATGAGGCCATGAGCAAAGAGTTTACTAAATTCTACGACATCATTTTGGCTGAGGGCATTTTTGACATCGCTCCTCATGCTGCGCCTCGCCTCAGACTCATTGCGGATCGACTCCTCCGCCTTTCTAGCATGGTCGGCACAAGTAGCATCACATCCGAGAGCGATGATTCTATCATGGCCAAGCCTGCAGGAGCTCGCAAAAGCCTCAGCGACGTGAGCATGCATCATGGCCATCAGACAAATGGCTTGGGCGAGCCGGATCTCTCGAGCTCGGCTTATCCTACTGTCCAGCATCACCCAGGTTCTTTCAACTACGAAGTAATCGCCCAGGCAACGCCAAACAACGCCAGCTTCCCCTTTTTCGCCTCCATGGAGTCATCCGCTTCACAGCCGCCAAGCAGTAGCTATCTAGGCACCTCTCTCAACAACCCCTCACCCTACCCCCGACTCTCATCTCCAACATATGGCTTTCACGAACGTTTCAGCAAGAGACTGCAGCGAACAACTTTGGAATGCGGCCTTAGGCTGGCTACGATGAAGAACCCGCCGCCCGAGCGGTATGCGACTGTTTTCGGCTTTAGTTTACTCTTTGAATCCCGCGATTCGATCATTCGGCGATTAGCAGCAGGGCTGAAGAAGATACAGAGCGAGGGTGTAGACTGGAAATTCCCAACGCCTTCAATGCAAAACGACCAGTTTGGATATCTAGAAAATCAATTTTCCTCGACTAGCTCAGAGGAGTTGAACAATGCGCTACTCTCACTCAGCAAATCGGCTACAAGCTTCGCCAACATGCCTCAATTCGGAGCTCAACCTCTAGCCAATTCTGAAGAGAAAGCTGAGCATCGGATACGAATGCTTTGCCAGAACTTTGAGGGGGAATTTTTCACAGCGGACGAAGTTGAGCTATTCCTGCGCCGACTGGGTCTAGCTATCCCCCCGAACGTTGACTATGTCGATTCTGAGCTGGACCTGAACGAACTCCAAGCTGCTGATGAAGCAAGCACCAAAAGCCACTTTGCTAGTATTGGGCTGTCTCCTGGTAACTCGGGCATCGGCGGAATTCAAAGCAACATGTGGCAGATGAACAATACCTCGCTGGGCGATTTTGGAAGCTCTCTTCGAGGAGACTCTTCAGAAGGTCAGAATACGGAAACTACTGAGTTTATCGACAAGACTGACCTGGATGGAGGATTAGTTACGTTTATGAATAATCACGACTTCAGCCAGATATGGCCTACTGGATCAAGCTGGTCCAAGACGAAAGTCTCCGTCGATGTGGGCCGATTGATAGACGGTATGTGGGCATTTACTTTTATTCAATCTACTCCTCTCTCTTCTCTTTTTTTTTTTTGTCTTTGTCGTCTTTTTTTTTTTTAAAAAAAAAAAACAAAGTTCCTCTTTTACTAACATATTTCATTTAGAATTGGTGAATGCATCAGTTTGTCTAGGAAGGACGCCGGGTATACGACCAAAGGACGTTATCAAGGCTGTCAAAGTTGCTGCCGGCTTATCGCCTACTCATGCACCATGAACCAAGTCAACTTGGACGAAGCAAAGTCTCCACTTTAAAGGGGTTTATGAGCGGCTATGTGAATCATCATACTACCATTTAACGATAACCGGTTGTTTTTTACGAAACTCTAAAACATGAAAGAAACTACACGGCGATAGAGAGAGCGGACTGGAGAAGTTGATTTAAGGGCCTCCACTAGGTTTCAGCCCATCGATTGATTTGTGGAGCAACGGGAGTTACGCAGGATATACCACTTGAAGTTTAAGGCTTACGGATTCTTTTTCATTATATTGGCGGAAAGCGGAGTGATACTTTCTTTTGTTCAAAACTTTTATTCTCAACTCCTACCATACTTTTTTTTGGGGATTTTCGATTTGGCAACGCACAATCATACGCTTTCATTGTTCACTTTTTATTTTTTATTTTTTTACGGATATTAATGCTTACATCCGGTGGAGAAAACCGTTTGACAAATGACGGGAAAAGTTATCAGAATTACCACTAGAGGCAGGAGCGCGCTGACTCAATCAGGCCTAGGCGTGGGAAACATCGCATAGGGCGGCTTGTAACATGCATAGCTAGTTGAGAACCACGAGATACAGGGGTTATCTTGAGTTGTCACCAAAGCACATACTGTAGCTGAACAGACCAAGTTGCCATTCATGATTCGTGGTGGACCGATGTGGTTGAAGGATATGACTCTGGGCAGAACCCAAAAAGGCTACGCTGGCTGGGCTGAAGCTGGCATCTAGAACCGGCGGGCCAGTAAGCTGCCGCAATAGGCAGTTGATCCGCCCGCACGGTCAGATGCGGTGGAGGCGGGAGAGGAAACAGACGCAGCTCCGCCTCGTTTGAACGTCGAGCCGTCTTCTCCCTTGCATCTGCTGGTTTCGTATGCAGCGTTGTGTAAGCGACAACTTACAGAAACTCTGTCCCATCCAGCCCGACGCCCGATACGACCGCCCGAAATAGCCGCGCCCTTTATTCTATTTCGAGAAATCGATCCAATCGCCTCCGATTAAACAACATTCTCACCCCCCCTTCTTCCCGGAAGTTAAAAGAGCCATCCGAGACTCCACAGGGCTCGGCGTCGCCGACAACCAGCCATTCCCCGCAAGCTGGTATCAATCTCCCTATACAGTAATTAATCACTCTTACAGTGCTGCCATTATAGTAGTAGTGGTATTGGTTTCCTGGATTATACTATACATAAAACAGAGAAACATGGAGTACCGAAAGCCGCTCGCATCGCCGGATTTGCGGACCAAGATTCAGCCTCGATTGATCATCCACGGGGGCGCGGGGAATATCCGGCGTGAGAACTACCCCTCTGAGAAATATGCCGCTTACAGGAGCGCTCTTCTTGCGATTGTGAGTTGAGAATAACCTTTTTGTCTGTTGTGCACAATGATAGACTTTTCCATCCCATGTTGCAAGTAAAAGAAACTTTGTACTCTTTTTTTCCCCTCCCTCTTTGTGTATTATTGTTCATCATATGAAGTTTGAAGGGAGAAAAAAAAATGTAGAAGAATTAGGACTAATGTAGAGAGATGAAAATCCAAACCATGTAGGTTTCCAGCACACAAGATTACATGAGCTCGTCTTCACATAAGACGAACCAGTATTCGCCATATGAGAAACAATCCGCAACACAAGAAAAAGAAAATCCACCTCATCATGGCCCTTCGGCCCTAGAAATCGCCACCCACGCCGTCGCCCAGCTCGAAGACAACCCCCTCTTCAACAGCGGCTACGGCGCCGTCTTCACCCGCGATGGCATCAACGAGCTCGAAGCCTCCGTGATGGTCTCGCGGGGCTTCAAGAAGCGCGGCGTGGGAGTCATGGGCCTGCGGCGGGTGCGCAACCCGATCCTGCTGGCGAAGAAGATGCTCGAGCACGGTGAGGACGATCTCGCGCCGTCGTCGTCGTCACATGCTTCTTCTTCTCTTTTGCTGGACGTGGATGTGCCCTCTGCGCAGGGACATACGCAGCTTCATGGCGAGACGGCCGAGAGGCTCGCTGAGCGGTACGGCCTTGAGATGGTGGATCCGGAGTACTTCTTTACGCAGCCGCGCTGGGACGAGCATGTTCGTGCGCTGGAGAGGGAGAAACGCGGGCTTGGCTTGGGGACGTGGCATGCGGAGGAGTATCTCCCGCAGGGGACTTGCGGAGCTGTTGCGTTGGATGCGGAGGGCGTCATCTGTGCGGCCACGAGCACGGGTGGTATGACGAACAAGCTCACGGGGCGTATTGGCGATACTCCCGTCGTGGGAGCTGGATTCTGGGCTGAAGAGTGGGATGATGACGCCGAGGGGCCATCGATGTGGGAGAGCCTCACAAGTCAAGCTCAGAGGGCACAGCCGGGACTTAGTTTTGCTGGGCCGTTGAAGGGCTTGCTGGCAGATTGCTTTCCCACTCCGTGGATGTACTCGCCCGTCCAATTAGACGATGGAGAAACGCAACGCCTCAGTTTGACAAGCTCCACGACGTCGAGTCGGTCCATCGGCGTATCGGGAACAGGCAACGGCGACTCCTTCCTGCGCGTCAATGCCGTCCGCACCGTCGCCGCCATTGCGAGATACAAGCCATTAGCCGGCAGCAAGGCGCTGTCCCGAGTGGTCGGTCCAGGAGGCGAGCTGCAGAAGAGCGCGGGCGATCGCTGGACGCGCACGGGCGAAGGAGAGGGCGGCATGATTGGCATCGAGTGCACGCTGGTGCGAGACGAAGATGGGAATGCAGTGGGCGTTCGGTCGGAGCTGCTGATGGATTATAACTGCGGCGGTATGTGGCGTGCATGGGTTGATGATGGAGGCAAGGCGGTGATGAGCGCTTGGTCGAATGGATCTGCAGATGAGCTGTGAGTTGAAGAGGTAAAGCTAGATGGAAGCGAGCACAATAGAATCAGGCGAGAGATCTGGGATGAGGAGAATTTCCTAATTCAATTCATTCCTTGTTATGTGTTGGACTAGAAGTGATAGAGGCCACCACCTGGCCTTTCCTTCCAAGTACAGCTTATACACAAGCCGCATGGGACGTATCTCGTCTCATCTCGTCCCAGCCAGTTTCTTCTTTTCTATATATTCGTACATGTGATGTTTTCGCCAACACCGAGTTCCCTTTTAGCTACCCAAGCAACAGGGTCTATTTCCCCCGAATTCGCTTGTTCCCTCGTTTTCCCTTTGCAGACCTAGGCAGAGAGCCCATTGGTATTTCCCTCCATATCTATAAGTCACGGAAAACGCCAGTGCGATGCGATTTGCAGATTATCCATAGATATTGGTTTCCTTTTTGGGGGGGTTTCGTTCTTCCCAGATTCCTTCTCCTCGTTCGTTTTCCAGTGGGTTCTCACTCATCTTCGCTGCGTCTCTGGCGCCGCAGAGTCAACCAGGGGAGAAAATAATATAGTTGCGCGTTAAGGCCATAAAGAAAAAGCCAAGACCAGTAAAGCGGAATAAAAGACAATTATGAATAAAAGGCAGAGTTGAGAGGCATAAAATCGATCCGATCCGATTCGATTTTGTTCTTTTCGTTTCGTCTTGGTAATATTATTTTTTTCGTTTGTCGTTTACAAAGCCTGAACTTCCGAGTTCGGGGGCGGCTGCGGCATCTCCAGCTTGGTTGATCCAGCCATCATCTTTCCAAAGGCGATACCGACACCCTCGATGACGGCCAGCAGAACGGCGCAGCCAATGGCGTTGTTTCGGGCAGCCTTGACACCGCCACGGAAGGCAAGAGAGCCACCGGTGAAGAAACCGGCACTATGAAATAGAATGTCTTAGCAAACTGGATTGTCCCTCTCCACGAATTGATCCGACGCTTACATGATGGCATTGTAAGGATCCTCCTTCTTTCGGATGCCCTTGACGGTGCAGTCAAAGGTTGAGAAGAGACCACCCCAGACACCGAAGTTGCCGCCCAGGACGGGCGCTCGCATCTTGACGGCGGTGATGGCACCGATTCGGCGCTCGCCGTAGGGAGAGTTTCGGAAGCCCTTGATGCCGTGCCAGATGGTTCCACCGATAGCCTGCAGTGATGATAAAACGGTCAGCTTGCTGTAACTTGCTATAGCCAGTGCAGCCTGGCATCGACGAGGCCCGCAGTGACGACGGTCTCTCAATCGCTCAATGTGGGGGGGTTTGGAGGAGGCTTTTGTCAACGTACACCCATGGCAAAGGCACCGCCAAAGTCATTGAGAATGACCCAAGGGCAGGGGTCGCGTCCGTGATCCATGGCTGAGGATGAATATGAGGCACCGAGTGAGGACAATCGCGAGGTGGCGGAGGATCCGAGGCGGAGGTCGAGATGTGGTGAGAAAAAAGTTCGGTTTGCGTCGTGACGACTTTTTTGGAGTTCTGGAAAATCCGGGCCGGCGGCGCTTGTTCCGTTTTCGCAGACGTGGGGCCCCAGTGGCGGAAAGCGGTCCGTTAAGAACGGAGTCACATGATCTGCTGGATACGGAGCACTAATACAAAACGGAGTAAGCTGTTAGCTGCCGTTATTTACGGGCACTTACACAGCACCCCTTAGCCGCTGATCAAGTCTCGACTGCTCTTCTCGCAACCGCAAGCATACAACTATCTTGCTCCCAAAAAGAGCTGTAATTTAGATTGTAGAGCATTAACCCCGCAGCCACTGTGTAGGTTATTGGTTTCTGAGATTGCATCTTTATCATACAAGAACGAACAGTGTGTATACGCTCCTAGCCACATTTTTTGCGTCCAAAGCCTCAAACTAATACTAACCAGCCCATACAAAAAGATAGGATCGAACAGGCAAGTCATCAACATCTCCACACTCTGACCGAAAGTAAACTCTCACCTTGTCAAACCACGTGGCAACCTTTACCTGATTCTCCAACCTGGGAATGCTTCCCTTGCTAGCGGCCGCTCCCATCAGCAGGTCCAACTCTCAGCTCGGCTTCGGCTCTCAGCGCGGCTTCGGCTCTCCTCTCAGCCTTGCTTCAACCCCCGCGGTTTCAGCGTAGTGGCGTTGAAACCCCACACGAATCACGGATATCTTGACGCCAAGCTCATGTTTTCGACCTCATCTTTACTATCATTAGCCATGACGGGCTTGTTTCAGACAGCTTTAATAACTAGCATATTCTTTATCCAGAAATTTTGACCAAATCCATCCTAGATTGGCTCCCTCAAGAGTCTTTGTTTGTCCGGCGTTTGGTGACTTTTGGCATGAGGATTCACTAGACGGGTCTGCAATGCCGGGACCCGCAGCGGCGTCTTTCCCGAAGTGGCTCGCCGAAGTGGCTCGCCAAAGATCCCACACTAGGCGATTGTATATAAAGAAAGACCTATTCTACACATTAATCACTCCATGCCATTTTTTTGTCTCTATTCCCATCATTCTGTCCATTGGAAGATCACGAAGCCTGCCCATCATGCCTCTCAAAATCGTCCCAGCTACAGAAGCGGATATGGCTCGCTCCGCCGCCATAGAAAAGCGTGCGTATGGCCCCAACAAGTCCAGTGCTGTTTTCTTCCCGGGAGAGGGTATGGCCACTGAGGACCGTATTGCCATCATGATTGCGAGAAAAAATGAAGAGCCAGCTTTCAAGATGATGAAGGTGGTCGATACAGACCTGGAGGCAAAGGGCGAGGATGGCATTATTGCATGCACTCTATGGTTCATTTGGTCTGGGGACCTTAAGCCAAGCCAGCCTAAGCGCAGTTGGGGACCTGGGACGAATATAGAGGCCTGCGACGCCTTCTTTGGAGAGATGGATAGAAGATGGTGGGCTAAGTTTGAAGGAAAGCCGCACGTTTGTAAGTCACTTCTGGCGTTCTTGGAATAAACCATCAATGCGGTGTACGGTGATAGCTGATATCTGCAGATCTCAAACTCCTCCACACCGATCCTGACCACCAAAGACGAGGCGCCGGAAGTAAATGCCTGGAGTGGGGAACCGCAGAGGCTGATAGACTGGGACTCGTGTCATATCTTGAGGCTTCTGAAGAGGGGCGACCACTGTATGAGAAATTTGGCTTCAAAGAGGTAGATAGAATTGTTGTGGACCTGTCAAAATGGGGCAGTCCTATCGAGGCTACGGCTTATCTGATGGTCCGCGAGCCAGTCTCGAACTAATTTCAAGGAATGGTTGATAGCGATGGAATAATTTACATGTAGTTTATACGTAACTACCTAATACATCAATTTTGACTGGTTCTTTCTAGGTACATGTTTCTCGTACTGTGGCCAAATTTAGCAAGACAGGTGTGATCCATTTGTATGCGTGTGCTTTATTGAGATGCTCATGTACCTGCCAGTGCTTTCAATCCGAGAGTAGTTATCCCCATGTTTAAAGCTGGTAATTAAACTATGGCATTAGTGGCGTAGAAGTCGCTACTTCTTCTTTGATTACATTTGATATCTACTCAATGTTAGTCAAATAATGAGATGCATCTAGACACAGCTAATATAGTGGTTCCTAGGATTGTTGAGCCAATGCACCCGAAGCTACTTTATATGAAGGTAGATACCTATAATTTAGCTATTCTAGCACGCGCTGTTGTGCTCAATTTGCCCTTGGTCTGAAAGCTGTGTCAAGAACCTGAAATGGCAATTGCAGCCTCTCATAGTTGCCTCTGGTCATGCCATGTTCTTGCTTACGCTAGATACCTGGTAGATAGGAGGTTTTATGTTTATGGACGATCTTCATGGAGGCAGCTACAATGAAAAGTGGAGCTGTATGAAAGTGTAGACGCCTCGTACAGTAAAGGGAGCTCACTTCTACTAGAACCATATGAAGTCACTAAAGGTTGATGACAATATAAGGAATTCCGCAATTACCTGGGCAATGGACACAAACAAGATAGTGAACATTGTAATATATATAATATTTCTAGAGTAATTGTTGATAGGTTTGAGTAAAATCTTTTGTACATGTGATTCGACGAGAGCAAGCGCGTTGATAAACTTGTGACTGCCAACGCAGGAAACGGCAGTGGGTGCCCATATAAGCTTTGCCTTGAAGTCGTTCTAAGGCTTGTTACAGTTTTTCATAACAGAAACAACCATTATCGTAGTTAGGGTATGTTGAAATTGTTTAAAGTAACCGATGAAAGTGGAAGCCGTGGCATCCTCGTGAAGGAGCGGCTAATGCCTATAGGCCAGGGAGCTGCGACTTTGAATGTAATCTCCAGTTCGTTAGGCAGGATGTCTTCATTGTACAATATTAAATGGATATCACAGTATTATATAGAGGCTAACCAAAAAAAAAAATACATCACTCTCACAGCGCAATACAATTTTTTTTTCCGTGAAAAAAATGTGTAGTGTCAATCGTATTCCCCGATAGTCACCCAGTGATTGTTGGTTACTTAGTAGCTGCTTTAGACATTTCGATACGGTTTCTTGAGTATTCAACTGATCTTTCCATGGAACATTTTGTAGATAGGTAATTATGCCTTCCGGATACGTATCCGTACTTTCTTAATGATGTGATATTGCTGAAACTGGCACAATGGGACTGTCACTTCCCGATCATTACGAGGCATCGTTGCTCTTACCTTGAGAATGAATAAACAACTTATTGTTATTATAAACAGCGCTCTTCGCGCAATATACGATCTTCAGAGTTTACGAATCACTGAGAGCGGCAGCAGCAACAGCAACAGCAACAACAACACCAACACCGACGACGACGACAACGACGACGACGACGACGACAACGACGACGAAGATGACGATGGCGATGATGATGATGGTGGTCTGGGCGGCCCCTGAGCCGCAGCCCTCCCCCTCCTCTTTTGATGTATGGTTCCACCGAGCCTATGAGACGGCCTGTTTTGTTGGCGCCTGCGTCACCACCATCGACGTGGTGATCCAGTGGAAGAGAGAGAGGGACGCCCGGACCGAGAACCCCGGCCCTGCTGGCCCTTGCGGTGCTGCCGGCTCCCCGGGTCCCCAAGGGGAAAATGGGAAAAAAGGGGACAAAGGGGGACAAAGGGGTCCCGGGTGTTGTCGTTTTGGTAGCCCGTTCCCGTTCCCGCTCCCGCTCCCGCTCCCGCCGCCCCACCTCCGACCCGGCCCCGGCCCGGAATGAGGCAGCAGCGACAACAGCAGCGACAGCAGAAGCAGCAACAACAACATCAGCAGCAGCAGCAGAAGCAGCAGAAGCAGCAGTAATAGCAGCACCAGCAGCACCAGCAGCACCAGCAGCACCAGCAGCACCAGCAGCACCAGCAGCACCAGCAGCAATAGCAGCAATAGCAGCACCAGCAGCAGAAGTAGCAGAAGCAGCAGAAGCAGCACCAGCAGCAACAGCAACAACAGCGGCTCCTCCTCCTCTCCTCCCCCGCCGACTGGACTGGGCGCCGAAGCCGCCGAAGGAGGACTGGCGCCCCTAAGGACTAAGTCGTTCCCTCACCTGTCTAGCTGCGGCCGGAACCATGGAGAATGTAGGTTAGACGATTCAACCACTCAAAGCCTACCCGTTAAGATCTATTAAGCATCATTAAAGCCGAAGCTAAAGCAGCTCTATCGCCTGCCATGATCACTCAGAGCCACAAATTCGTCTCAGATACGAGAAGTCGCGATAAATTTACATCCCCCACTAGAGTATTTCGGAATATCCTGATGGACAGACGAATTTAAAAGGGGGATACGTGGAGGGATTTATTGAGAAATATGGGCGGGACGTCAATGAGATGGAAATCTGGAGGATTTGAAAGGGTGTTTTACAGAAAGGAGTACCAGCAAGAGGTCAGCAGAGGGTGGAAATATGGGGCAATTTGGCATCTCTCGGAGGAAGATGAGCCAAATGATCATTGGCCACACTATCGGCACAGGATATTGTGAAGCGAGAAAGGAAGCAGTCAGAGAAATCCAATACATTGATTTCTCAGGCGAAGAGACAAGAGCATTTACCAAATACCGCCCGAAACCCTAAGTTCCGGGACAGTCTCTTGACTCTGGCTCAAGCCCCGCTTTTGGTTCCGGGCCCGTTACCGTTGCCGCGCCCACTCACAACGACGGCGGCAGCAATGATGCTGCTGCAATAAAGATAGGCATTATGTACGAAGATATCTTCACTATCAAAGGGATGGCTAATACGAGCAAAGACTAGAAAACGTTGTAGAGATGATTGGAAAATATTATGTCGAATGGCGATGATTCAAATTTATTCTAGATTTAGGAGATACTACTTGTGCTACTTGTGCTACTTGTGCTACTATATCTATTTTCTTCTATTGTCGATAATATCACTACATAGCTATTATACCTACGTCTTGCTACCATCGCTACCTCGAAAACTGTGGCAAAATACGCGTTATAGTCCTATGGTATCATCCCGACCATATAGAATGTATGTTTTGTTGTATTATAAGCTTCTTGACCCCCCTCTGGTATCGTTTTCTCGCCAGCAACAAGACTGCTCTTTCGACTTTGCCTTGCAGATTTGGAGGCGGCCACCAGCAACGGAGAAGCGCCCCTAACGTTAACAACTACCATATCATTCCATCAGCGTGCTTTGTTGCAAATTGAGCCACGGAGACTGTGGGCTAGAGACCTGCTTTATTCAAAACGTACCTTTTCATGCCTAGTAGATATCGTGAAATGTGAGCAGAATGGGCAGAAAGGAAATACACAGTCAGAGTAGATAGGTATGTTAGCCTTGCAAGAGAAAAAGCAGCAAGAATGTTTGTTGAACTAAAGTTACTCTCAGCTTATCTGATTTCTGAATTTTTCGGTGCCCATATTAAACAATCCATTTGGCGTTCGGTGGGTGACTTCGTAAAGACGATCCCGCTTCAAGTCTAAAGCCGCTTTCCAGACGCGTGCATAGAGACTGAGATCACCCTCCTGTCGCTGAGGGTAGCCCTGGCCGGTAAGCAAAGCAAGCCATTTGGGTTCTCTTGAATATACTCCTGAGCCGAGATCCCGATAGCAAGTATACCGTATCGTAAGATACTTATCCTCCTCTATCTCTAAAGTGCACTCCGCATTTGAATGGCATATTGTGCAGACGACCATCTGAGTGAAGGGTCCTTCGGAACTCCTCCACATCTTGCTTGGGTGAGATTCACATTGGGGCGGGTCGTTGGTCACCAATGTCTGTACCTCATACATATCCCCGTCATACATGACTTTTGATGCAGAGACAGTCAGGCTTTGATGCGGGCAACCTATGAAATACTCCGATTTGCAGGATGATTTGTATTTGTAGAGGTTGAAACAGCATCGCATCTGTTGTCTTTGCAAGAAGGTGCTTTTATCAAAGTATATTTCGCTTATCCAGTCGTAGTAGCGATTTGATTGAGAAACTATCCTATCGTGGCAACATAATTCTGGAATAAGAGCCTGAGTAACACCTGGGAGACACCGTCGACGGATGCTATTTAGGTGATTAAAGGAGAGATGATAGCACATGTTGCCATGTATAGGCGTAAGTGTAAGCGGTGATAACAGTTCAGCACTTAGATATAGATCTTCGTTTATACCGTAAGAAGCGTCTGGTTGGTCAAGAAGATTGCGATTGGGCAACCGTAACGAATAATAGTCGCAGTAACAGCCAGAGTGTGATACGTCATGACCAACAGCATTCTCTATCGCCGCAGCTGTTTCGACATACGAGGGAAGCATGGTGCTGACTGAATAATCATCATATTCAGCACTGTCGTCTTCCAGAACGGGAGAATCGGCATCTTCAACAGAGCAATCTTCTGGAATATAAGATTCACTATCATATCCAAGAAGTTCGTCTTTTGGAATGGCAGCCTGTTGATTCAGCGACAGCTGTCTTAGTTTATCGGCAGACTGGTTCTCAGAAGATGGAGAACCATTGCGCTCGGGACGGCCACTTCCAAAGAAGTTCCGGAACTTGAAAATGGTAGCATTAAACAAGTTAGCCATTGTGATGACGAAAACATGAATCGATATTGGTGAGAGTCAAAGAAAAAGATGTCGTGTGAGGATATTGCTGAGAGGGCATTGCGCTTTATGTGATACGTGGGATGATCCATTATACCCCAGGGTTTACCAGATGGCTTGAAGAGCGAAAGTTTACTTTAAGCCAAGATTCAATTCACTATATCAATTCGATCGTTAGACGAGATAGCTATAGCCACCGCGGCCCCATTTATTGGCCTGCGGTCCGATTCGTATAAGCCACCCGAGGAGCTTAGTATTCTCGAACAAGTTATGCGAGGAACCTGGCAGTTTGTGGGTAAACGGCGGCTAGACTCAAACACATGAAGAGGATATGATGAATATTATACTTATACTTGTTGAGAAGTCGTGTGTTGGGGAAGAGTTCAAGAGAGCGCCCTCCGATACTGACTGCTATTCAGCTATTCAGCCCCTGTATCCACACACACAAGCTACATCGCGCAGCACCATCACCGCCGCTATGTGGGAAATACCAAATGCAAGACTAACGCAAAGAGTTCATTCTTATACTATAAAAGCAAATACATATTCTTGCTGCAGTGAATGGATGGCACATACACGTAGCTTTGCAGACGCTATGACTGCAGGGGGCCAGTTCAGCTGCCTTGCCGATGAGTCAGTGAGGCTAAATCTCATTAGACGCCAATGCGCAAAGCCACGATGAATACACGCATTGAACGATTCACGCAGCCAAATCTCTCTCAAGAGCAGTTACTCACACCGAATAGGCGAAATAGGCAGAAAGAAGTGATTTCTGTGTGCACTGGAAGAATTATAAATAATGTCTTAATGTTCATGAGAAATCGCTTTTGGCCCAATCAGCCACTGAAATAATCGTCCATCGTCCATAATGCCCAAATCACCAGCAACTCAGTCTCAGCCCATCTATTTCTGGAGAGAGTCAGATTCCCACACGGGATGGCTCTCACAATGGTACTACTGTCCATTCAAGGACGACAAAAACCCAGAGCTCATCTATGAGACTGCTGAACAGTATATCTATCCGCAACACTAGTGTTTAAATCTCAAGAGCCAATAGATCTAATTAATGTTATGCAGCTACATGATGTATCAAAAAGCAATCCTCTTCAACGACCACGCCGTCGCCGCCAAAATCATCGAGCCAGGCCTACATCCTCGCAAAATCAAGGCCCTCGGCCGCCAAGTCGCAAACTTCTCAGAGGCGACGTGGAATGCCAACCGTGAAGCCATTGTTCGGCGTGGCAACCATCTCAAATTCACAAACGCCGTGACGGAAGAAGGATTCTGTCTTGGAACCTCGGGTGATATTCCGCTGTTTAGAAACTCGTTGAAGGAGACGCTGCTGAGGACGGGAGAGAGGGAGCTTGTGGAGGCCAGTCCGTTTGATAGAATCTGGGGAGTTGGATACAAGCCGGCGGATGCTGATGCCAATAGACAAAGATGGGGTCTCAATCTATTGGGAAAGGCATTGATGGAGGTGAGAGACATGTTGAAAGAAGAAGAGAGTAAGAATGAGAATGAAGTTGAGTAGGAGTAACTTGAAAAGGAGTAATTTTTATGCCTTTCAGAACGAGTTGACTGGCTGCTTGTATCTCGGGCTTATTATTGCTAAATGGTATGGTATGACCAGGAATAGCTTCGAATAGAGATTATCATCGTCCCAATTGCCCTCAATAACCTTGGCCCATTTGGTGATTATATCTATATGTCTATATCCCAACCTCTCGCCCTTCCCTTCCTTTTCCCCCTCATATCATCATCGTACACACAAAAGCGCCTCATATTAGAGGCAGGTAGAGCGGTGTTTATATCATGGCATGATTTTCTTCATGCTCCGGTATCCCTTTTTTTTTTCCCTCCGATTTTTTTGTATCGCGTTTTTTGTCCCTTGGATAAATGTATCCTTCACATGAGTCGACGACATAATATACATATTAACACAGATCGGCAAGGCTTCCCTGCCAAGGATCACTCCCATGCTCCCGGACGCCGTGAATCATACAGAAACGAGTACAAGTCATGCTTTCTTTCTTTTTTCTTCCTTTGGGTTTCTAAACCCAGTCTCTTCCGCTCTTCTGCATCTCAATCAGACGCCAGCCCCTAGTCTCGGGGTTGTTTACGTCTTCCGGAACTCTGGTGATACCAATAGCATATGTTACCTGCTGCACCTTATCTTCCATACCGGCAGCCAGCTCGTTGCTCTTGGCATTGCGGTAAACGTGGACCTCTTGGGTTCGGCACGTAATGATGAAGACTGGGATCTCACCAGGGTCCAGCATACGAGCTCTCAGGATGTCGACGTTCCTGATGTCAAGAATACGGCCATCTGACTTCATACCCGCCTGGAGATATTGCTTGGTAAGTGCTTCGTAGACGGAAAACTGCGCAGCCGAGAGCCACATCTTCAGAGTCTCTGTGTCTCCCTTGACATAGGCGTCCAGCACCTCGGGGAGAATGTACTCGCGCAGCTCCTGCAGGAATGGCTCAGTCTGGAAGGCCGGGTCCATGGAGCGAAACTTCTTGATCACCATGGCGGTCTCGTTCTCGGCAAAGAATCCGCCAATAGTGTCGGTGATGCTTCGAGCGGTCGAGATGAGGGGGTTTTCGGACTCTTCGTATTTGCCCTTCATGCTGAAAACTCCCTGGACAAACTTGTTGCTGTCGCGGAAATCTCTCCAGGCCTCCTTCCAGGCTGCATCCTTGTGCAGGGTGACATTGGTACCAGCACTAATGAAATTGTTAGAACCCAGCTGGCCAACTATGGCGATTGAATGGCGATAAACTTACTTGGGGTCTTCTTGAAGAACTTCATGACCACCGCCACGAGTCTTCTCCCACTGCTCTCTTCTCTTCCTGCGCTCCTCTTTCTCGACCCACCCACCATATCTTGAAGAACTTCCATCATCAATGACGTCCTTGACATTCTTGTAGGCCTCGGTGTCTCGGATGGGCTTTGTGGCCTTGTCGAGCGCATCACCCGTAACGTTGGCGGCCTTGCGCACACCCTTCATGGCCGAGGTGTCCCAAGTCCATGCTGCACCCTTTCCAATAGCGGTGGCTGTGGTTTTTACCGCCTTGGTGGTTGTTGATGAGATGGCGCTGGTGGACTTCTCGTAAGCCTCTCGAGCTCGACGAACGGATTCGCTCTCGGTAAACTGGTTGGCAGACGCAGCAATCTGCTTGGTCGACTCATTCCACTCTTGGGACTTTTGAAGCTCAGTGTTCATGGTCTCCATGAACACCTGCCAAGGTGTCTTGTCGCCATGGGGCGGAGGCGGCGGCAGATCTTCCTTCTTCTCTTTGCCTTCGCCTTCAGCCTTGCCCTCCTCCTTGCCCTCGGCCTTCTCCTCTGAGTCTTTGGCCGGGTCTTCCTCAGGCTTGGCCTTTTGCTCAGCGTCCTCGGCGGGCTTTGCTTCGGCGGGTTTTGCCTCGGTCTTCGGCTTATCCTCCTGCAGTCTCCGGCCGCTTACATGCAAGAACCGAGATTGTGAGGCCGCTGAAGGAATTGGTAAATCGGCAGGAAGAAACCTGGATCTCAGCGGTGTAGAAACCGCAGTAGGAAGCGCCGCGCGCTCAATGCCCGCAACATTTCGAGCTGGTTTTTGAGCAAGCTGAGAAGCTAGCCGAGCATATGCGGCGGGACATCGGCCATTAGCGGGGACAAAACGAGTAGATGCTCTGGAGAGAGCATGTTCCGAATTGGCAGCGCTGCGGACAAGAGAGTTCATCTTTGTTCTGGGGAGGAAAAACAAAAACAAGAAAGAGAAAAAGCCTGCAAGTGACTGCAGCCCCTGGACAGAGCGGCGGAAGAGGTGATGGACAAGAAAGGATGTGGCTCTGGTGCGAAGGAAATTTTGGTTTCGCGATGTCGGCTGGCGGCGGAAGGCAGGCGGACAGCCGGTAGAACGCCGGCAAAATCCCACTTTGCGCCACTATGGCGGCGGCCATTCCGAATGGGTGCGTGGGAAAATTCCAAGGGCCTCTTTTTGGATCGATCTCGAGCCGACGAGCACGCAGGAGCAGAGAAGACAGGCGCAGACACAATGAGCCAGCCATTGAGAAGCTGCTTTGCGGCGCGACCGCTCGCCCGGATATCACACAACATTGTGGCCAGGAATGGCGTCCAGAGCGCCAGATTCCTGTCTCAGACAAGCGCACGATGGGAAGACTCCAAAGATGGGAAGCCAGACTCGCCCAAGACGGTGCCGCCGAAGCCTCGAACCGAATCGCTCCTCGAAAGCATCTGGGGAACGTCACTAGGATCGAGCGGTCGATCCACGCAGCCTGACTCCATGGCCAGCCTCTCCCAGAGCATGGTCTTCCAGGCTCTCAACAAGTCCAACATCGATACCAGCGTCCTGTCAGGCGCACCCTCACAGGCCACCCAAAAGAAGGAGGATGAGCTGGAGCCCTACCACTTCCATATCTACGCACACAAGCACAATACACACATCACTTGCACAAAGCCGAACCGGGAGCCCATCATCTCCATGTCGTGCGGCAACATTGGTTTCAGAAAATCACGGCGGGGCACTTTCGACTCAGCCTACTCTTTGACAAAATATGTTTTGGAGCGATTGATCCACACGGGGTGGCCCATGAAGATTCAGCGTCTCGAATTGGTTCTACGAGGATTCGGTCAGGGCAGAGAGGCTGCGGTCAAGGTTCTGATGAGCCCGGAGGGCAAGGTGCTGCGGGACAAGATTGTGCGGGTTGCGGATTCAACGAGAATCAAGTTTGCAGGAACGAGAAGCGAGAAGCCCAGGCGTTTGTAGATGCTCGGTTGCATCAGTTATGTGTGATTATATATACAGCCGAATGTACCATATCTTGTACTACCTATACCAGAGATAAGACAAAGAAAAAATACGGAAACAAAAAAAGAAAAAAGAAAAAAGCACCCACCCAAATTGGGCTACAAGGCGCAGTCCGTGAAGATGCTAATCCTATAACATAAACTCCTAGTCCCTCCATGAGTATGAAATAATGGTATCGTCCGATCTGATTTGAACGTCATAACTCAGCCAAGAACGCCAACCCCATACACCGACCCATAAGCTAAAAACGAAAGATGAATATGAAGCAATGTGTCACGGGGCTAGCAACAATCATCACGCTCGGATAGCTCTCTCTGCAGCTGGGAGCTGTCTGCCCGATGTATCTCGGAGAATCTGCTTTCCCTTTCCACTTCCACCTCTGCGCCGTTCATCTTCGCTGCTCCATTCGTCGCCATGTTCTGAGAGGAGATGCGGCCTCTGCCGCCCCAGCATGCGCGACTGCTCGTCCGCATGTTCGTCGTCATCGTCCATGAGTTCGCCATCGGCGCTGACATATTCTGGGGGCTCGATCCAGTCTCTCGGCACCACACACGGCAGTGCAACTCCAATGCTTGCCGCGCGATTCAGCCATGCCGGGCCGGCATCTCCCGTCAGCTTCTTGCAGAGATACGACGTGAAGTGGTTGCAATTCTTTGTGAGGAGATTGTACGAGGTGCCCAAGAATTCCTCTGACGCCTGTCGCAGCATGGCATCGATTTCTTCCGATGTGGCCAGGGTGAAGCCGTGCAGAATCTCGCACTTGAAGGTGCCGCCGGGAGGCTCGATGCGAGGTTTCGTCCAGTACACTCCGGTGACTCCGCGCTTATCGTGTCCACCATACGCGTATTCCCGGCCGTTGATGACGACACCCGAGTGAAGCAGAGACGCCCCGACTGCCCATAGAACAGAGGCGACTCTCCCGGGCTATCGACGACAAAGACATGTGTTAGCAAGCAGGGCGCTTCATCGCGACGGTGAGACAAATTCCAAGGCGCGGAAAAAGCCCAGCTTCAGCTCCGTGGGGGAGAGACTCTTACAGGGAGAAGATCGTAGACGTGGATTTTGATTTCCGTCTTTTGCAGCGACAGCGTCGATCTGTGTCTGCTGGCGCGCTGGCCCGAGTGGTGATGCTGGTGGTGGTGATGCTGCTGCGAAGGCATTGCGACGCTGGGGGTGGAGATTCGAGATCTTAGTATCTCGCGTGTAAGCCGTGAAACAATGCGGGGAACCGCCGGGGAAGAAAAGACAAGAGAGCAAATCCAGAGGAGCGGCGGGTGCGCGAGAGGAATTTAAATAGGATGTCCCGTCTTATGTCTTGTGGCAGCGCCGGGAGATGCGACAATCGATTTCAAACGTGAGCGGTGATGTGAGATTACGTTGGCGAGCGAGCTGAGATGGGCTGCGACATCTGCGACACCTGCGACAGGATGCCATGCAACTAATATACAGGCGTGGCAGGCTCCCGTGCGGCGGCAAATAGCGCCGCCCGAGGCAGCTCTGCCAGGCGCCTCGTTGCTTCAGCCCGGTTCCGGCAGCGCCGCGATAGCAGCAGCACCAACGGAGAGCCCTTTTGGCGACTCATGCCCTATGACGCATGCCCTGGCCAGGCCCCGGAAGAATCTGGCGCCGGGTCCCGACAGAGCTTCAGCTAAAGCCCACCACATGTGGGGTCGAGACTTAAATTTCCTTTTCACACCATCTCCCCTCCTCTCACCAGGAAAAAAAAAAACACGAAGGCAAAAAAAGGGCCAGCAACTTCCATCTGCGCCCCCTTTGCACTTCCAAGAAGCTCTTCTCTGCTTCTGCTTCTTCCTAGAGCCGGCCACTTCGGACTAGGAACAGCCACAGCCACCACATTGGCTTCCTCATCCGCGTCTTGCGTCCCGCATTTCGCTCTTCTTCTCTCTGGGTTTTCGTCGCGCGCAGCAAGGTCTGCAGCTCCAGCTCTTGGACTAGCTCCATCCTCTCGACGCCTCGTCCCTTTTCTCCCCTCCCGTCACTACGCAAAATCAAGAAAGATGCCTCCCAAGAAGGCGGTTGTCGAGGAGAAGATTCCTCTGGGCAGGCCCGGCAACAACTTGAAGAGTGGCATTGTGAGCAGACACTCTCCTGCCCAGCCCTAGCGGCTGCGATCCCCTCCCTCTACGCAAGTGCCTCGATATCCTAACATATCGTCCTTTCCCAGGTCGGTCTCGCCAACGTCGGCAAATCTACCCTCTTCCAGGCCATCACAAAGTGCAATCTTGGCAACCCAGCTGTATGAAGCCCCCCGCCCGTCTTTCTTCATCCGGGGTGCTGACAGCCTGAAGAACTTTCCCTACGCCACAATTGAGCCCGAAGAAGCTCGCGTTATTGTGCCCGATGAGCGATTCGACTGGCTCGTTGAGAAATACAAGCCCAAGTCTGTCGTACCCGCCAACTTGACCGTCTACGATATTGCCGGTCTGACTCGCGGTTCTTCCACCGGAGCTGGTCTCGGAAACTCTTTCCTTTCCCACATCCGTGCTGTCGATGCCATCTTCCAAGTTGTGCGATGCTTCGACGACGCTGAGATTATCCACGTCGAGGGTGACGTCAACCCTACCCGTGATTTGGACATCATCAGCGAGGAGCTGAGACTCAAGGATATTGAGTTTGTGGAGAAGGCTCTTGAGAACCAGAAGAAGAAGACCCGCATGGGCGGCCAGAGTCTTGAGCTGAAGAAGGCTAAGATTGAGCAGGAGATGATTGAGAAGGTCCTGGCCTGGCTACAAGACGGCAAGGAGGTCCGCAAGGGCAACTGGTCCCCCAAGGAGGTAAGCGCTTTTTCTTTTTCCTTTATTTTTTTTTTTTTACTTTCCTTTGGCCCCCGCAATTTACGTGATGACAAAGAGCCTTGACGGCTCGAACAATTTAAACCCAGCTCGTCGAATGTCTTAGACATAGTGAGAAGAAACCTATTCTGAACTTATTGCTTTACTACTCTGTTATATCTGTTTTCATATACCTTGGGTGGCAACAGTGCTAATAAGCATCAAATAGATTGAGGTCATCAACCCTCTCTTCTTGCTGACGGCCAAGCCCGTCGTGTATCTTGTCAACTTGTCTGAGAAGGACTACATCAGAAAGAAGAACAAGTACCTCCCCAAGGTCGCCGAGTGGATCAAGGAGCACGCCGAGGGCGACCCCATCATTCCCATCTCCGTCTCTTTCGAGGAGCGTCTGACTCGCTACGAGACTGAGGAGGAGGCCAAGGAGGAGCAGAAGAACGTTGGCGCCGAGTCTGCCCTGCCCAAGCTGATTGTCCAGATGCGCAAGGCGCTCCAGCTGGGCAGCTTCTTCACAACGGGAGCCGACGAGGTCCGCCAGTGGACTATCCGCAACGGCACCAAGGCTCCCCAGGCTGCCGGTGTTATCCACACCGACTTTGAGAAGACTTTTATCCAGGCTATTGTCTACAACTTTAGCGTTATCAAGGAGCTTGGTGATGAAGCCGAGGTCAAGGCCAAGGGCAAGGTCATGACCAAGGGTAAGGACTACGTAGTGGAGGATGGTGACATTATGCTCATCAAGGCCGGTGCTGCTAAGAGCTAAATGTCTCGTATCTGCGGAGTAGTGCTCATGTAATGGGATCATTTTGTCCTTGGGTTAGGAAAATAAAAAGTAAATTACCACCACCGCATTTGAAGCTCATTTTGTGATTGCTTGTGTACCATTTATAAATTCAAGTGGCCGTGAAACTCTTATGTGTCCTTGTGTCTTCTCTTTTCTTCTTCTTTTTTTTTTCTCTCTTCCTTTAAAAAAGATAGGTATCCATTGCATCCAAGCATATGGATTAAGGGATTAAGCTGGATCCTCTATAATAAGTAGGCAAAACGACGCATGATTACCTAGTTGATAGTCACACCACAGAAGAAATAACCTCAAGTGAATAAATCAACAGTCTTGTATTTATTTAAAAAGGAAATGGTAAAAGAGCGAGTAATTAGTCGAGCTGTATACATATCTTACTAAAGTCATTCCATTCATAAACTCAGACAAAGAAAAAGATGTCAAGGCAGATTAGGAAAGATATTACTACTGAGCGCGCGCGAGAGGGAGAGAAAGAGAGAGATGCAAGTACCAGCCAAGCATCTCAAAGGAGGGGGGAAAAAAAAACTCAACACAATCCACCATACTTGACGCCCCTCTTGCCCATCTCCTTCCTCCCGATGGGATCCTCGGGCCACACCCAGCCTCGGCTCCTCTTGGCCTCGCGCTTCTCCGCCAGCTGCGGCTTGGGAATCCAGTTGTCCCGAGCCTTGGCCTTTCGCCTGGTGCCATCGGCAGGAGCGCCAATCTCAGCCTTCCAGTGGGCGTGGCCCGCGGGCGTCTGATCACCAGCGAGCTGGCACAGGCCCCAGAGAGCCAGACAGGCCGTCAGGGGCACGCTGTCTGAGGAGTCTAGCTCGGCTTCAGACGCAGCGGCGTTGAGCTGGACGGAAGTGATTTCCAAGTCGCCAAAGAACGGGGTGGACTCTGTGCCGGCGCGGACGAGGACGAGCTCGATCTCGGTGAGGATGAAGCCGTAGCGGCAGCCGTGCTCGCGCATGGCGTAGTGCAGGGCGGCGAGGCCGCGGAGGTAGTCGACGCGCTTGATGTTGCCTTCAGCGCGCATGCCGGTGTTGAAGCGGTCGAAGCTGCGCACGAGGCCGACGACCCGGCCGGTGGGCTTGCCGCCGAAGATGGCGGCCGCGGTGGACGACTCGCCGATGGGGTTTGCGACGAAGATGAGGTCGTTGACGCCGGATGCCGTCTTGGCTGGGACGGAGAGCTGCAGAGGGCGGTTGGACGACATGGCCAGTGCGGAGTTGAGCTTGGGGAGATAGTATGAGGCGTAGATGCTGTGGAGAGCGGCCTCGGTCTCGGGATGGCGAGAGGAGAAGGCTGGTGTTTGCAGGAGGGAGGCGGGCACTGGCGAGTTGAGCAGAGCGGATGCCCCTGGAAGAGACAGGACGGTTGAGGCGTTGAAGCTTGACCACGAGGAGACGCTGCGGACATCCCACCAGAAGTGCTTGATGGAAGGGTCGCGGAGGGGGAAGGAGATGGTCCGGACGAGAGATGCGGCAGGGTTGGCGCAAGCCAGGTGCTGCATGAGAGTGGTTGATGGCTCTGAGTCGGGAGTGGCAGTGGCGGCGAGAGCCAGTGGTGATGGAGCACGGGGGAGATATGACGAGAACAAGTAGTCTGACTGTGAAGCAGCAGCAGTGGTGGTGGGCACAAAAGGCATCTGTCGATACGTCGGATAGCCATACTTGTCAATGGTGGCGGTGTCAATGGTGCTGGTTCGACGAGGCGGCGGCAGGTCCTGGGCGAAAGTTGGCGGCGAAGCAAGCAGCGATGAGGGGAAGACCGGAGCAGCAGCAGCCTCATCATGTGTCTGAGGAGGAGGAGGAGGCGTGGTGAAGGGCGAGATGTGAGCAAAAGCCATGTTGGCGAGGGTCTCAGGGTTGGTGTAGCTCCGGGAGTGGCTTGTGCGGATGGGCTTGGAGGCCGGCGGAGGGGGCGTGGACTGCTGGTGAACCATCCTGGCCCTGGCAGAGGCAGCAGAGCGAATGGAGTTGGAGCGAGAGTGTGCCGCGCGGGCGATGTGGGATTGATCCAGCTGCTGGTCCTGGGAGCGGATCTTGGGCAGCAGCAGAGGGCCATGCTGGCGAACGGGGGGGCTGGCGCGGGGAGGCGTGGTGAAGCGGGAGCATGCCGACTCTGCTATTGAGTCTACAGCCGAGATGGCGGAGTAGACGGAGGAGGCGCGGGATGTCGATCGGACGTGGCGGTTGTGGGAGCCGTATGGGAGCTCCAGGAGGCTGGAGGGGAAGTGGTCGAGGCTGTATTCCATGACGGGCAGGGTGTCCATGGGAGGGGTTGCGGGATCCTCGAGGGAGGGGGAGGGAGAGGGGAAGGTGAAGTCGAAGGAGACGTCGGCTGCCAGACTGGAGGAGGGAGATGCGTTAGTATCTGGTGGAAGTTGTTTGGGGTGTTGTTGTTGTTGATGTAGTTGGTGTTGTGTGGATATGGGGATGGATGTGTACTCACGCTGACATGATGGCGGTTGTTGTGAGGGTATGAGAGTGAGGGAGTTGATTAGATGGTTGAATTAGGATAAGGAGACCGGCTCCAGTATAAACAGTTGAATCTTTTTTTTTTTTGTGTGTGTGTGTGAGTGTGTTGTTGTTTATGATAATGTTATATATATGTATATGTATATATAACTGCTTCTCCAAGTGTTTGGAGTATGTCGTCCAGCGAGCAAGGATCTTGGTCTAAGTGAGAAAAAAAAAAAAAAAAAAAAAAAAAAAAAAAAAAAAAAAGGAATGCCACATTTCCGACAAACTGGGTACTCGTGGGGCACATGCTTGATTGGCTCTAATACCACTCCATGGCGTTGTTTTAGCCTCTTGGCGGATTCGAACTGCGTTTGGCTGGCTTTTGCTTGAATTTTTTTTTAAAAAAAAAAAAAAAAAAAAAAAAAAAAAAATACCCCAAAGGTGCAGATGTGAGCTTGATAAACAGAACGAGAATGGACAACTCTCCGGCAAAGGAACAAAGTCTGAGAGAAAATAAGAGATGTAGGACAAGAAACCAAGAGAGGGTTGGAGGAGGAGGGGGGTTGTTGAGAGAGACTGGAGTGAATGAGATGAGAACGATTGGAAACCAAGGGACGAAGCCGAGTTCTTATCCTCTGGCTTTGAGGGCCCGAAGATGGTCGCCAGGGTCCCACGGCCGTCTGGAGAGACAGACAGACAAGAGACGAGACGAGAAGAAAAGAGACAGGGGGGCGTGGATGCTGCAGAGAGAGGCGTGTGCCCTGCCTGGCTGCACCCCAGCCAGCCAGTTGCGAGCGGCCCAGCCCAGCGTCGCAGCAGCCGTGCGTGTCTCTGGCTAGTACTCGAGAGCGGCTCGTGGATCAGCGAGGCGGCGGCTTAGCGGGGCCTTTGCTGGCCTGGTCGAGGTCCACAATCCACAATCCACATCCACACCCTCCCCAGTGCCGCGCCGCGTCTGGGCTGGTCTGCCCACTTGGGCACGATTTTATATGGCGATGGTGGTGTTTGAAACACGGAAAACAAGAGTCGACGACGTGGAAGAATGTACAACAAAGCACGGGGCTGAGATAATGGATGAGCAAGAGTCATAGAGAGCAGATGCCTAAGAAGCGGAGACATCAGGGACTGCAGCATCGTTGCTGCTGCCCGACTTTGATGAACTGCCTACTAATACTGATTAATACTACAAGGAATGTACTTGCTGGCGCCAGTCAGTCGTACAAGAACGATGCCGTCCCGAATTCAGGCTCAGACAAAGGATCTGGACCTTGTTACCGCCCCCGCGCGGCGCTTTTTCTCTCTATGCCGTTTACTTTTCGTCTCTATCTATTCATCTGAAAGAACAAGAAAAATACCGGGAACCGGCTCCCTCCAGCCCGCTTACCGTAACATATCGCAGCAGACAGACAGACAGATTGCCGGCAGACAAGGCTTGTTTGGAACCCTCAACGGCAGAGAAGAGACAGGACAAGACAAGACAAGGGGGGGGGGGGTTCTTGTTTAGCGCAAATGCAACCCAGATGGGGGCTTTGTAAAAGGTCCCCGCTGCTGCTGCTCATTGCCGCACCCACCACCAGAGTCAAAATATGTACTTTCTCTCTCTCCATGGTTTATACGACAAGCAGCAGATGCAGGGCTCAGACGTCGAGCTTTTTCCCGNGGGGGGGGGGGGGGGGCTGAGCGGGTTTTGGCTGCAGGCGCCGGGCCTGTGAGTGGCTGGCCGGCAACGAAACGAACGAGGCAGCGCCCCAGTCCCCAGTCGCAAGGAGCAAAAGTAAAAGTAAAGTAGAAAAGTCTAGTGACTCACCCCCCCAGCGTGCGGGTTTTTGTTCTGTTGGCTCGAGCAAGATTTGCCGTCATGCGTGTTGGACGCGTGCTTGCGATTTGCGATTTGGCCAGATCTTGGAAACGACGGGGGGGCTTGGCGAAGAACCGCCTTTTTTTTTTCCATCTCGTCTTCCACCGGCGCGGAGCAAGACACGCAATCAATCGCGTGTCGCGTCACTGCTTGACTGCCTCTTTCTCACTGTCTCTTTTTATATATGTATATATACATATATCCATCGCGCCAAGCCAAGAGGCTCTCTCTCGTCCACTTAGAGGGCGACACTACTGTACAAGTACAAGCACTGTATAATGCATCTGTCAGACCCCAGAATAAAAAAAAAAAAAGGCTGGTCAATGCTCTCTCTTCATCTCTTCTGTACCTACCTACAGTACTCTATGTGAATACACATTGTAGAGGTATACCCAGTAGGTACTCGTGCACGCAATAATAAACTCATACGCCATGCATGTACTTGCATGCAGCAACGGCAACAGACCGTCCGGGTCGTACCGAGAGATTCTATTTTTACCTACTACTGCTACTTACTACTCACACACCGAGAGTCCTTTTTTTTTTCCGCGCTTCTCTTCTTTTTTTTTTCTCAAATTGTAATTTCCAAAAGTAAATTGAAGTGCAACGTGCAATATACTTTGTTACACCGCTGACACAGGCCACAAGCAAAGTCTCCCGCTGCCGCAAATAGGCGCAGCCATTCCGGGCGCTTAGAGCGGGGCTCCCCCAAGCCGCCGAGCGCTTAGCCAGGCTGCTAGTCTTTTGGTCTTGTTCTAAGTTGTCTTACACCTAAAAACCAAGCTCGGGAAATTAAAGAACAGAACGTGAGAATCTTGGCTTTTCTCTGCGGCGGTCCCAGCCCGTGATCCGAGCGTCTTTCTTTTTAGCCGCACAGATCGGGGAAGCAGGTGAGAGGGTCCTCGCTGAATTACCACTCGTAGGTAGCAATCTTACTGTAGGCATGCCTAGTAGGTACATTCGGAGTTTGTGCGCTCTTGTGCTGTTTCCATTTTCGGCGCATCAGCGTCCCACCGCGGCGGTTGCGCAAATTCGCTTCCATCTAATGTTGTCTTATAATAAAAGCTGCTACAGTACATAATCCACTTGTTTCTTAGCAGTACTAGCAATCTACCTTGTATCTACTTCCTGTTCCTATACTGTATTATGTACACTGCAACATCCGATTCATCATCCGTTCATCTACTAGGTACCTATATAGAGCAATCCAGGCGCGTAGCCCTCGCCATCCAATCACCGCCCCCAGCAGCCGTTAAATACGCGCAGCTCAGCCGCCCGCAGACCTTGTACTACCTACTCTCTATTACAGTACATGGCCTGCTATATTTGCCAACCCAGAACACGCCAAGTACTGTAATAGAGAGTAGCTAATATCAAGTCAACGCGTGCAAAGCTGCAGCTGCTGCTCCTCCTCGACGCGCGCCTCTCTTCCATTCTCCTTCTTCTGTCCTTCTCAAATTCATGCCCGGCGCGTCGTCCATCCGCCCTCGCCAGCCAATCGGCTCGCGGCACGCCACTTCTGCCCCCTGATTGGCCGTCTGTCTCTCTGGCTTCTCCCGTTTTAGTAACCCTCGCCAAACCCAGGCTTCGAGCTAGACTCGATCCAACACTAGAACAAAAAACCAAAGAACTAAAAAAAATTCCACCCCACAGAAATCAACGTGTTCATGTTTGCTGTGCTGTCAAGCGTGCTTCTACCATCTACCCTAGCATAGTCGACAACTATCTACTAGTTCATGCTCAGGCATCTTCCACCGCAAGTCATCCCACGAAAATAAAGAAGACCAAAAAAGTTTGCAAAAGTTCGCATGTTTCATTTTCGTCTGGGGCACAAGAACCATCTGCATTCTCAACCCCAAGTTGGGCCTGTATCCCGCAGCTGGGCTCCTCGTCCCAGCCCCGTTTTCTGTTTCGAAACATATCTAGAGCGGCTCCAGTATGCGTTGTCTCTATGACTATGACTCTTAAATCCTAGCTTAGGCTGCGTGCATGCTTGCGTAGTCGTATCTGTATGCTTCTTGCTGGCATCAACTGGCATTACTTGTCCCGTCTAGCCTTGGATACCATTCATTTCTTGACTTGTCATCGGGTATCAAACTCGCCTCACCGTCTGTTTCCAATCTATCTGGCGTACATACAACGTGGGGACATGAAGATTCGCCCTGCATTTCGTCCACGTGTATGGAGCAACGCTTGCCGTACCTCGTAGTTGCAAGATACGTAGCCTTACGCACATCTAGCAACATGTCGGGTATGATATTGTACATCACACATCACCGGCCATATGCTCAAGCTGAACCAGGTAAAGTCAGTCCAAAGAGAAAAAAAAAAATATCATCGCTGTCTTTTCTATCATGAACATTAAAAGTAGAATCTTGTAATAGTCTTCTTATCGGTTTCTCCCCAACGCCAAGGCCAACCCAAATGCCGGAATCAGGGTTTGGTCGTAAGGTATCCAGCACCGGCAACATCATGCACACGCTAACCGTCCCATTCATTCACCCTCGCTTTTTTTTTTTTTTTCCTCTTCTTGTTTTGTCGTAGCCCACTCCTCCTCATCGAGGCCCAACCCTGTAGGCCCTTGTCTACCAAATTCGGATGCCATCACGTCTTTGGCAACCACCCAGTTTGTGACGCGTCGTCTTCGCTCGTCGCCTCGCTTACAAGCTGGCATGCGGTTGACGACGGTGAAATCAGCCCGTCACAAAGCTTCATTTTTTCCATTTCCGCTCTATTACTCACTCCACTCCACTTGTTTCGTTCCCAGATGGCACACCATCCCCGTCTTCCGTCTCTTGTTTCCCATCCGTTGGAGGCGATGGGGGCCGTCGCTGAGACATTGTGTTCATCATCCCCTGCTGGTAGTTGCCCATTCGCACAATTCTCAACGCTCGCATCATGCCTTCGAGCCTTATTCTCTCCTGCACCACCATGCCTCGGGCATAGTCGCGAATAGCCCGAATACCCACCTGATCGTGTGACTCCTTCCATCCAGCCAGTTCGGCTGCCACCGTTTGTTGCGTGTATCGGAGTTCTTTCGAGAGATATGCTGCTTGTTCTCGTGATTCGCGTGCTCGCTTCTCCTTCTCCTCCTGGTTTCGTTGTCTAGAGTCATCCAGCAAGCCCAGGGGCCATCGCGAAGGCCGTGTTGCAGCGCTGTCGTTTCTGTCCGCCTCTCGCTTCGCTGCCGTAATCTGCCCGATAAGGTTCGTCGGCCTGGACAGCGCTGAAAGCATTGCCTGTA